ATTTATCTAATTCTGCATAGTCCATCAATTTCATCCTCCTTTCTTCTTTCGTCGGTAGTTCTTCTTGCTTCCATTTTTGTGCCAATAATATTCTTGCTGCCGTCATTGCATATAAAAACAACTTACAGTCCTTTCTGTTTATACTATCTCCTACAATGCCAAGTAAAAATGCTTCTAGTTTCTTAATAAATGTATATTTCAACATCTTTTTCATCTCATTATAAATCATTTCCCAGATGTTTTTTCACTTTTTTACATTCCCACCACACGTGATAAAATGTTCCTTCTTTTTCTTTACATTTCCAACATTTGTTACTAACTTTATACATTTACACATTTATACATTTATACAACTTTATACATTTTAGAATTTCACAGGCGTAATATACCTCCTATACATCATTTTCATCACGTTTTCTTTTAAGGCATTGCATGCAGTAAATTTTAATCCATCTTTCCACAGTTTTCCCCAATCCTCTAACTGTATATTATACCCAAAGTCTTTGGCCCAATGTATCATAACCAACTTTACCTCCTCATCTTTCAAATGCCATTCAAGCAGCAGTTTATACATTTTGGACAAAATTTTACTCTCCCCCTCCAAATCTCACCACTCCATCCACCCACATCTTTCCTACTTTTGAAGTTCACCATGTTAAGATTCTAGGAACATCAGAAGAGCCCTGCTGGATCAGGCCTATGTCCCATCATTTCCACCTCCTGCTTCCCACAGTGGTGGACCATGAGATGGCTCCAAGGAGCTCCCAGGCAGGGCATGAAGGCAACAGCCCTCCCTTACTGTTACTCATAAGAATATTACTCATAAGAATATACAGTTAGAGAATTGGGGGAAACTGTGGAAAGATGGATTAAAATTTACTGCATGCAATGCCTTAAAAGAAAATGTGATGAAAATGATGTATAGGAGGTATATTACGCCTGTGAAATTAGCTAAAATGTATAAAGTTAGTAACAAATGTTGGAAATGTAAAGAAAAAGAAGGAACATTTTATCACATGTGGTGGGAGTGTAAAAAAGTGGAAAACTTCTGGGAAATTATTTATAATGAGATGAAAAAGATGTTGAAATATGCATTTATTAAGAGACCAGAAGCATTTTTACTTGGCATTGTAGGAGATGATATAAACAGAAAGGATTGTAAGTTGTTTTTATATGCAATGACAGCAGCAAGAGCTTGGCTGCTGGGTCAGACCAATGGTCCATCTCCTCCAGGAGCCTGTTCTCCCTTCAGCCAACCAGATGCCTCAGGGAGACACTACAAGGCAGGCACAAGCACAACAGCTCTCTCTCTCTCTCTCTCTCCACTTCTGACTCCAGGCCAACTGGCATTAAGAGACATACTGCCTGCAGCAGCAGAAGGAGAACAAAGCCCTTGTGGCCAATAGCCATTGGTAGCCTCACCCCTCTGCACATGTGTCTATTCCTCTTTTAAAGCCATCCAAGTTAGTAGCCACCACTGCATCTTGTGGCAGTGAGTTCCATAGTTTAACTCTGCACCAGGGCCTTGCAGTGCCAGGCAGAGGCCCAGGCCAGGTAGATAATGTGCCCCCCCTTTTTTTTTACCCTGGGGATAACTGAAGTCTTATAAATAAGTAAGTATATAAATAATTTTCACAAAAGTTATGCTGACAAATAATTTTATTTCAAGGCTCGAACCATATCTGCATGTAAAGACAAAGTGGAAAATATAGATATACAATAGTGCTTTTTAAAAATACATAGGGAATGTACGCTGACCGAGGCCCCCTTTGGAATCGGAGGCCCGGGCCAAGTGGCCCATATGTTCTGCACTGCACGAAGAAGTACTTTCTTTTGCCAGTTTTGAATCTTCCATTCTTCAGCTTCTAGTATTATGAAAGTTCTAGTATTATGAGAGAAAATGGAGAGAAAGAAAACTCTGCCCACTTTATTTATTTCCCACCATTTCTCCAAAGAGCTCACAACAACCCTATGAGGTAGGTTAGGCTGAGGGAGACTGTGGCTGGCCCAAAAATCTGACCCAGTGAGTTTCATGGCTGAGAAGGGATTCAAACCCTGGTTTCCCAGATCCTAGCCCAACCCTCTAACCACTACACAACACCACACTGGCTCCACATTACTCCACACCACGCACCCCTCTCCTTTCCTTCTCTCTGTTGCTGTTTGTGAGCGGCCCAGCTGGCTCTCCCTCCACCGAATGCCAGGCTCCTTCTGCCACTTTGCTCCTTGGCACTACCAACATCCACATTAGGAAGCCGCCCTTTCCATTTCCATGAGTGTTGCAGTGGCAGGATAAATGCAAGAGCCTTTTCAATAATAAATGTATCTCTGGCAAACTGCATCCCCCACTTCCTTATAGCTATACCTGTAGCAAAGGAGTTCTCTGTGGAATAGGAACTCTCTGATCATTTTCTAATCTGTTTCTATGGCTTTGTAGACTTTCCAGAACAGATGGGTCACTGGTAGGCAGCTCATTTGCGCGGCATTTGCTGCATCATCCTCACCGCTCACTCCACTTCCAGTAACTGGAAATAGGGTTGGGTCATCGGGGAGAATTCTTGCTGTACAGAGAGGGGGATCCATTTATGGATCTCTCTGTATAGTCGCCTAGTTCCCAATGCCTCAAGCGGTCCTATCTCCTGTTCCCTCCTCCCCAATTCACGTACTCATTCCTCCCATTTCAGAATATCTGTTCTGGGCTCTTGCCTACTTCACTGGTTTTCATTTAACAATGCTAAAGCAACACTAAGTAATCTTGCCCTGTTAAATTGCCATTTTAGGATTCCTAGTGTGCCTTTGTTATTGTTTAGTCGTGTCCGACTCTTCGTGACCCCATGGACCAGAGCATGCCAGGCACTCCTGTCTTCCACTGCCTCCCGCAGTTTGGTCAAACTCATGCTGGTAGCTTTGAGAACACTGTCCAACCATCTCATCCTCTGTCGTCCTCTTCTCCTTGTGCCCTCAATCTTTCCCAGCATCAGGGTCTTTTCCAGGGAGTCTTCTCTTCTCATGAGGTGGCCAAAGTACTGGAGCCTCAGCTTCACGATCTGTCCTTCCAGTGAGCACTCAGGGCTGATTTCCTTAAGAATAGATAGGTTTGATGTTCTTGCAGTCCATGGGACTCTCAAGAGTCTCCTCCAGCACCATAATTCAAAAGCATCAATTCTTCAGCGATCAGCCTTCTTTATAGTCCAGCTTTATGGTCCAGTGTGCCTTTATACTAGTATAAATCAAAAGGGACTATTCAAAAGTGGGTCGTATGATGCAGGTTTGCAGACCCTCCAAGTGTCCCTATTTTCCAGGGACAGCCCTGAATTTACAAGAAGCCGTCCCAGTTTCTGATTTGATCCCAGAATGTCCCACTTTTCCTTAGGACGTCCCTATTTTCATCGAAGAAATGTTGGAGGCTATGGCTGGGGGACAGAGGTGGGTACTGGATCTCAACCAGCTGAAAATCTTCATGATGGCATGCATCAGTTCTTTGGGGTTCCCGGCAGAGGTCTGAGCCCCACCCCAAACTCCTTGGTGATGTCTCATATGAGGTGTTGCACATCCAATTTGGTGCTCATCCACAGAAATGTGCCAACGCTATGGTTGCCAACTTTTCAAACGGCCCCCACAGCTGTGCCTTTCGCAGGAGTTTTGATTTTCAAACGTTAGCAGGGTTATCTGCACCCCTTCTGAGATCTGTGGACCACGTTTCTCTTGAAGGAACAGAGAGCAGAGCTGTTTGTGTCTTTTTTTCCAGTTAGCAAGCCTGGCTGGGCTTGGTTGGCAGGTGCCGGCAATGTATGCTGACTCAGTCCTTAAGCTTTCCCAGAGACACACACAGAACTGGAAAGCACCATACGGTCTCCTTTCGAACGACTTCCGCAGATTTGCCAAAACAGCCAGGCTCATTGTGCTTAACTAACACACAGCTTCCAGGAAAGGACTCGCATCAGATGAGGAATTCAATAAGGTTTTATTGGAATTCTAAGGTTTTATTGTGTGCAGGCAAGATTCTTTTTTGGTGTTTGACATGATTTTCTTTGACAATAAGATGTGGGAAACACTCTACAAATGTTCACGAAACAAGACTAGGACAATGAGCAGCATTGGGCGCTGCCTCCCCCCTCCCCCTCGCCAGATTTCCAATCCTCAGCTGATGAATTGCAGTTACAGTGGTACCTTGGGTTAAGTACTTAATTCGTTCCGGAGGTCCGTTCTTAACCTGAAACTGTTCTTAACCTGAAGCACCACTTCATTCAGCTAATGGGGCCTCCTGCTGCTGCTGTGCCGCCGAAGCACGATTTCTGTTCTCACCCTGAAGCAAAGTTCTTAACCTGAAGCACTATTTCTGGGTTAGCGGAGTCTGTAACCTGAAGCGTATGTAACCTGAAGCGTATGTAACCCAAGGTACCACTGTACAAACCAAGTCTGGCTGGGCAAAAAATGGTTACGCAGAAGCTACCTGAGCAGTAAAATTGGGGAGACAAGCCAAAGGCATCAGCTTGGGTCCTTGGGAGGCTCAAGGGTGATGGAGCAGGCCTTAGCCTAGCACAATGGCGGGGGCTGATGAGGGATGGGCACTGGCTGGGCCTGGTAAGCGCTGAGGAAGGCAGGATGGGGCACCAGGTTGGTGAGAGAGATAAGGGTTGCCCCATAACCACCCATGGAATCTGTATTTGTGGAGCTCAGCCTAACCAAACGTCTTCTGGGAAGCCCTCAAGTAGAACCTGAGCCCACCAACCAACCTGAGCCCTCTCCCCAGCTGCGAGTCCCTAAAACAGAGGCACACCTTAGAGACGCAGCCCAGCCACCACGGCTGTCACTTCCGCCTCTCCTTCCCGGCCGTGTACCACGTGGCGTGGGAGGGGGCTCCAGAAGCTGCTGAAGGCGCTCTCCCCACCCCTGCAGAGAAGTCCGCTTTGTACCGCAGGGGGTGGGGCTGCGTGGGCGGGGCGTGTCCCGGAGCCCCGCCCCTCCCTGTCGCCTCGTGCAGCAGTCTCTCGCCTTGCCCCAGACTGCAGGAGCCAGAGACGCGCAGCATCCTCGCTCCGGACGCAGGTAACGGGGCTCGCTTTTCGCCAGGGGACCGTCGGAGGAGCCCATCTCCAGGGTGGGGCGGCTGCAGGAGGAGGGCAGGGAGGAAAGGGGGTTCGGCGGAAAGCGGAGACCACTGTCCCTTCTCTTGTTCATATTTTCTTGCCCCCACCCCCGTGAAATTTTGGAGACGTGAGGCCGCAGAACCGGAGGCGGAGGGTGGGGTGGGCGATGAAGAGAGGTGGAAGAAGATGGAGTAGGAAAGGTGGGATGGAGGAAAGGAGCGGTTAACCGCCCGGGGGAAATGAACGCACGAATAAAAAAGACTGCATTCCTTTGCGCAAAGGTACAAGCACAGCGTTTACTCGTGAGCAAACGTGCCCAATATTGCTCTGTTAGGGAGAGACAGAGCCGAGGAAGAAAGAGATGAGCATGGAGGAGGAAAGAGGCGAGTGGAGGAGCCACGAAGGTGGAGGAGAATAGATCTGGGATGCAGGCAAGGGCAGGGAAAGGGGGATGGAGATCTCGCTTGAAGCGGGGAGCGATGCCCTGCAAAGGAGCAGGATTTCCAGACGGAAAGCAAAAACGTCAAGGAGTCTCCTGTCACCTTAGAGACTAACCCTTTTATTGCGCTTTTGTGGACCAGACTCCGCTTCCCCAGAGAAAAGGACGGCAAAGGGGGCAGGGTTGGGTCTCTTACGCTTTTGCTTCCTCTGCCTTAGTGACCCTCTCGGGTCCCCTCTGACGCAGCAGCAGCAGCCCCGGAGGGCGACACCATTGGGCGCTGCCATCTTTCTCATCACCCTAGAGCTTTTCTTGGTATTCTTATGAGGGTCTCCCTGTGGGAGGGGGCTGCCACCCCGCCCTTCCTCTTGCAGATTTGCCCGTTCTTCCGCCTTACAGACCCCACCGCCACATGCAGAAAGTGTTGGGAGGGAGGAGGAGAAATTCGTCGCCTGCCCAGAAATGCGAGAGAGAGGCTGTACTGATGGAACAGATCCGGCATTCGATTTCCAAGACTGTCTAACGCGGGCATACTTGCTGTATCAGCGCCACATGCCTGGGGGGGGGTTGCTGCAGTATCCCCCACAGGGTAGAGAGCCGTTGCCCTCAAACCAGTAACCTGATCTCCTTGGGTGGCGGACTCCAGCTGGGTGTCAGGAGCGCTGCGGTCACCGCGCCAAGGTCTAGGAATGTGGAAAACGCAGGTGCAGTCTGGGAAGGCTGGGTGCGGGACATGGCGGTGCCGCAGACCCTGTGCCAAGCGCTCTGCTGGCGAGGCTTTTTCCGCAGCTGTCTGTTCTGCAAGGGCAGCACCTTAGCCAGCCCTGCAGCAGCAGCATGGTGGACTGCATTGCTGGTGCAGTCTAGACCGGTCCTTCGATATCCTGTGGGGTAGGCGTTATTAAAGTGGGGGGCAAGGAAGCATCAGCACAGGCTGTTGTTGTTGTTCAGGCTGTGGCTTGCCAGATCTGCAGGCTGGCTGCAACTGCCAGCAGTTTGGTCTGTCTCTTTAGCTGGTGACCAGGGAGGAACCTTCTCCAGGTCAGCGCAGCTCCTTTATAGCAACATACAGCAGTCTTTACAATGAGCCATAGGTCTATGTAGCTCAGTACTGCCCACACTAAATGGCAGCAACTCTCGGGGGTTTCGGGCAGGAAATCCTGGAGAGCTGCTGCCAGTTGGTGTGGGATATACAGAGCTACATGGACCAATGATCTGGCTCAGTATCAGCCAGACCATTGGTCCGTCTAATTTAGTATCATCCGTTCTGCAGGCAGAAAACCACACATAGGATTAGTGTTTTGGCTACACTCACTTGCAGTGGATTTTCAGGTGGGACATATCCAGCCCTGCTTGGAGGTGCCAGGAAACTTTTGCGTGCAAAGAAAATACCCTGCCACTCAGCTGCGCCACTTCCCCACAAACCCAGGACATCGCACAGCTCGAGAGAAATGGCCTAAACTAATTGCAGGGCTATGAATTCTCCTACTGTCTGCCTTGAAAGACTTTATTTGTTCCTAGTGTTCACTGGGCTGGTTCTGCATAAACAGTGCACTCAGGCTATGCCCAGTGATGCTATTCTTACAACATGGGTGTAGCTGACCAATCACGTCGGTTCTGCCAAATTTTGTCCTTGCTCAGGGTGCCATATTACCAAAGTCTGCTCCATACGGAGCGTGCCTGTTGATGTAGGGCAGGAGGGAAGCAGCAAGACAAAGGCAGGCTTGATATCAAATTAAGGCATGACCGTTAGGAAAAGGGGAGGAGTTGGGGTGTGCAGTAGATGGAAGCGGTTCGTAACAACAGATGTCCGTCTGACAAGCCCATGTCTGCCTCCTCCAAATTCCTATTTCTCTTATTTATTTATTTATCCCACCCTTCCTCCAAGGAACTCAAGGTGGCGTACATGCTTCTCTGCTTCCCCATGTTATCCGCACAACAACCCTGTGAGGTAGGCTAGGCTGAGAGACGATGACGAGCCCAAGGTCACACACCCTGTAAGCTTCATGGCATGGTGGGAATTTGATCCCAGGTCCTAGTTGGGCAAACTAACCAGAAATACCACACTGGCTCTTAAATATTCCTTCTCATCTCTCTCTCTCTCTCTCTCTCTTCCCCACCCTTCCTCTCAAGGTTCCTTTCAGGGACCTTGGGAAGCTACCTGATATTGAGTCCCACAATTTGTCCATCCATTTCTGTATTATCTACCTGGACTGGCAGAAGCTCTCCAGGGTTTCAGGCAGGGCTGCTTCCCAGCCGTACATGGAGAAGCAGGGATAGGACCTGGGACCTTCTGCATGCAGATTAGAGGCTCTGCTGCTCAACTATGAGCGTAGCTCAGTGGTAGAGCATCTGCTTTGCATGCAGAAAGACTCAGGTTCAATCCCTGGCATCTCCTGTCTTTTAAACGCTGGAGAGCTGCTGCCAGTCGGTGTAAACAGTACTGAGCTGAATGGACCAATGGTCTGACTCAGTATAAGGCAGCATCCTATATCCCCCTCCTTCCATGAGCTTTAGTTTTACTAATTAGCAACCCAGTGGGCCTGCTTTGAAAGGGGGGAGGTAGATGGTGCTCTGGGAGCAAGATAAAACCTGTGTCCTTTTCTGATGCAAATCACACACACACACCCTTTTTATATCTATATTTTTACTCCACAGAGCTAACAGCAGTGGTGGAGGTGTGGGGAGGAATTGGCAAAAGGTCACACCGAGGGAAAGGGTTCAATTAAACCCCCTTCCCCACAGCAGACCTTCCTGGGTATTCAGAACAGCCGCTCACATACACAGCCCAACTGCTAACTCATTAAAAAAATTAATGGGTTGTGTCCTAATTCTCGCTCTCCAGCATTAAATCTGCTTCGTGCCTGTGAGTCATCTTGTAATATATCTTCCCACCGCGGAAGTCAGCATGGGCTGCAGCTACTCAAAACAACAGAAGGGATAATTTTGGGGTACGGGGGGGGGGAGCCTCTGCAGCTACAGAGGGGGCAGGGGTCCCTTGCAAGCTGATGAGCCACATTGGCTCAATTTCAATTTATTTATTTGTTTTCTGCATTTATATCCCTCCTTCATCTTCCAAGGAACTGAAGGTGATGTGCATGGGTTCTCCTCTTCCCCGTTTCATCTTCACAACAACCCTGTGAGGTGGGTTAGGCTAAGAGAGGATGGCTGTCGCAAGGTCACCCAGTGGAGCTTCATGGCTGAGTGGGGATTCGAATGCAAAAACCTAAAAATACAGTGGTACCTCAGGTTAAGTACTTAATTCATTTCGGAGGTCCGTTCTTAACCTGAAACTGTTCTTAACCTGAAGCACCACTTTAGCTAATGGGGCCTCCTGCTGCTGCCACGCCGCCGGAGCACAATTTCTGTTCTCAACCTGAAGCAAAGTTCTTAACCCGAAGTACTATTTCTGTTTTAGCGGAGTCTGTAACCTGAAGCGTCTGTAACCCAAGATACCACTGTACAAAGTTAGCCCCTTGAGAAGGCTCTGGGTCGTGGAAGGGGCCGCTGTCACCCTCTGGATGTTACTGGTCTCCATTAGTCACAGAGGGCAGTGGTTAGGGGTGATGGGAGTTGTAGTTCGGGAACAGAGATGGGGAACCTCAAGCCTGGCATAAGGCACCTTCCTGTGTTTTTGTTATGCAAAATGGCTTTGGCTCAGTGGGAGGGTGTCTGCTTTGCATGCTGAAGGTCCCAGGTTCAGTCCCTCACCCTGGCTTCTCCTGGTAGGGCTGGGAGAGGCCCCTGCCTGAAACCCCCATAATTGCAGACAATACTGAAATAAATGGACCAGTGCTCTGACTCGGTGGGAGGTAACCTTTACTGCTTAGTAAAGGTAAAGGGTAAAGGGACCCCTGACCATTAGGTCCAGTCGTGACCGACTCTGGGGTTGCGGCGCTCATCTCGCTTTACTGGCTGAGGGAGCCGATGTTTGTCCTCAGATAGTTTTTCCGGGTCATGTGGCCAGAATGACAAAGCCGCTTCTGGCGAACCAGAGCAGCGCACGGAAATGCCATTTACCTTCCCGCTGGAGCGGTACCTATTTATCTACTTGCACTTTGATGTGCTTTCGAACTGCTAGGTTGGCAGGAGCAGGGACTGAGCAACAGGAGCTCACCCCATCGCAGGGATTCGAACTGCCGACCTTCTGATTGGCAAGTCCTAGGCTCTGTGGTTTAACTCACAGCGCCACCCGCGTCCCTTCTTACTGCTTAGTACTCTGGGTAAAAAAAAGAAAGAAAATCAGAGTGGGAGACATCAGCACAGACCTTTTACAGAGAAAATGACCCCCGTTGCACTGCATATTCTCTCCTTGAGCTGCTGGCAATGCCTTCTGCCACTAGGGGTCCCCAGACTTTTGAGGGTTCCCAAGGAGGCATGTTTTGGCAGCGTGAGAAACTGCCATGGGCACTGTTGCCATGTGGGCTCGACAAATCACGAAGACAAAAAAATATGGGTCACCTAGATGGTGGCACATGGAAAACAAAGCAAAAAGGCAAAACACGTGTTCACACCCTATCTCCCCCCGCTCTCCGGAAATGCACAATGCGCTCTCTAAAAAACAATAATACATTAAAAGCCAGGCAAGCCACACAAACACGGACACTCCAGCCTGCCTGAAACAGCAAAACTCATATGCCAAAAACAAAACCCCAAAACAGGCAACACCCAAAGGACCTTGTCTTGTAAATCTGCTCCTCCCAAAGCAAAACTTCATACAGGTATGAACAAGGAAACAAGTGAAATAAAAGTGTAGAAAGCTGCCTCCTTATCAGGTCCTTCTACACTAGCATTGTCTGCACTGACTGGCAGCTCTCCAGGATCTCCAACAGAGAAAGGCCTTCTGCACCACTAGCTACTCGATCCTCTTAACTGGAGTTGCGGCCGTTCAAACCTGAGACCTTGGTACTCAATACCTCCTTCCCTCCCCTTGCAGCACAGACCAGCAAGAAAGGTGTAGAAGGAGGCAAAAGACCCAAAACCCTTTGATTGCCACAGCAAAAGGGCACAGGCTTGAAATAACTGCATAGCTTTCTGCTTTGCCCTGCCTCCATTTCCCTCCCGCTGCTGTTGTTTTCCCCTGTGTCTTATTGTAAGCCCCTTGGGTTCAGGTACCTGTCAGACCTGTGCCTTCTAAAGCAACCGAGTTGTAAAGCTCAGGGAGGTTTGCTCAGGCATCCTGCTTTCAGTGCTGCAGGGAGGGGACAGCATGAAGCAGAGAGCCCTTGTGCATGTGCAGAGTGCTGCTCCTTGCTCACTCCAGTCCTGATGTATCTGGGATTATGAGGAACTGTCTTTCAGAGTGTGTAACTTTCTAAGAAAGGCTGGAGTCTCCAGAGAGTCATTCTGAAGACAAAGTTGGGCAGGGGTGGGGTGTTTTTGAGGCCTAGACTGACTCCAGCTACAAAAGCTGAGGCTGCTGAACAGACTCGTGGGCTGGGGTATCGTTTAGAGCTTTTTGTTACTGTTTTTGATCTCAATCTTTCAGTATCTTGATTTTTAGATCTTACGATTTGTGTGGAAATTTGGTTGTCTACTTTTGGGTGTGTTTTGTTTATTGTTTATGAGTACTTTTGTTATGTTTGTAATTATGTAAATCACTTTGTGAGCCACCTTGAGCATAATTTTAACTATGGAAAGACATCATACAAATAAGATGATGATGATGTTGATGATGATGATGAAGAAGAAGAAAGCGAGTTGGGGTGGGGAGAGAACCAAGCATTTTAGCCATCTTCCTGAAATAAGAAGAACAGGCAGGGGCTAGGAGCCAAGTGACAATAGGTTTTTCAAAGCCAGATGAAAGACTGGAGTTCAAATCATTCTCCTTGCCAAAGGAGCAAGCCAACTGCTAGCAGCTGTGAAACCCTTGATGGATCTGCCAATACTGACGCAATGAAATCTAAGTTTTATGTTTGTACAGCAGGCTGCACGCCCCTCTCTAACCTGCATCCAGACAAGCAAGAGGCGTGCTTAGAGTTCAAGGACAAATTCCAGCCAGGCAAAAGCATTCACAGATTATGTGGAACAGGGCCGGCAAGGGGTGTTGCCTGGAGAGGGGAGTGGCTAGTTAAGAGACGGAGCTTGAATCATAGAATCAAAGAATTGTAGAGTTGGAAGGGACCCTGGAGGCTCATCTAGTCTAACCCTCTGAAGTTCAGGAATCTTTTGCCCAGCATGGGATTCAAACCCTTGACCCTGAGATTAAGAGTCTCATGCTCTAGTGACTGAGCCACTCTGAAGAGAACCCCAAGGCCTGATAGACATCCTGGAGGGCCTCATTCAGCCCCTAGGTCTGAGGTTCCTCTCCCCTCCTCTATACCTTCCTTCTGCCATGCCAGAAGGGGCAATAATATCCCACGGAGAGACGCTTTTGATGGCTGCCCCACGACTAGAGGCTTCCTATTTCTGGAGGTTCTCCGAAGGCTGAGTAACCTCTAGGAATGTTGGGTCTGGGTTGGCAGAGAGAGAACATATTTCAGAGTCCCTCTGCTTTGCTCACCTTGCCTTCTGTGGGCCAGAGGCAAGTGTGGAGCAGCCCAGTCTGGGGTTTTCCTGGTTCCAAACTGTGTTGTGTTGGAGACTTGGGAGGAAAATTGGAAAAGACTTGAGGAGGATGCAGGGTTTTTGCAACGCCAACCGGATGGGACCAAAGGCTGCTGGGAGGCAGAACATGCACAGCAGTGATTCCCTATAGCAGGAGCTGGAAACTGTTTTGACCTCTGAGGCCACATAACATGGGTGGGCAGGGCCAGCGGCAAAAGCAGATGGGGCAATGAATGCAAATTTTACTCGGTGAACACAGCAGAGCTTGCTTCTGAGCAGATACGCCTGAGATGGCACTGCTTTGCTCATGTGGTTTATTACTTAGGGGCGGTGAGAGAGGTTATGCTGCTTCTAAGGCATCGTGCTGTCTGCTGGAGCCTAGCTGAAGAGGTTGGTGGGGGTGGGGACATAGAAAAGCAGGCTGGAGGTTTCTGCTAAAGTGATTAATAAGTTCCTTGTCCCCATGTACTCCAGAAGTGTCTAGAAGAGGCTATCTATCTATCTATCCAAAAGCACCTCTTTTGCCAAAAAGGCACACTCTCTCCATCTGCCTGTCTCGCTCTCTGCTTCCTCACCCGTCTCTTTGGCGTCTTTCCCCACTGCAGGAGTCTTAGGATGACTCATCCCCAACTTAGCTCACCCAGCGCTGAGTCATGGTTTCCACTGCAGGGGGAGAAGGGCCAGGTGGAGGGGAATCAAGGGCCTGAGGCGGGAAGCAAGGGGTGTGTGGCGTGTGTTGTCTAGGGAACTGCAGGCCCTCTCCCCCAAATCTAGCTTCTGCTTTCTAATAAGCTTCAGATCACCGGACCGGCTGTGTTCAGCCAGAATAATTTTTGACAATTCCCCTTTTGCCCTCCCAGTCCCATCTCTATATGATCGGGTGCCTTTTCTACTCCTAGATTCCTCCCACGCTCCACACCGTAGACTGAAAGGAAGATGAAGTCCACCATTGGTATTGCAGTCCTCGTGACAGGTAAAACTCCTTGCCTTGTACTGATGTCAAGGGTGCCACTTCCTTACATGAAAAGTTGTTTTTTTTTTAAATGCCTTGGTTCTCAAACGCCTTGGTACGCAAACAACCTGGAACCCAAACACTGCAAACCCGGAAGTCTTTCGGTTTGCGAACTTTTTTCAGAAGCCGAACATGCTCCGTTTTGAGTGTTACGCTTCCATTTTGAGTGCCATGCTTCTGTTTCAAGTTTTACGCTGAGGTCTGCCTGTTTTTGCTGTTTATTTTGCATTTTTGCAGCTCTTTTTTGTTTTGTTTTTGTGACTGTGTGCAACCCAGTTCAGCTACTGATTGATTGATTGATTGATTGTGTGACTGCAGTACATTGTTTATTGCTTTCATTTTATGGATCAGTGGTCTTGTTAGCTAGTAAAATTCATGTTAGATTACTGCTTTAGGGATTGCTTTTAAAAGTCTGGAACGGATTAATCCGTTTTGCATTACTTCCTATGGGAAAGCGCGCCTTGGTTTTGGAACGCTTTGGTTTTGGAACGGACCTCTGGAACGGATTAAGTTTGAGAACCAAGGTACCACTGTAAATGAATCAAAACAATAGAAAACAGCCCCCCCCCCCCCAAAAAGGAGGTGGTGTCCTTACAGTGACCCGGAAAGGGAGACCCGAAAGGGATGCTCCCCTTTGATGAGTTAATTAACCTAACTTGATGGATTAAAAATGCTCTTGTTGTATTAATTTCACCTCCTAACTGATGAGGCTGCAGGGATTGCAGCTCAGCTCTGCAGATCATTGCTTCTCCCTGTGTTGGTTAAAACCTCTTGCCTTCCTCAGTGCTCCAAGTTGCTCGCTGCCAGAGGATTAGAAGCCTGACCGCTTGCCTGAGCGACCAAAGCCTGCGCTTGGACTGTGCGTACGAAAAGAAGACCGCTAATGCCCTGAGCTACGACTTCCGCCTGAACAGGGATGTCGGCGTGGGGGTTGTTGTTGCCAGCAACCAGAACGTCCCCAACGCCATGTACAAGAACCGGGCCAACGTCACTGTGTCCAACAACCTAGTGTGCCTTCACCTCGCGGGCTTCACCACCGCCGATGAGGGGACCTATGTGTGCAGGCTGAAGATCACCAACGATTATGAGGATAACCAAATGAAGAACATCTCAGTTTTCAAAGGTGAGGAGGCCTGGATGCGAGGCAGGAAAAGAATTCAGAGGAGCTGGTCTTGGTCCTGAAAAGGGGTGGGTGGGGGGGTGGGAGAGAAATTCAATCTCGTTTGCATCTTAACAAGAAACTTCCCAATTCACAATTAGACCAGAACACAGCTAACCTTCAAAATTCAGACTTTTCCACATTTTGCAGTGTGGTTCTTTAGCCGAATGATGTGCACAGAAATGGAAATCCAGGGGATAACATGCAAAAAAAGGCACCTATTTTAGTGAAAACGAGACCAAAATTATTGTATTGTGGGAAGCTGCTGGCGAAAATGTGTATATTTGTCAAAATGGTGTAGCAGGAGAAATTCACACTAAACTGCTGTCAAACTTTGATGGACTTTTCTTTTTTAAGCGCAAATTGCTGCAGAATTGTGGAGAACTGATATTAAGGCTGGATAAGAATGGGAAATTTGCAGAACCAAAAATGGATGGGTTTGTTCATCCATAAGGGTGGTGAACTGTGAATGCAGGCAAAGATGTTTATTGGGTTAGATTTAAGACAGGAGGCAAAGTGACCCACCCGAATTCACAGGGGGTGGAGGGGAGGGTAGAAATCAGGTAGGCACATTTTTGGTGATTTATTTTGGGTTCATGGCTTTATTTTATTATCATCATTATTAAGAATGGTACATTGAGTTAAAGTAAATAGAAAAAAATAAAAAGAATACATAAAAAACATTTTAAAAGGCAAAGGAAAACAACAACAAGAATATGGCAATGAAATATAATTATGGATACGGAACTATATACAGTGGTACCCCGCAAGACGAACGCCTCGCAAGACGGAAACCCGCTAGACGAAAGGGTTTTCCGTTTTGGAGGCGCTCCATAAGCGAATTTCCCTATGGGCTTGCTTCGCAAGACGACAGCCCATAGGGAAATCTCAGGGACAGCGGGGAAGCGCAGCGCGTCTTCCCCACTGTCCTCGGACCTCCTCCGAAGCCTGGCGGCGGGGCGGGGACACCTCCTCCCGCCGCCGCCGGGCTTCGGAAGGCTCCTCCGAAGCCGGGCGGCGGAGGGAACACCTGCCGCCGCCGCCGGGCTCGGAGCGGTGCTCCGAGCCGGGCGGGGAGGGAACACCTGCCGCCGCCGCCCGGCTCGGAGCGGTGCTCCGAGCCGGGCGGGGGGAGGGAAGACCTCCGCCTCTGCCCGGCTCGGAACGGTGCTCCGAGCCGGGCGGTGGGGAGGGAAGACCTCCCCGCCGCCCGGCTCGGGACGGTGCTCCGAGCCGGGCGGGGGGAGGAAGACCTTCTGAAGGCGGGCGGGGGCGAAAGTCTTTGCTCCCCCTGCCTGCCTGTCCCGGAGGGCTTTTGAAGGCGGGGGAGCAAGACTTCGCCCCCGCCCGCCTTCAGAAGAGGTCCAGGACCTCTTCTGAAGGCTGGCGAGGGCAAAGTCTTTGTCCCCTGCCTGCCTTCCCAGGGGCTTTAAATTGCCCCGGACAGCGGAGAAGTCCTCCGCTGTCCCGGAGTGATTTTAAAATGCCGCCCGCCAGCATTTTAAGATCGCCCGGACAGCGGAGAAGTCCTCCACTGTCCGGGGTTTTAAAATGCTGGGGGTGGGAAGAAAAGCCCTTGCCCCCCAGCCTTCAGAAGAGGTCCGGGGACAGACTGTCCCCGGACCTGGTCTGAAGGCGGTTTCCCTAGGAACGCATTAATTGATTTTCAATGCATTCCTATGGGAAACCGTGCATCGCAAGACGAAAAACTCGCAAGACGAAGAGACTTGCGGAACGAATTAATTTCGTCTTGCGAGGCACCACTGTAATATGTATGTAAATGGATAAACATATGGTTTCCCTCAAGTCTACCTTGACTCATGGGTCACTATGGTTTTGATAAATACTTTCCAAATATCAGATTTGTCCATACATCATCTTCGACTGAAAGCAATCCGTTTGTGGGTTGCAAGAGTTGTCATATCTATCTATCTATCTATGACTTTATTGAATGGTTCTGATAGACTGATTGCCATTCCCAAGGTGATTTCCCTCTTTTAAAAAAAAATGCTCAAACAAGTAGACGGCATAAAAGGGAAGGTGGGAATCCCCAGGCCCAGTGTTTTCATCAGGAAAACTAATGCAACCTTTCCCCACATCTGAATGCGCCCTTTGTTTCTTGCAGACCGGCTGGAGAAATGCGCAGGAATCAGCCTCTTGATCCAAAACACCTCCTGGCTGCTGCTGCTCCTGCTCTCGTTGCCTCTCCTGCAAGCTGTGGATTTTGTGTCCCTGTAAAGAAGGAGAAGCAAGCAAAGTGGGGAGAGGGAGGGAGGGAGGGAGGGAGGGAGGATGGGGAGAGCCGGCTCAGAGCGGACTTAAACCCAACAGAGCATCGTGGCCCTGTCCTTTTTTCATTGTTGTTCTTGTTCCAGAAAGAGGCAGCCGATAAGGAGGACGGTTTGATGCCAAACCCCGATTGTATCTCTTAATATTATCTCTCTATATCTCTATATAGCCGCATAGCTGATGAAAGTGACTGATTTGCGCTAAAAGCCAGTATCATGCCGCTACATTCAAGCAATGGGTCACCGGTGGGGACGGACAGGAAAAGGAGGGGGGGGATCCTCAGCTCCCCATCCGGAAATCAAGCATGGCAGAATTTATGTGCCACTGCCCTTTTTTTTTTTTTTTTTTTTGTCCCACCCCATGCCAACTTTGACGATTTCAGTTCCTCTCTTTTTTTGCCCACCTCCCCCAAATGTGCCCTGCTTTTTGAGGGCGCTGCTGGTCTTCTGCAGCTTTGTCTTAGAGACTCGAGGGAAGGAGGCAATGCCAGCGAGCCTCAGCATGCTTTTTAAATTTTAAACCAAAGAGGTGCGCAGCAAAACGTAGAGGGGGCAGGCAGGGAGGGTTCAGCCCCACGTGGGCATAGAGCAGGGGTAGCCAACGGGATCTTAGACTCCAACTCCCATCAGCGCCCAGCCTGCGTGGCTGTTGACCAGGCATCATGGGAGTTGTGAGGGCAACAGCATGCATCGAGAGCCTGCATATTTCTTGCAAACCACTTATAGGTTTAAGTACAATCAGTGCATACATTTTGTTAAAGTCCACAGCGGTCTTTATTGCAGCGTGGCCTCCTTATCTGCTGGGAATCCTCCGCAAGAGAATGGGAAATCTTTTGCACCCAGGGTTAGGTTGCAAAAGCAATAGCAGAAGCTTGCAGATTCACTACCGGGGATGGGCGCTGGCTGTTGAACGAAGGAGTCATAGCTTTAGTGGCATGGAAGTCATGTGTTTGCATGCAAAAGGTTCCAGATTCAATCCCTGCCAACCTGTCACTGAAAGCTGTTTGCCAGGGAGCAGCAGTGAGGGAGAGAGTTGTATGCTGTGACTTTCATTTGTTTGTTTTCATGCACGGCTTGTGGGCTTCCTAGTGTGGGCAAGTGCAGAAAGTTGGGTGCTGAGCTCAGGTGCAAATGACCCAGCAGGGCTCTTCTTACATTTGGAAGAGCAGCGGGTGGGTGAGCTTCAAACTTGCCCATCATTTGCTCTGCATAACAGGATCCTCGAATTGGCTGGGTTCCGTGAAGGAGAATTAAAATCACTCCTAGCCCAAGCAACTGTTATGCTAACCCTGGTTTGTTTGTTTTTTAAGGAAGATTTTAAAATTATTATTGTTGCACGGCACCCCAGTCTCCAAGTCATGTGAGATTCCAGCAGTTCCAGCTGCTTACCCAGGGTTCGTGGAAATGAGGCATGGCAGAGACTGTGTTGTCTTTAATATATATGGTTTATTTACACATATATACAACCTGAGCCTATGAAGGAGGTGGTCACAGCTTCAGCACTTCAAAAAGGTCATGTTTCTCCCATAGTCACAGCCTTGGATCCAAACAGACACCAAATATTGCTTTCTAACATTGCTCTCCCTCTCTTTCTTCAGCTTGCTGCTTTCCTTCTAGGACACATCTCTCCTCACCTCTCAACCCTAAACTCTGGCTTTATCTGTTGAGGGAGGGGGACCCACCCATTCGCAATCTAGCACAAGCCCTTAGGTCTTTTGTTCTCTTAATGGCCCATCACCCAGGAGGGTAGCCTGACTTGATTAGCTTTTGAACACTTGCTGAAACAAGAGATTAGACGCTTCTAGCATTCCGTTTAACACCCCAAGCCTTGGTTCAACACTTACTGGATCCAGAGATTAGAGTGGTCTGGCACCCACAAACTCATAACACTACCTGCCCCCCCTAAAAAAAAAATCAGACACCTGTCCACACATTTTCAACAAACAGCAAAATATCTCTTCCCTGTAGAAAATTCACAGACAAGTAAGCCAAGGCATTAAAACACACATCATTAAAAACAGATAATAATGCACAATGACACTTTTAACCTAACCCAGTACTGAGTACAGTAACAGCTTATTCCTTTCAAACAAGTCAGGCCTTCTCCTTTCTCCTTAGCACACACTCTGAGTCAGTTCTGCGTTCCACGCTTGGCATGTCCAAGATAGTGAGTTTTGACATGTTTAAGCCAGGATACAGCTCTCAGCACCCTTGTTCATTCTTTCCCTTGTGCTCTCGCTTCACAAGGCAGCTTTCAAACATACAGTTAGCTGAACAGTTCCTACAAATCATTCAACAGCCCCCATCACCACAAACATGCAAAAAACACAAATCAACAGCATTCAGAAAATTAATAAAACTTGCCAAAACTTCCAGAATGGTCCACTGCAGCAAATAATTAAAGGTAAAGGGACCCCTGACCATTAGGTCCAATTGCGGACAACTCCGGGGTTGCGGCGCTCATCTCGCTTCACTGGCCAAGGGAGCTGGTGTACAGCTTCCGGGTCATGTGGCCAGTATGACTAAGCCGTTTCTAGCAAACCAGAGCAGCACAGAGAAATGCCATTTACCTTCCTGCCACAGTGGTACCTATTTATCTACTTGCACTTTGATGTGCTTTTGAACTGCTTTTGAACTGCTAGGTTGGCAGGAGCAGGAACAGAGCAACAGGAGCTCACCCTGTCGTGGGGATTCGAACCGCCGACCTTCTGATCAGCAAGCCCTAGGCTCTGTGGTTTAACCCACAGCGCCACTTGCGGCACAACCCCCCCCCATGCCATGCAGTTGCTTGCATTACTGTTTGTCTTGGGATTTCACATAGTTCTCATTTCCAAGTAGATCAACCGTTACTTTGGGGTTCAAATCACACATTCAGGGTTTGTTTTTCAAATTTCTCTTTCCCCTCCCCTCTGGTTGTGGATCGGAGGCTCCAAACTCCACTCCCCAAACAGTCTCTGCAGCGGCATGCAGGGCTTCAAGACACAACCGTAGGAACACATCTGCTTCTGCACTGGCACACTGATGGTCCTCTTCATCTTTTTTCCTCTTGCTAACCCTGGGCCAGTCCACTTCATCCCCTGCCCCCAAACTGCAAATCAAAGTCTTTACCTGGGGATACCTCCATTAGGATCAGACCCCCTAAGTTGGTGGCCAGAAATTGCCCTCTGTTTCCTCCCAACAGCCAGGCATCCCCCTCTCTGCTTACTCCCAACATCTCCTGAATGCTTCATGGGCCGAAAGAAAGGGAGGTAATCCTCCCAGTGGCTCTTTCCTCCAACACCCATGGGATCCTGGGTGACTGTGGGTGCTGAGCTGCACCCAGTACAGTCATACCTCTTGTTACGTTCGGTTCAGGTTACGTCTTTTCAGGTTGCGTCCCGCAGCAACCCGGAAGTATTGGAAAGGGTTACTTCCAAGTTTTGCTGCTCGCACATGTGCAGATGCGCAAAATGACATCACGGACATGTGCAGAAGCAGCAAATTGTGACCCGCGTGTGCGCAGACGCGGGTAGCGTTCCTCTCAGGTTGCGAACAGGGCTCTGGAACAGATCCCATTTGCAACCAGAGGTACCACTGTATAGGGATGGGTCCCGACCGTGCAAGTCCATATCGGGGCACCCAAGGGGCAAAATCATTGCGGGCGGTTATCTCATCCATTTCCTCAGACACAAGCTGCTCTTCTTGCATGCTCTCTCACACCTCCAATTTCTCCTGCTGCATCTCTTCTTTTTGGCACCTCTGTAGGCCACTTATGCACACTTATGCCTCTAGCTTTTCCGGTGCCTTTTCCGCCACCGAGAAAAACACCGCTGCTCTACTTGCGCACGAATATTCACACCTCTCTTTTTCTGGCCCCTCCGCAAGCGCCGATTCCCCTTGCTCACGCACGCACACCTTGTGTCTCTGCCCCTCCACCGCTGGCACTCAGGGAGTGAGATCTCTAGGCAGCAGCTCTTCACTTCCATCCTGCAGTGTGCCCTCCGCTGAGGCACCTGTCTCCTGCACTCTCCTTTTTCCACAGCAGGCTCCGAGGGAGTGGAGAAATCAATCAGCAGCAGCTGCTCAGCTCCAGCCAGCTGGAGGCATTGTCTTTCCCCTTGCCTTCAGCTACTAACTTTGCGGTCCAAGCCCCTCAGCTGCCCAGCCACACAGTGGATCTGTTTGGCCACCCTTCCATCTAAGCATCTTGTAGCTGAGCTCCTGGGTCACTTCCAAACCCCTGTAGCATCTCATGAGGCAGGGCTCTCACCTCACACCTAGTCATGCTTTCATCTCCACGGGGAATTCGGGGCCACTCTGCCAGCAGCTGACCCATTTTGTCCAACCGCCTGCTTTATTGCTGCTTCACTCTCTTAAGCCACTCAAGGAGGGTGGCTGTTGTTCCCTCCGATTCAGGTACACATCTCTCATAGGTCTTCCTCCAGGAAACCCGAATCCCAAGTTCTGACACCAGTGTTGCACACCAATCTAATCTCCGAGCAATTCAAGATTCTGGGGTTCCAGGAGCTTACTCAGGGTTTGTGTTTCCTTTAGGAAATGAGGCCTGGCAGAGACTGTGTTGCCTTTAATATATATGGTTTATTTATCTATGATATATTGTTTATTTATTAAACTACGATGGAGGGGTTCACAGCATCAGCACCCCAAAAGGGTCTTGTTTCTTCCATACCTACAGCCTTGGATTCAAACAGACATCAAACATGGCTTTCTAATGTTACGCTCCCTCTCTCTCTCTCTCTCTCTCTCTCTCTCTCTCCAGCTTGCTGCTTTGCTTCTAGGGCACATTCCTTCTCACCTCTCTACTCTAAACTCTGGCTTTTTCCATTGAAAAAGGCCCCCCACCCATTTTTCATCTAAGATAAGCCCTTTGGTCCTTTGTTTTCTTAATGGCCCATCACCCAGCAGCCTAACTTATCTCAATTAGCTTTTAACACTTGCTGAATCCAGGGATTAGAAGTGTCTAGTACTCAATTTAATACTCCAAGCCTTGATTAAATTCTAACACTTACTGGACCCAGGGAATAGAGAGGTCTGGCACCCATAACATTATCAAGTATCAGGGCAAAGCTTTCCAGTTAACCCAGCCCAAGGTGACCAGTTTTTAGTCTGTCCGCAAAACAGATCTTGGTCTTTTCTCTGAAGAAAAGCCTAGTGTGTAAAAGAAACCACCTTGTACAATTGGCCCACCTCGCCTAGTATTATGGGCACTGACTGGCAGCATCTCTCAGGGGTTTCAGGGAACAGTTCGAGGAGGTGACAAGGATTGAACTGGGACCTTTCCATGCACAGCAAGATGTTCTTCCACTAAGCCATAGCCCTCCATCTTTCAGCTGGGAAGCATAGCTGAGCAGCTTGCTTGCATGGGATAGCTCAGTCGGTAGAGCATGAGGCTCTTAATCTGAGGGTTGTGGGTTCGAGCCCCATCCTGGGTAAAAGATTCCTGCATTGCAGAGGCTTGGACCTTGTGGTCCCTTCCAACTCTTCTGTGATTCTATGGTCTTCCCTTAGCCCTCAGGTGGAGGAAGGAAAGGGAGCACTGTCTTACAAGGGCCAGTGACCAGGAGAAATGACCCCTGGGCAACCAGGCTGGAAAGCACCATTAAGTGTGGTTGTCTACCCCAACTCCCCAGTTTGCAGCTGCAGATGTCTAACATAGGGGTATGAAGGCAGTAACGGGGTATGTGTGTGTGTGTAAGGAACTGCTAAATCAGCTGCTCCCTGCTCCCCTCTGCTCTGGAAGTTGCCACTTTCTTGCCATGTAGTGCTGTGACCAAATCCATGCATCTCCAAACCTAAATCTTCACCACCAGCAACAACCCCTAGCCAATCCTCACCCTGGTGGTCTCTTGGAACCTTGAACAGCCTTTGTAGGCGGAGCCAACCAGGTCCCCGCCCTCCCAGTCCAGATAGGAAAGGGCAAGACTGAGAGATGAGCCCATGATCTGGCTGGGTATAAAACAGCCTTACTGTAGATATTCCTCTTGTTGCACAATTCTTTGGGTGCGGGGAAGATGGCTGCAGTCCCGCAGGGCTTTACTAATGCTAGTCCTGCTTGGAGTAGACCCACTGGAGTTTAATGGGCATGCCTAAGTTAGTTTCATTCATTTCAATGGCTTTACTCTTAATAGCAGTGGAAGCGACCCTTAATCTGCGAGTGTCCTCGTTGACCACAGAGTCTTACCACTGAGTAAGCAAGCAAAGTGTTCAGCTGTAAAGAGTGTGAAATGTTTTTCTTGGCCGCCAGTTGCCCACCTGTGGCTAGAAAGTCCTAGAGTTGGTTCGGTCCTAAGTGGAGAGGCCGTCTTGGATTCTCAGCGCCACTGGAATTAAGGGCCAAAAGTATGTGTTTGATGGGGGAACCGTGTGGACTTATTCAGTCAGAGCTAGCTGGGGCGGGGGGAATACCTTGGATTGCAACAGACTGGGGAGAAATTATCTTGGAGTAATAGAGCATAAGGAGAGGATCTCTTGATCCTCGGCTCCATGAAAATTAAATCTGCAGGGTTTTCCTCTCTATTTCCTCTTAGGTCTAAATTGCCTCAGAGCTGCATTCAGAATCCTCCCACCCTGCATTGATAAATAAGGTATAAACAGTTCCCTTTCCCAGTTCTCAAAGATTTGGACAGATTGATGCAGAGTCCGTCTCCAAACATTAAGTGGCATGAGTCTACAGGCTGTGTTCCCCAGAAACAGGGCTTGTTTGACTAATGGTATCGTTACCTGACTCTCAAAAGGTCCAGTCTTTACATTCTCTTGCTGCATTGCAGCTGAGCAAAGCAGGCCCTCCTCATTTCTGTCGTTCCAGCAAAATCTGCTTAATATAAAGTGCTTTTCATTATGCCTTTAAAGAAATCCCAGTCTGGATTCCTGGAGCACGTTTGGAGCGAACCACTTTCCCCGGTCACTTCTTGGCAGCAGAAGGTTGCTTCCAGGAGATATTAGAGGAAAAGCAAACGTACCCAGCCAACTCTGCCAATTGCAAATGATAGAAAATAGATTATTTTACCAGTACTGGTAGAAAACTGTGGACTAGTACCTTGGGTAGACTTTGCAAGGTGCTATATCCTGTGGGTTCTCTCACAGCAATACCACCCTTTGCTTAGCCATATCAGCAACTATTTCTTTCTAAGCTGTTTTCTGAGTAGCATGAAGGAAAGCAAAAGTTTTCTTTGAACTGCAAATGACCAAAGTCAATTTGCTTTACTAGCCTACTAGAAAACTGTGGACTAGAACCTTTGGCTGACTTTGTAAAACACTGTGCACCTACAATTTTCTCCCACCACCACCTCATTCACCAACTCATAGTGGCACTATTTTTTAAAAAACAAACAAACCATAAATTTCCAGTATTTATGTGCCCATAACTGAGGGTGCAAAATATAAGCTGTTCGTGTGCTGTATTTTTGTTATGCCATTTGAAATGGGCAAGTGGATATCTGCATGTCACATGCACGTTTTGTGGGATTTCAAGTAAAATGTGTGCTTTTTAAAAAGGGGGGAGGGCGGACCCCCTTTTTTTTAACCAGGCTTTGCAAACACAGAGAGTGAGTGGGATTACAACTGAAAACAGAGCGATGCGCTTACAGCTGTTGCAATTCTTTGCTGGATAAGAAAGTGGGAAAGAGCAGTAGAGAACTTGCATCTAGATACCGTAGATCCATTGTGAAAGAGCTACAGGTTTCCCGGGCTGAATGTTGTTTGAGGCCTGAAACAAACAGGAAGCTGAGGTTTATAGGTGAGATGTTTGGTTAGGTGGATCTCTGCAAATACAGATTCCATGGGTGGTTATGAGCTGGTCCCTTTCCTTGCTTCTGTCCTGCCCACACCAACCTGCTGCCCTATCCTGCCTTGCTCAGCACTTACCAGACCCAGCCAGTGCCCAACCTCTCATCAGCCCCTGCCATTGTGCTAGGCTAAGGCCTGCTCCTTGACCCTTCCAAGCTGACGCCTTTGGCTTGTCTCCCCCGATTTTACTGCTCAGGTAGCTTCTCCGTAACCATCTTTTGCCCAGCCAGACTTGATTTTTAACTGCAATTCATCAGCTGAGGATTGGAAATCTGGCGGGGGGGAAGCGGGGAGACAGAGCCCAACACTGCTCATTGTCCTAGTCTTGTTTTGTGAACATTTGTAGAGTGTTTTCCACAGCTTATTGTCAAAGGAAATTATATCAAAGGAAAAAAACATCTGTCTGCACACAATAAAACCTTAGATTGTTGAATTCCTCATCTGATGCGAGTCTTTTCTTGGACTATTAGAAGGGTCTGGGGCCAACAGACCTCGGCATTGCCTGGTTGTCTTCATCAGATACAAGTTACTTGTCTGCACGGGATAGAATATCTCCTAACTATCTGCCAGCCTCTGTTGCAAGTAGGATTGACCTAAGGGACCCCACAATAGCAGTAGTAGTAGTAATAATAATAATAATAATAATAATAATAATAATTTATTTATACCCCGCCCATCTGGCTGGGTTTCCCCAGCCACTCTGGGCGGCTTCCAACAAAACACTAAAATACAATAACCTATTAAACATTAAAAGCTTCCCTAAACAGGGCTGCCTTTAGATGTCTTCTAAAAGTAGCTCTTTTCCTCTTTGACATCTGGTGGGAGGGCGTTCCACAGGGCAGGTGCCACTACCGAGAAGGCCCTCTGCCTGGTTCCCTGTAACTTGGCTTCTCGCAGTGAGGGAACCGCCAGAAGGCCCTCGGCGCTGGACCTCAGTGTCCAGGCAGAACAATGGAGGTGGAGATGCTCCTTCAGGTATACTGGACCGAGGCTGTTAAGGGCTTTAAAGGTCAGCACCAACACTTTGAATTGTGCTCGGAAACGTACTGGGAGCCAGTGTAGGTCTTTCAAGGCCGGTGTTATATGGTCTCAGCAGCCGCTCCCAGTCACCAGAGTTTGGATTTGATATCCCGCTTTATCACTACCCTAAGGAGTCTTGAAACGGCTAACATTCTCCTTTCCCTTCCTCCCCCACAACAAACACTCTGTGAGGTGAGTGGGGCTGAGAGACTTCAAAGAAGTGTGACTGGCCCAAGGTCACCCAGCAGCTGCATGTGGAGGAGCGGAGACGCGAACCCGGTTCCCCAGATTACAAGACTACCGCTCTTAACCACTACACCACACTGGCTCTCTAGTGGGTGTGGTGGCCGTCTGCAAACATATGCTGCCTCCAAATTGGTGAGGTCCTGGGGTCCAGAAAAATGTGCAGGGAGGGGTGGGCACTGGGCAAATCAGTTGCCAAGATTTCAGCCACCCTTGCTCTAATGAAGGTGTGGAGAACTTGTGGCCCTCCAGAGGTTGCTGAACTACAACTCCCATCAGCCTCAACCATTGTCCATGCTGCCTGAGGCCGGTGGGAGTTGTAGTTCAGCAACATCTGGAGGGCCAAAGTTCCCCATGCCAACCTGACTGGTAGCCCTGATGACAAGAAAAACCAATAGGCACTGTCCCCTTAGTATTTAATCAACAGCCGTTTGCATTTTCTGCACTGGTGTTTCCAACGATGGTGTGGACCTGTGACACTTTGTGAGCTTCATTAACTACGAATCCCACAATTCTGGATCCCCTCCAAACTGGTGCCAATGTTTCGCAGTTGCTTTGCAGCATTTTGCAATACAAAACCTGCATTTTTTTAGTGCCTTGCCCAACAGTCATTGATACATTAAATAGGTGTCTGTAGTTAACACCCAAAAATCCAACATGGCCCAATTTCATCCCAACCAGTGCCAAAGTTCTGCAATAATTTTGCTGAATTTTGCAGCAAAAAACTCACATTCTGCAGCGCCCATTTAGGCCACACCCTTGCATACCTGAAGCTGGCCTTACTGATAATGGATTAGAATGTGCAGTTTCACCTGCTGACATCTGCAAATCAAACTGCTGATAAGCAGGCCAGGATTAGGGGGGCAGAGATGGATTTAGGGGAGCACAACCCGTTCAGTTGCACTGGGCACCAAGACTCGGAGTGCCATAGGGAATGCCACAACTATGATTTAGAATGGAGTACCAGAAGCAAGGGTGGGGGTTTGCCTTTCACCTCCAGTGCCCTCTCCAGATGACCAGGTGCCTTTCCAATTCCTAGATTTCACCAGAGAGGAAGATGAGATTCACCTTTAGCACTGAAGTCCTCCCGACAGACAGAAAACATTACTGCAAGGGCTGCCTTGCACTGCCATCTAGCGGTCTGAGAAGGCAATCATCTGGGCCAAACCAGATTACCATTTTACCAGTCTGAATCTGTCTGCATTTTGCAGCAATTTTAAAAAGCAAAAATCCTCCTGGAAATCCTTCGCCATTTTTAGCACGAATTTCTCCTTAAACAGCTTGTTTTTTGCATGCAGTTTTGACTAACGTACATATTCTTGCAAGCAACTTACCCTGAAACAATGCATTTTTGCATGGCTTTTTTCACTAACGTAGGCATTTTCATAAACATGGTTTTGCTGGAAAACTGCGATGCCATAGATCAGATAAGAGCCAATCTCAATAGCTGCGCTTCAGTTTTACTAAGGCTGTTTCAGAAAGTGTGAATTTGACAGATTTGTCTTTAAATGCAATCAGTCAAATTCCCCATCCCTAGGATACGGGCGCACAAAATGCCCCTCCATCCCATGAAACTTGAACAGCACTTTAATGTAGACACTGCTCTTGTTGGGAGAGAGGAGTTTTCTAACACCCCATACATAGCAGCACCATTTTTATAAAAAAAAGGAGGGTTCCAATATTTACACCCCCGCAACTGAAAATGCAAAATGAGTTAATGTTAAATTTTTGTTGTGCTGCTTCAAATGAACAAGTAGATTGCTGCGTGTTGTTATGTGCACATTGCTTGGATGATCTGTCTGCACACAATAAATCCTTAGGTTGTTGAATTCCGCATCTGGTATGGAGTGCGATTATTAGATCAGTGTTTGGCTTTCAGATGCCTTGAATGAGGTCGAGCTACTATTGTCTTTCGAGGGTGAGCAGAAGGCAGCTTGGCAAACCTTTCTACCAGCCCCAATTTATCTCTGCATATCATGCATAGTTAACAGGAAGCTGTAGCTTCTCCCACCATTTCATGTCCTGCCGGAAGATATAAACACCTGCACCCACTTAATTCATTTTTGCATGCTAGGCCACTGTGAAAAATAAATGCCAACCCTATAAAAACTGCAATAATAAATCTGGCACTTTTAGCTGGGTGTTGTTTTTTTAAGGGATTGCATTTCAAGATCTCCTTTTAAACAAGCAGCAGGTGCGAGGCTGGTTTCCAGTCCGGGCCTGAACTCCAGAACCTCTGTCCACAAAGTTCACTCCAACAATCTGCTGCATCCCCCTGCGGCGTAGTTCGATCTTCCAAAGCTGATGCACCGATCCAAAGTTGAACACAGCGCCCTTTACTTCCGAGGAAACGCATATATAGGATGGAGCGGTAAGGACGCTTTCCTCCACTCACGATCCGACCCCGACCCTTCCTGCACCATGGCTTATTTCCATAGAACCGCCAACTTCGCCAAAGGCCAAGGAAGCTTTATATACGCGTGGCTAGCTCGACCACGTTGCCAGGCGGAATCCCGGCTTAGTTTAATGCGGGTTTATTTACTTCCCCAGGAAAGCGTTCGCGCCAGCAGGTTGCGAGTCGTTGCCACTACGCGTGTGCGTAAACGGCTAGCAGCGCACCCGATCCATAAAAAAAAAAATGCGCCTGCAGCTTTATTCGGAAGGGGGCGGGTCGCTTGCTATGCCGTTGTCAAAAGAAAACAAAAAACCGCGAAAACCTTAATAGATTACTCGTGTCAAAAGCAAACAGGAGAACACGTTTTTTGTGCTTTCAAGGGGGTGCTGCTCTTAAACAGGGTGACCTACATTTTCAATATACGGTATATCTTCTGTGTGTTTTTTTAGTTTATTTACGCCGTGAGCCGCTAGGGGTCCTGCACTGGGAGAATGGCGCGCTATTAAAGCAACAAGGAGATGCGCGTTTTCTGAGCGCGTGCAGAGTGCATTTCTAGCTCGCGTGCAGCTACTGCAGCCAGCTCCGGAAAAACCTAAGCTTGGGTCCCCCTGCTCCGTTCCTTCCCTCTCTCCGGCTCCCGGTCCTGCCTTCTCCCTTCTCCGCGCGCGCCGCCCCGCGGCGCTCTCCGGGACGCGGGTGTCGCTTCTGGCCCCGCGGTGCGTCAGCTGCGCCCGGATTGTGACATCAGGGGCTGGCGGCTGGGAAAGCGGCTCCATGGAGCCGGCCGGGTTCGGCTCGTCCCCCCAGGAGAGAGCCAGGTGAGTGCGGGGCGCGCCCCGATCCCCACCCCTAACCACGGGCAGGCGGGGCGGGGCAGGCGCTTCCCTTCGCCCGGGTTAGAGACGCCCGCCGCCCGCGGCAACTCCGGAGTTGGGCCCCTCCTCGCGATTGAAGGCGTGGCGAAGCATCGGGGCCGGGTGTGTATATCCGTGGCTTCGAGAAACTCTTGTGCCGTAACGGTAGCCTTCCCCGACGCGCGTTCGCCTTTTCCCAAGTTACTAGCTCCTATCTCATCCAGGAATCCAGAGCTATCCCACGTTACGCTCTGGCGGATTAAATGAAAGTACGTAGGGAGGGGAGGTAGCCAACCGACATAGAGATTAGAAGCCGCTATCACCATCATTATTATTAATAATAGTATCAAGTTTAGGGTCTAAGATAGCGTGGTCCTGTCCCATATGTGAAAGGCCCTTCTCCAGGGTAAGGACTCTTGATTGTGTATGTCGACAGACTGCACCCACCGAGGTGGTCTGGAAAAGGCTCTCTGCACATGCTCAGAAGCATCACAGAACACTACTTTTCATTTCTCTCTTGCTAGTCACTTCCAGGCAATTATTTTTTTTAATTGAGCCTTCATTTTGATTTGCTTTTGCATAATGTCTGTGAAGAGGTGAAACTTAATCGTCTATTTATCCAGCTTCCTTTCAGATTCGTTGCATAGAATTGTAGAACTGGAAGAGGGACCATGAGGACCATTTAGTCCAGCCCCTCTGCGATGCAGGAATCTTTTGCCCAGCGTGGGGCTCGAACCCACAACCTTGAGATTAAAGAGCTGCAGGGAGTCACTTAACAGAATGTCAGGCCAAGACTTGGGGGAGACGGGGCTTCAAATCCCCACTGGGCTGTGATGCCCACCATGAACTCCTAGCCTTGCCTACCTTTCATGTTTGTGAGGATGACAGGGAGATAGCAGGGAGCCTAACCATCCTGGAATGTGAATGTAATAATAAAACAAGTGCATCAGCAGAAGGAACGAGTTTGTCCCCTTCCATCCAGTGTGTATACTCTTCCCCCAACTCCTTACATGCTGCAAGTTCTAGAAGTTGTTTTTAATGCACCCTAGGAGTTTAAATAAAACTCAGTTTTGTCTTTTTTGAAGAAAAGTATTGTTGGTGGTGGGACATGGGTGGCGCTGTGGGTTAAACCACAGAGCCTAGGACTTGCCGATCAGAAGGTCGGCGGTTCGAATCCCCACGATGGGGTGAGCTCCCGTTGCTCACTCCCTGCTCCTGCCAACCTAGCAGTTCAAAAGCACGTCAAAGTGCAAGTAGATAAATAGGTACCGCTCCGGCGGGAAGGTAAATGGCGTTTCTGTGCGCTGCTCTGGTTCGCCAGAAGTGGCTTAGTCATACTGGCCACATGACCTGGAAGTTGTACGCCAGCTCCCTGGGCCAATAAAGCGAGATGAGCGCCGCAACCCCAGAATCGGCCACGACTGGACCTAATGTCCAGGGGTCCTTTTACCTTTATTGTTGGTGGTGGCTCACCCGATTGCTCCCTGTACTCCGGAGAACTGTGCATAGTCAGCCAGATGGTGGAAGACAGTTTGGCTTAACCTCCATCGCCAGACTCCAGCTCTGGGATGTCAGGAAACATTACAGATCCTCACTGGGCAAGGCAGCATTCTCTATTAGCTGCTTGCTGGAGCTCTTGGGGCAAAATTTGGTTTCCCCTACGGAAATTCAGCAGCAGCCTCAAGCCCTTTTGAGCTCTGCCAGGGCTCTCTGTCTGCGCTGAGGTGCATGTGACCGAGAAGCCGGAGCTGTTGTTAACACCAGGAATGATGAAGCTGGCGTTGAGGAATCTCTCCCTGTTATTGCAGGCTGAGTCAGTGCCTGGAATAAGCCCTGGGGCAGCCGGCCCAAGCCGTGGCTCCGCCTCCCATAGTGTGACTCTCTTGTGTTGTGTTGCTATGTGGATTTGTTTGCATCTTAGGGCGTCCTCCAGCTGGGGTGCTCCAAACAATGCTGCTGCGCTACATCCGCTGGGGCTGATGGGAATTGTAGTACAGCAGAATCTGGAGGTGCCCCTGGCTGGCCCAGCCTGCCCTAAGTCCTTCTCTAAAGACTTTCCCGGGGGGGGGGGGAGCCTCCCATCCCCCTGAAAACGGTTCCAAGTGAGTTTAAAGCATCCCCCTTTTCCTTCCTTTAACCTGTGACACCCTGCAGCTCCTTTACCCAATGGGAAGCGTGTTGGTTGATTGCCCTAGATTTCTGCTCCCAGAGTTCAGGACATTGTAACGCCCGTTTCCATCTCCCATCTGTCATTGCGACAATGCCCGTCACGCTGCTAGGCAGGTTGTGCTAATGTTCCCATTTCACAGATGACAAACTGAGGCTGAGAGATACTATCTGCGCCTAAGGGGGTCACGCCGGTTCATTAAGGCTCTGTGCGTGAGCTGCTCACTTCCTCATATGAACGTGAAGTTATTATAATAATAATTCCAATGATTGTTTTACAAGTGCTTTTAACAAAAACAAAACAGCAAGAGGCTGTGTGCGTACCAAAATAAAGCTTAAAATGAACAGCACGAGCCGCTCCAAAAACTGATATTGAGGGCAGTTTGCAGCACTCAGTGAATAAAAGTTTTACTTTTTTAAAAAAAAGGGGGGGTGAGCTTCTTGTCCTTATAAATTAGCTTGACTTCAGACTGGGAAGAATCCCGTTTCTCAGCCATTCCTCTCCAATCATATCCTTCTGTTCACCTTAGTTCTCTTTCTTGTAACATCTTACTTCCTATCCCCAATGCCCTCTTCCTTCCTCTCACCAGGAGTCTAGTCCTGTCGGCCCATCCGCCCCCCACCTTTCTATCAGAGACGAGCCCCCCTCCCCGCCTGGCTGGGCCCCTCCTGTGCTGCCCCTTTAAGTCTCCCCACGCTGGAATGTGAGAGTGCTCCAGCCATCCTGTGAGGTCAGATAAGACACTATATTTATCTGGCTGGTAACCTGAGCTGTGAATTTCTGCTGTGGACTACACCACTACTGAAAGGCATTCGAGTTCATTCTGTGCCGGAGAAGTTGAGCTGCTTGTTGAGATCTCCTCCCCCCCCCCACCTCTCTTTAACTTCCAAAAAACACAACTAGAAATCCCCCACAAATCTGACTTTCACAAACAGGTTAGTACCTACTGGCTCTGTAACCTACCTTTTCTTTCTCTTCACCCGATCCTGCCGCAGAAAAAGCACCTTGCGGAGACAGAACTGAGCCCCATGCCACTACTCCTCAGGCCCGTTGTTCCATGCGCACAGGTGGGTACAAACCGGGGCGGAAGGAAGCCTGGAGGGCTGTTTAAAGCGGGACCCTTAAATAGCTCGACCAAGTCCAAAACAACTCTGTTTCTTCCTAGGCTGAGATGTTTTGTGAGGATGGGAGCTTTATGCGTTTACTCAAATTACTCTCCCAGTGTGCTTAATGCAGTTGTTAAGCAATCCAATGTGTGGGGTTTATTATTATTATTATTTTAAAAACTTTAATAAACCTCTTTATTTTGGACCGGTTACAGGTGTTTGTAGGAATTGGCAAACTTTAGGGAAGTTTTAATGTTTGATGTTTTATTGTGTTTTTAATATTCTGTTGGGAGCTGGCCAGAGTGGCTGGGGAAACCCATCCAGATGGGTGGAGTATAAATAAATTATTATTATTATTATTATTAGCATGTGCAAAATGCTTTATCTCAGTCAGAGCAGAAAGGTAGCAGGCAGGCAGCTGTGTCAAGAGCAGCGATGGCCAATGTGGTGCATAGCTGTCAACTTTTTCCTTTTCTTGCGAGGAATCCTATTTGGAATAAGGGAATTCCCCTTTAAAAAAGGGAAACGTTGACAGCTATGATGTGGTGCCCTCCAGATGTTGTGGAACTCTATTGCTCACCAAGTCTGGTGAGCTGGAGACCCAAGTTTGGGAAACACTGGTCCACAGCAAGCTGGTTGGGCTAGCAGTTGGTTGTTGCTTGATGGGAGATCAAGGCATAGTAGGGTCTCAGCAGACTGCATGGCCTGGTCAGCCTCTGTTCTGAACCACTGGTTGCAAAGTCCATTACCGCCTTCCTGCCTGTTTCTTTATAACGTCCATGCTTTCGACCTGGGCTGAAGTCGTAACTTAAACAAACCAAAACACCCCACTTGTTCAGGAGGGTGTATGCTGGGGCAGTAAAGTGCAGGAATTGGTGTCGTGGAATTCATCGAATTGTAGAGTTGGAAGGGACCCCAGGGCCATCTAGTCCAACCCCTTGCAATTTAGAATTCCTGATTGGTGGCCATCCAATCTCCAAGGAAGATGAGTCCACCACTTCCCGAGGCTGTCGGTTCCCCTGTCACTGCGCAGTTAAGTTTGTGAGGCTCGCTCCTTTAAGTCAGCACACCCAGGAAGCAGTGGGGTGTTGGGGTGTTTGATGGAAATCCAGTCTGCTTGGGGGTGTTGCTGAAATTTGCTGCAATGCAGAGAAGGGTCACAACGTACCCCTGGTGTATGCTTGGCAAAAAGAAAATACCCGCTGCTGGCAGAAAGCTCAGAAGCTGGTGGTGCTCTCTGACCTTAGATGGCAGAGGCCCCCACAACCTTAAAGAGCCCAGCTGCAAATTTCCTTGGTGCCCTGGTGGTCAGTGGGAGCCAGTGGTTGTGCAGAGAAAGTGAGGGGCTCTTGTGCTTTGGAGGTAGTGGTTGGGAGGAGCAGCTATGGCTTTAAATTTTTGCGTAGAGGCCATTGTTCTGTAGGGAGAGTGCCTGCTTGGTGCCAGATCCAGTCCCTGGCATCTCCAATTTAAAAAAAGGATCAAGTAGCAGTTGAATGAAAAGACAAAAGATGCTGCTGTCAGTCAGAGTAGAGTGTATTGGACCAGATGGATAGGATAGGGGAGGGGCCATAATTCAGCACATAGAAGGTCCCGGGATCAGTCTCTCATTTAAAAGGGATCACGTGATGGAAGAGATTTCTCTCTCTGCTTGAGACCCCAGAAAAGCTCTGCCAGTCAGAGTAGGCTATCATTCTTCTATTTTGGGTCCCAAATAGGGCTGGGCGATTTCTGGTATATATATTGGATATATACTGATATATGTCTGAAATACGCGGGTGGCGCTGTAGGTTAAACCACAGAGCCTAGGACTTGCCGATCAGAAGGTCAGCGGTTCCAACCCCCGCGATGGGGTGAGCTCCTGTTGCTCGGTCCCTGCTCCTGTCCACCTAGCAGTTCAAAAGCACGTCAAAGTGCAAGTAGATAAATAGGTACCGCTCCGGCGGGAAGGTAAACAGCATTTCCGTGTGCTGCTCTGGTTCGCCAGAAGTGGTTTAGTCATTCTGGCCACATGACCCGGAAGCTGTACGCCGGCTCTCTCGGCCCATAAAGCGAGATGAGCGCCGCAACCCCAGAGTCGGTCACAACTGGACCTAATGGTCAGGGGTCCCTTTACCTTTACCTATGTCTGAAATAAGGATGTATGTAGAGGCATGGTTTTTCCAACAGTGTGATTTTTACATAGCACACAAACACACGTCATGATTTGCAATGTATTGCCAGGTCATGAAACCAATATCACGATACAAGCTTCAAACTGGTTTTGGACGATATATCGCCCAGCCCTAGTTCTCATACACTGTTGGGACTACAACTCCCATCATCCCCAGCCAGTTTAGCTAGTGGTAGGGATGATGGGAGTTGTAGTCCAACAATATCCAGGGACCTGGGGTTGAAAGTCACTGGATAGGTGCCTATCAGGATCACTATGGCAGAAGGCAAGAAGGCCAAGAGAAGCTGAAGCCAGAGCCAATATTACCATTTACTCCAGTAAGCTCTTGCCACTTGTGTTTGAAGCTGTGTACGCATAACTTTGGCCACAATCCACCTCATCCTGTAGTTTCTTGAGAAAGGCTGCTGATTGATGTGTTGCCTCTCAAACCAGCCTCCATCCAATCTGAAAACATACCGTAAACTGCGGTTGAGATGAAGCATGCGCAGGTGAAACCGCCATTGCTCATGAGCAGCAGGCAGCTTCACTGAATCGGAATTCGGGTGGGGTGTGGGATGTTTCACGGGAAACGAATCGGGTCATGTGCATCGAGTGAAGACACCCCCGCCCCCAGTGTGTACAGTGATCTACAAATGCAATGTGAAACACAGCCTAGTTTTGTTCCCATCATCCTCCTCACTAGGAGAACATTGAGGCTCAGGTGGAGGAAGGTGACAGCCAGATTGGCTGTAAGGAAGCAGCTGAGGGCAGACTGAGGTTGGTAGGGCAAGTGCCCCATTTGCCCTAATGGACCAGCCAAGAATGCTGGTAGACGATACCAGTTGGGCAAATGCAGTATAAGGCATCTCCATCTTGTGTTGGGCAAACCATCTCGTTGTCCTTCTCCCTTCAGTTGATCCCAGCTCCAGTCTTTGCCACTTGGCCCTAGGCCCCTCTCCTAGTGCACAGAAACCTACTTTTAATGCCAGCCCTAGAGTGTATGCCATGACTATAAAGGTCTATAGCATGCTCTCCTTGGAGTGTACTCTAGGCATGTGCAGAGTGCTGTGTGCTGGCCCAAGTTGTCTTGAGCTTGGCGGCAAGGTTTTCCATTGCTAGGGTTTCATCGCCGTCCTTTGCAGAGAGCTAGGCCCAGATATTTGAGTCAGTTCTATAGCAGTTCAACTGTCATGGCTTCTCCCAGAGGATCCTGGGAACTGTGGTTTGCTGAGGGCGCTGAGAATTCTATTAGCAATCCTTTGCTCCACAAACTCGCACACAGGCTGGAGGTTTTGTTTTGTTTTTTGGACTACAACTCCCACGAGCCCCAGCCAGCACAGACATTTGTCAATTGGGAGTCATAACATCTTCTGGAATATATATTCCTGCATCGTCCTCCGAAACAGGGTTCTCAGTGCAGCTAAGAGTCAATATCACGACGGCAGTGAACAATATTAAACAAATAAATCAACATCATTCCCGCTGCAACAGCACAAATGGTAAACAGCAGCAAAAGCAGGGTTTGTTTGAGAGTCTTCCCAATCCTTCACTTCCCCTCACCTCATCCAGTTTTTATCCTGCAGGCTTCTAAAGTCTGTAATGACTTTTATCTGCGAGAGAGTCCACTTGAACTTCAAACCCAGATGTGGGGAACATTTGACTCTCCAGATTGTGCTGCACTACAACTCCCATCATCCCTGGGAAGACTGATGGGAGTTGTAGTCCAGCAACAACAGCTGGAGGACCAAAGGCCCCCTACACCTGTTCTAACCCCACTTACCTGAGAGTAAGCCTGGTTGAATTCAATAGGACTAAGTAGACGTGAAGTTAAAGCCAGAATCAGATTCGTCTGGGCGCTACAATTTGCAGAGCAATTGAACAACCCAGTTCCTCTTCCCAAGGAACTCTGGGAACTGTAGCTCTACAAGGGAAATAGAAGAATCCTGACCACTCTAAGCACCCTTAAACAGTTTCCAGTGCCCTTTGGGGGAAGCCACAGCTGTTTAAAGTGGTATGATCCTGCTATAGTGCTGGTGAGGCCTCAGTTGCCATCCTTGTGGGCTTTTGTATATGGAATTGGGGAAGGAATCATCCTTTGGTCCTCAAGCAACAAAATGCCTTGGGCTGGCCCTGACTAGCGTACCTCAGGGAGCCCTGTGTCCCTGTTACCTGAGTGTAAGCCAGTGTAGACAGGTGAAATGGCATAGGGCGAGTTAACTCTTACCCTGTCCAGCCTTCCCCCCCCCCATGGGGTAAATAGCAGCTTCAAGGTTAGGGGTGTAAATGTTTAGATTAGGGAAACTGCACTAGGGGGAAAGGAATAAACTTCCTCCAGCCCCTATTGCTGCCCCATCCAAATCGGGGCCTGCCTCCGCAGCTGTTTTTCACTAAAAATAGCCACTCGGGGAGATCCGATAGTGGATCTCCTGCTTCTTGTGGAGTTCAGCCCTAAATATCTGGTTCAAAACAGCAACAGGTCAAAACGTTGCGATGGTTGTTGTTGTTGTTGCAAAACAGCCACGCCAGTACAACAACAGCGCTCCTGACTGGAGGGCCTCCGAGAAAACCCTCCAGGCTGTTATGGAAAAGAGAAAGGGGGAAGAAAACAGCCTATTCTCTGATCACAGAGGACGGAAAACATCTTGAAGGCTTTCTTTCTCTCTTCATCCTTCTCCCTCACCCTCAGTGGCCTTTTCGACGATTGACCCCTTTGCTGGGACACTTAATTATAGGGGACAGCCACCAAGGCGTGATCTGTGATGCTTGAGTCACAGCTGAGGCGAAAACTCCCATCCAGAGGAATCAGGAAGAGTTGAAAGAGCCCGAAAGTGGCTAGCTTTGCATTTTCAGCAACTGGCTAGATTGTTTCTTCTTTTTCTTTATTTTTATTTTTTGTAGCATAATGACCACTTACTAACAACCCAAAGGTGCAGTAGCAGGGTATTCATTACACCCTACTCTATACAAAGCAAGCCAAAAATAATAAGAGGAAGGAGTAGTAACACTCCATTATAATTCAAGACATCCATATTCCCCATCAGGTGTACTGTACCTGGTGAATGCTGGCCATCTTAAGTCCGAAGCATAAGAAATAAAATCCCACCAGGTGACTTAGAAGCATTCTGGGTTCTTCATCCCTCTGGAGACCTGCAATTTATGTGTTATTTTCCTCCACAATAGCCAGAGTCCACAAGTTCTTATAACACAAAGACAAATGCAGATTTTTCAAGGTTTTCCATTGCTGGGCTACTGAAATCCTAGCTGTGGGTAGCATCCATGCCAGAAGTTCTTGAGAGCAACCAAGCTTTCATGTTATCAGTCTACATATTCAGTAGTAACAGTTGTAGGGGAAAACAATGAGTTAAAAACAAAAACAAATGCACACACATATCACGTTTCTGGTCCTTTTACTTGGGAGCCGTAGGAAAGGCGGGATTCTGTTCAATAATAAGCAATAGTTTAGAGTTGCTTTAAACCTGTAGTTGTGAACTGGTAGCCCATTGGTCTCAACCAGCTTGGCCAAATAGTCAAGGATGATGGGAATTGTAGTCAAGCGACATTTAAGTAGAATAATAAATAGCTGCTGTTCATGATGGTTTCCAAGGTGGTTATGCCTCCCTCTCAAATAAAGCAAAAGAAGTTACTAGTCCTCAAGGGTTAACCTGCCCTCAAGTACCTGTTTAAGTCAACAGTCTGTGTTGATGGTCTGAAGCATTCAAAAGATCACCCTCTTCCTGTTCACAGCAGTGTTTCCAAAAAAATAGATCCCTTTCCCCGCTTTTTTTCTAGAAAGCCTGGTAGCTGAAGATGATAGTTACTTAGCAGAGGCTAATGGTGTAATGCAGCGATGCTGAAACACTATTATTACTTATTTCATAGCAGAGCCAGTGATGCAATCTTCCATGTCGCTGTTTGCCACTCCTCTGCATGGCAAAAAAAAAAAAAGCGCCTTTCTCAGAGATACACCCATCAAACAGGTTGTTAAGCAGAGGGACAGGGGGTTATATTAGCATGCATGGCTGAGGGGTTCAAGTACCACTTCCCTTAAAGAAGAAACACAAAAGCTCCCCAGGTCCTATTATTATTACCAATCAAAATGTCAGAATATAGCAAGCAAGCTTCTGAGTCCACCAGAACTCTTCATCAGGCTGTTAAACAAGGTTGGGACCAGGGGTGCAGTGGCAGCGTAAACATGCTGACCATATTGAAGCTCTGATGTCTGCACCTGCCAAAAACCTATTCTTCCTGCATAGTCTTAGAAGGTGGGCAGCTGTTTGTGGTTGTCAGTAAGAACGTCTGCACAGCAAAATGCACCATTACACAACTGGGAGAGGCGACCACGTGGGCCTATTCAAGTCTGGGTTAAGCTTAAAACCAATGGCTTAGTCTTGAAATCCCGAGTGAGTTGTTCAGAGGCATTGCTGAGAACCTTGTACGACAAAGAACGCTTTTATTCATTGCATTCTCCAAAGAGCTTGGGGTGGTGTACATGGTTCTGCCACTCCTTACTTAACCCCAACAACAGCCCTGTGAGGTAGGTTAGGCTGGGAGGCAGCCACTGGCCCCTTAAGGTCACCCCTTAAGCTTCATGGCTGTGTAGGGATTTGAACCTTGGTCCCCCAGGTTCCAAGGGACGTGGGTGGCGCTTTGGTTAAACCACAGAGCCTAGGACTTGCCGATCAGAAGGTTGGCGGTTTGAATCCTCACAACAGGGTGAGCTCCCATTGCTTGGTCCCTGCTCCTGCCAACCTAGCAGTTCAAAAGCATGTCAAAGTGCAAGTAGATAAATAGGTACCGCTCCGGCGGGAAGGTAAACGGCGTTTCCGTGCGCTGCTCTGGTTCGCCAGAAGCGGCTTAGTCATGCTGGCCACATGACCCGGAAGCTATACACTGGTTCCCTTGGCCAATAAAGTGAGATGAGCGCCGCAACCCCAGAGTCGACCACAACTGGACCTAATCGTCAGGGGTCCCTTTACCTTTACCCCCAGGTTCCAGTCCGACATTTTAACCACTACACCACATGGGAACACGAACGTAAGGGTAGCCGTCAAATCCAGCATCCTGTTTTCATGGTGGCCAACCAGATGGGAAACCTGCGAACAGGACCTGAGCACAACAGCTGTGTAGCTGACGTCACCCAGTGCTGGGGAAAAGGCCTTTCTAAGATTCTAGTCCTCATTGTAGTCATTGATTGAATAAGGAATGTAAGAAGCTGCCATGGGCCAAGTCCACCTAGCTCAGTATTCTCTACAGCGACTGGCAGTAGCTGCCCAAAGTTTAAAGCAGGGCTGTTGTTTTCCTAGCCATGCCTGGAGATTCCAGAAATTGAACCTTGTGTTGTAGCTACAGCACTTCCCAACAGTTACATAAGCATGGTGCTGATAACACCGAGGTCGCGGGTTCGGTTCCCATATGGGACAGCTTCATTGCAGGGGGTTGGACTAAATGATTGCCAAGATCCCTTCCGAACTCTACAATTCTTTGATTTTAAAACAAGCCCTGCTGGGTCAGGCCAAAGGGAGCCAGTCTGGTCCAGCTCCCTGTTCTTACAGTGGCCAGGCAGATGCCCCCTAAGCACTCCTTTGGTTTCCAGCAACTGGTCTTCAGAATCACATTGCCTCCAATGGTGGAAGGCAATGGAGTCTATACCTGTTGAGTCGCTCTTGGCTTCCCCTCCCTCCTAATGGGCTACGGGAGTTGCAAGCCGGCCACTCCCCTTTGAGCGCCTCCCGAATCCTCGCCTCTGCAGTGTGGGAATGATGATTGCATACCTGGCCGGGGTGAACCGCAACACCTCCCAAGCCCTTTGAAGCCATTAGGTGAGGAGGCGCTCCAAAAATGTGGCAGGCATCCTTGATCCTGGTGACGCCTGGGAGAGAGAGAGAGAGAGAGAGAGAAGAAGCCACGCCAAGTCCAGGAAATGGCCCGAGTTCCCTCTTCCACCCCCAGGGACTTTCTCAGTATTGCCACGCTCTCCCTCCTGCCATTTGCAGTTCCCACGGGATGCAGGTGTGTGTCTGCGTGTGTGTGTCTCACCTGCTGTCTCCTTCCCTCCTTCCTGCAGCCGGAGCAGCCACAATGGTATGATGCTAAGTTGCTTCTAACATCACAGGGAACGAAGCTCTCATAGACGTGGCAGTCACAGACGGTAAGCGTCCCACGGGGAGGGTTTGGGGCCAGGTGCTGGGCTTTTAGGATGGGCTTTCTCTGTTCTCGTGGGCGAAGGTTTCGTGCACCTTTAAAGCGCATTCGAAGTGCTTTGCTTCTGTCAAATAATTCCAGGCCCTGTGGTTTGTTAAGGGCAGCTGGGAATCGGAACTCTGTGAAGGGAACTACAAGGGCCCAGAATTCTTCGAGGGGGGGGCGTGTGCTTTAAATACAGTGGTACCTCGGGTTAAGTACTTAATTCGTTCTGGAGGTCTGTTCTTAACCTGAAACTGTTCTTAACCTGAAGCACCACTTTAGCTAATGGGGCCTCCCGCTGCTGCTGCGCAGCCGGAGCACGATTTCTGTTCTCATCCTGAAGCAAAGTTCTTAACCTGAGGTACTATTTCTGGGTTAGCAGAGTCTGTAACCTGAAGTGTATGTAACCTGAAGCGTATGTAACCCAAGGTACCACTGTATACTGGATATGCTGCCATTGACTGCTGTGAGGGTGTCCTAGGGAGCACATAGACCAGGCATAGGCAAACTCAGCCCTGCAGATGTTTTGGGACTACAACTCCCATAATCCCTGACCACTGGTCCTGTTAGCTAGGGATGATGGGAGTTGTAGTCCCAAAACATCTGGAGGGCCGAGTGTGCCTATGCCTGACATAGACTGAGGCTGTGTATATATTAAAGCACATTCTTTCCCCTCAGAGAATCCTGGGAATTGCAGTTTATTAAGGGTGCTGGGAATCAGCTCTGTGAGGTGAAAACTACAGTTCCCAGGATTCTTTGGAAGCTGCTTTAAAAGTATGGCATGTACTGAGGAATTTGAGGTGCTTCCGGACCCTCACTTTTTTAGGGAGGTGGGATTTAATCACATACTGGAAAACTGAAGTTTCACAGCTATATAGTAAGCCCACAACTTATGCAAGTTTAATTTGCGCACTTTCAGCTCTGTGCACGGGGCAAAGTATTATAAAAAATTAAAGGAGCAGGGTTCTGAGGAAAAAGACTTCGGCAACCCCATCTGCCATTGCATGTAATGTATTTTGACTATACACGATTTTGGCTTTAGGTGTGATCCCTGGAATGTTACCCCCACATAAGCTGCAGGCTTCCTGTAGTATTATTATTATTATTAATTAATTAATTTAAAAAATCCAAAAAGGAAACAAAAACAAATACAATGCAAACTAAGTTAAAGGGACACCGACCATTAGGTCCAGTCGCGGACGACTCTGGGGTTGCAGCGCTCATCTCGCTTTATTGGCCGAGGGAGCCGGCGTACAGCTTCCGGGTCATGTGGCCGGCATGACTAAGCCGCTTCTGGCAAATCAGAGCAGCGCACGGAAACGCCGTTTACCTTCCCACCGGAGCGGTACCTATTTATCTACTTGCATTTTGTGCTTTCGAATTGCTAAATCACACTAAATCAAGATAATGTATCCTAGGCATAGTTGTGCAGTTTTAGCTGCCTGCACAGCTGCTTTCCCAAAAGATTGGGCCTTTTTGAGATTTAGAAAGTAGTGGTGAGATGCACTAGAAAGTGTGAGGGGCCTGTTGCTTTGATGCAACATCATTTGACCTCCCTACAAAATCTCTCTGCAAGTAAATTGGACTGAACTCTCAATAAGTGGGTCACATAGGGGCCATCGTGGAACATAGCAAGTCTGAAGTCATGCATTCAGACCACCTAGGGCTGCATAAACACCACCTCCTTCACCCCAAGAACCCTGGGAACTGTAGGGTCTCGGAACTGTAGCTTTGTGGTTGCTAAACTAAAGTTACAGAATTATAGAGTTGGAAAGGGACCCTGAGTGTCATCCAGTCCAACCCCTTTGCAATGCAGGAATCTCAACTAAAGCATCCATGGCCAAAGACCATCCAACCTCTGTTTAAAAAACCTTCAAGGAAGGAGAGTCCACAACCTCCCAAGGGAGTCTGTTCCACTGTACCATCAGAAAGTTCTTCTTGGTGTTCAGCTGGAATCTCCTTTTTTGTAACTTGAAGCATTGGTTCAGGTCCTACCCTTCTGAGCAGGAGGAAACAAGCTTGTTCCATCTTCCATGTGACAGCCCTTGAGATATGTGAAGATGGCTATCATATCTCCTCTCAGTCTCCTCTTTTCCAAGGCTAAACATACTCAGCTCCCTCAATTGTTCCTCATAAGGCTTGGTTTCCAGACCTTTCTTCAGGATTCTTGTGGAGACCATGCTTTTGTAGAATCATAGAACTGTAGAGTTGGAAGGGATGCCAAGGGACATCCAGTCCAGATCCCCGCAATGCAGGAACCACAACTTTAAATACGGTCTACCTTGGTTTTCAAATTTAATCCATTCCAGGAGTCCGTTCAACTCCCGGAACAGTTCGAAAACCAAGGCGCAGCTTCCGCATCCTGCAGCCAATCGGAAGCCGTGCCGGACATTTGGCTTCCAAAATTGTTTCAAAAACCGGAACAATCACTTCCGGTTTTCGATCATTCCGGAGCCAAAACATTCAAGTTCAAAGGCATTCAGCTTCCGAGGTTCCACTGCACCCTTTAAATGTTTGGTGTGGGTGCAGCCCAACTCAGTGCTGTCTGCACCAGCCTTTACCTATGTGTACCCTCTGCATAGGCAAAGGGTACTCCATGGTGGCCACCAGTGACCTTCTGCTGGTTGAAACCGGGGTCATAGCTAGGATTTGCCAGAGAGTCAATCCAGGACTTTTTGCAAGCAGAACGTGCATGTATCCCTGAGCTGCAGCTCTTCCTTGGGACACCTGTGCGTTTTTATTTTTGAGCAGTGGCTGAGCAACTGCCTTTCTTTTCCATTTATTTATTTATTCGTTTGTTTGTTTGTTTATTTATTCAACCCTGTAAGAAAGAGCCACAGGGGTGCTTTTCTGGCCACGTGCGGTCATGTGCGCACAACCACACGAAAGAGCTCTGGGCTTTCTCGTTACACAAAACTAAACATATGATTTCACTGGAATCACTTAAGATAGTGACGCGCCGGCGTTGAGCTCTGAGGTGTCGACTCGGCTGCGCGTGCCAAATTCCATCCCACTTAATTATATCCTGCCTTGGCAATTCTCCTGGCAAAACCTGTTCTCATTCTACTGCTAACGATCGGTTAGAGCGTGTTCCACCCCAGAAGCAGCTGCCTTTCAGAGCTAGGAAAGAAGACATGACCCCCAGCGACACAAACGGTAATTTATATCCTTGCAGGCCCTTTTTTCCCCCTCGCCAGGGCCAGCCTGTTGACTGCAGGAGGGCAGTGGCAGGCGAGGGTGTGGATGTCTGTGTGTGGTTAAGACAAATTTATCTCTTTGAGAGTTGAGCGGGCGATGTTCCAGAGCGAGAGGTCCAAAATGTTGCAGAGGTAAAAGGTCTCAAAATGTAGAGCGCCGCAATTTGGATTTTGGTGGGATAGTTGTGCTGAGCATTCTTTGGACCTACAAAGTATTTTGGTCCTGTTGGAAGAGCTCCCTCCTTTGATGATGGCTGAGGGCACCTTCCTGCATCACTGCAGCACCCACGGGTGGGTTGCATGATGCCGTTTCAGACTTGAGTTGTTCAGTCGAAACTCTGTGCACTGGCAGGGCCGTGCAGTCCTCAGGCGGAGTTGCAGGACTCGAGGTAGCACGAGACTTTTTCAGGTTGGGCCTCTATGGCCAAATGGGGCCTGCTTGGAGTGAACAGTGATTGGTAGCCTGGAGATGACTGCAGGATGAAGTGATGGTTGTGTTCTGTGGCATCGGTAGTGTTCTAGCCACGGCGTTGCGGTTTGTTCCTATGGTGGTTTTCCAGTGGCCCACAGAGTTTCCGGAACAATCCAGAACTAACTCCGTTGGCCAAGGTCTTGTGAAGATACGCTGCCGTGCTAAAACTTGTTACGAAGCTTCAGCGTGGCAAGTGAACATGAGAATCCAACTTTGATGCACTTGGAGATGAGATAATTTAGGCCCCATCTGTGTTGCAGGTTCAAAGCAGGATTCTGCCACTTTACACAGGCAAAGAACCCTGGGAACTGCGGTTTGCCTCGGGTGCTGAGAGTTGTTGGGAGACCCCTCCTTCTCCCATCGCAGAACTATAGTTCCCAGAGTTCCCTGGGATTGTTCCCTGAGTAAGAGGGATGGACCATTAAAATGCTCCAGGAATTGTAGCTCTGTGAGACTTGAGGACTCCTAACAACTCTCAGGGCCCTTAGCAAACTGCAGTCCCCAGGAGTTTTAGGGGGAAGCTGTGACTGTTTGAAGTGCCATGGTGCTGGTTTAAATGTATAGAGCACATTAGGCCTTAGGTGAGCCTGGGAGGCTGTGGTGCCTTTGCTCCTGATTTCTCTCTGCATGGAGTTTCCCAGGTTGTCTTTCCAGTCTGTGGTGTTCCACATACTTTCACTCAGGTGGCAAGCAACCCACTTAGATATTATTGATATACTGAGTGGTATATAAATGCTTTAAAATACACACATAAGGTCTAAGAAATCAGCAGAGACAGCAAACAGATCCCCCATTTTAAGGTATTTTCAGAAGAGAGGGGCTGTAAAGGAGGAGGAGAATGGGACTTCTGTACCTTCTGTTTAAAGATACTTGTGTAGAAGAGGGGATTCTGCGCAAAAGTGGGGTGGAAAGAGCTGGAAAAGGTTTGTTAAGGGTGCTGAGAGTTGTTAAAATGCCCCTATCCCCCCCCCCCCCGCCCACAGAGCTACTGTTCCCGGAGTGGCTTAGCAATCAATCCCCCTTCCCATGGAATTCTGGGAGCTGTAGCTCTGTGAGGAGAATAGGGGCATTTTAACAACTCTCGCCATAAAGTTCCCAGGATTCTTTGGGGGAAGCCATGGCTGTTTAAAGGTAGACAAATGCTAAGCAAACCAGTCTCTTAAGCTTAAGCCAAGAAAGAGCATAGCTGTCAACCGCCCCTTATTTGGCGGGAAACTTCCTTATCCCAGCGCCGTGTCCCACTGCGGTCCCTTATTGATGATGTCCCTTAAATTTCCCGGGTTTCAAAGGAAGCAGCTCCTCTCCCTCCCTCCCTCCCTGCCAGCCAGGGAGGAGGGAGGCTCCAATTGTGTTGCTTGGCTGCGTTGCTCACCCAATAAGGAGTCTAAGAACAACTGGGGGGTGGAGCTTGCATGCCTTGTGCCGATCAAATCGGCCGTGTTGCCTGGGGACTCACCTTTGCTCAGCGCTTCCCAGCGGAGAGGTGACGGTGGTTTTCCTTGGTGCATCCCCTTTGCCGGGTTGATGCGCTGTGGGAACCACCGCTTGAGGCTTCGTTTGGCTGCTGGCTGGGCTTTCTGCCTTTGACTCAGAGGGGCTCAGAAATTGAACATACCTGTGCCCGGAAAATCCCTTATTTTTGAGGCTGCTGGTCCCTTATTTTCAAATCTGTAAGTTGACAGCTATGAGAAAGAGTATTCTCTTTAAGATTGAATATCAATATACATATCAAGACTTTGAGATTAGACCACTGAAGAAGCCCGGAAAACTATATTGGGAGTGTGCTACCTGCAAGCCCCAGCAAAAGGGCCCCATCGGGGGCGAACAGCGGCCTCTTGATTACTTGGACTGCCAGGGCAAAACAGGTGCAAAACACCGGCACCCTGTCGTCTACAACTTCATTAACATCCATCTACAACTCCACTAGCATCTCTCAGTATTGTGAATAACACCGAACTTACCTTTTGTTGGTATCTTCATGAACTTATCTAAAAGACTGAGTTGAGCATTTGAAAAATCTATTGAAACCAGACATTATAAGTTCATCTTAGGTTGGGTAGTTCTCAAGTCTCTGTGGCTTTGTTTAATGTTTTGTGTTTTTCTCAGAAGGTTGATAAAGAATGTTTAATTTATTATTCTGTGTATATTAATCGCCAACGTGTTTAATGAGTCGCACTATGGCTGTTTAAAGGGGCATGAGGCTGCAGGTGAGGCCTAGGTGAAGACAGAGCCAACAAATCCTAGTTTTGTCCCCATCTTCCTCTCTGCCGAGTTCTGCAAGGGGAAACCCTGAGATTCAGGAGGGAGAGGAGGAAGGTGGCAGGCAGTACCAACCCCTGCATGGGTTGTAAGTAAAGAAGCAGGCAGATTGGGGGTCAGCCAAGACCAGTTGGTGAGGCACTGCCCCATATCCTCAAAGGGGCCGGCCTCCACTGCCCAGCAGTACTCTCTGGAAGGGAGTTTGCAAGCCCCAAAGCCATGCAGCTGGTTCCTCTCCCCAGAGCACATTTCCCTCGGCCGCCTGTTTGCCTCCTGCCTGGCTCCTAGCCATGGGCGGCCGGCCAAGCCCAGAGTTTACGCTGGGCATCTTGAAAGGCCTTTGAAAAAGAGGGCTGTTTCCCCAGCAACCAGCGACTCTCAGCCCTGCAAGAGCTGTCCAACTCGAAAGTAAAAAAGGAAGGAGAAGTTGGGAGGGAGACACCAACAGGCGGCTAGCCTTGGAGAAACGCCAGGGCAAACCGTAGGGACACCCCCTCTGGCCTCCCCAAAGTTTCCTGCTTCCCCCTGGGGGAGTGGTTGGTGCTTCTGGGCTGAAGGGGTGTAGCAGAATAGCACCTGCCCTTCAAGTTGACTAGACTATTTCCCTCCCCCCAAAAAAACCTCTCAGCGCGTCTGTTTGGGACGACGACAGCTTCTTTCTCCTCCTCATTGGAGAGCCAAGTCCCACTAAGGTACGTAAGACTTGGGAAGTCTTTCTCCTCTGTGCAGCTGCAAGTTCGGGGCCATGGCTCCCACCTGTTGCTCTTAGTGGTGGGATCCCATGAAGCCACCATTTAAAGCCCCGCTTGAGCACTTGCGCACTTGACCCGTTGCGGAGGGATGTTTTTATTTTTTGTACACTTGCCGCTTTTATCCCTTTAGCTGCCGAAGGAAAGGGCTCCTGTCTGCTTGGACTTTATTCGCTTCAGCTCAAGAGAGCTTCGGTTGTAACCCTAGAGGCAGCTGCGCCGTCGGGGCAAGACTTCGGGGCAGAAGGACAGGACCCCACTGAAAGGAATGAGCAGGAGAGCTCCCCCCAACCCAACCCAACCCCCCCAAAACTGAGCCAGCCTGGCTTTGAAATGAGTGAAGTAATCAGCATTGGCTGTGTACACAGTGTACATTGAAAGCGCTTTACCCCTCTCTCCTAAACAAACAAAATGAATGCTGGCAACTTAAGTTTTCCCATCACAGAACTACAGTTCCCAGCACTCACTATGGTTCCCGGGGAGTTGAGGGATAGGAATGTGCTATAAGTATGTTTATGGTATGTACATAGTCTATGTTGATTAATTCACTGACGTCAAAGTGTGGAAAGCCAGCTTTGCCAATTATCATCTTAACAAAACCCCTTTGGGTTGTATTCAGCATTTGTCATGTGTACTCCATGTAGGCCTATTGAAATTAATGGACATGACCAATTTAAGTCATTTAATTTTAGTAGTTCTACTCTGAGTATGATTAATGTTGAATGCAACTCATTAAGTCCAGGTTCTAAAATTACCTAATTGCACTGCTGCTGCTGCTGAGGTGTTTGTGACGTCTTTTGCAGGGCAGGGTTGAGAGGAGGCTTTTGGTTTCACTTTCTGAATGATGAGGGAAAGGCACTCTGCACATGCTCTGGGATAATTTTGCCTCTTGCAGTTCTTCAGTTAAAAGCCATGTCCCAAACCAAAGCTGAGTCAAATTATTGTTGTTATTATTATTATTGAAATCTGTTAGATCATCTGCCTAAAACCAAGCAGTATTGTGGAAAGTTGTGGGGTTTCATGCAACCTAAATATCTCCCCACTCTGCCACTTTATTCTGCTGTAGCTTATATCAATTTCTTTTAAAAAAAGAGAAAAGTTTGCAAACACAGCTGTGTTCCCTTGTGCCAAAGCCTTATTCCTAATTTTTAAAAGTTGTGTTTTCTTCCCATTTTACACATGTGAAACTGAGACTGAGCCATTTTGTTAATGGATAACTTGTTTTAGTGCAGGGCATGCGTACGCTTTGGGCATTATTTATTTTATTTATTTAAATTTATATACTGCCTTTTATCGAAAAATCTCAGGGCGGATAATCATGCGTGTGAGAAATTTCAGGCATACACAATGCAGACCTGCAGCTCCTTGCAGCACCCCAGCTCGTACGCATGAACACAGCATGAAATACCTGCATCTGCAATTGCTACCACAATAATTTAGACATACGGTAGTTTGCACAATAGTTCCCTCTGTGTAGGTTTTCAACCTTTTTGAGTCCACGGCTCCCTTGACCAACTGCATTCTTTCTGCGGCACCCCTGTAGGACTCAGGAGCCCAGTTATGTCACCCCTTGCCTGCAGAGCTGGCAGCCTCTCGTCCTTTTTTCAAACACCCTCCCTTCTGGAGTGTTCCCTTAGCCTCCTCTTCTCTCTCCTTTGGAGTCCTCTGGGCAGCGACAGCTGCCACCCCGATCTCTGAGCTGCGTCCCCCCTGCCCCAGAGAGAGGTGCCTCTTCACCCTGCCCCACAGAGGCCTGAGACTTGCCTGTCCATTCCCAACAGCAAGGACTGGCTGGCTGGGCTCCTTCGCCTGCTTGCTTGCTTACTCCAAGGCCACTTCAGCTCCTGGCAACCAGCACCCCCTGGCCAGCTCCAGAGGCACCATTCACCTGGGGAGCTTATAGCCGGGGCTGCTGCAACAAATAGCTTGTCAAGCCTTTGGGAGGCAGAGACATGAGGGCATCGGAGGAGGGAGGGAAGGAAAGAGGTCCAAAGGCCAGTGTTGCCCGCGGCACCCCTAACCATCATTCAAAGCACCCCAGGGTGCTCCTGGAAACCACTGGTGTAGGGAATGGGCTGCAGGTGTTCTTGAAGATACTGGCGGGTGATTGATTTTCCCAAGGCCTCTCAGTGAGCAAGTGCCAGAGTTAGTAATTTGTGCAACAAACAAACACAGAAAAGGAAACTATAGAAGCAATTTGCCACAAAACAAGAGGTTGATCTAACGATTCATGTGGAAATAGGAGCATCTCATCTGGAAATTACAGGAGACCCTACCAGCCACAGGACCCCAGAGGTGTAGCCGGTCCAGTATTCTCCCTCCTGCACCAATCAAAGCCTTCATTTATTGAGATACCAGCCAGGCTTGCCTCGCCCCTGGGTTCCAACAGCCTATGCCCCTCAAATACCAGTCTCCTGCCCACTTTGCAGGTGAGGTAGGAGGAGAGGCGGGACTTTGACATGAACAGCAGGCCCAGTGGAAAAACAGCTCCTTGGCTAGATCAAGGAAGGTTTTTCTCTTCCCCATTTGCATCAAACTGGAGTTGATCCGTGCGCCTGAATTATTGATGGAGAAGCTGCTTGTGCTGAGCTGAATGGAGTAGTGGGGGCTGGGCTGCTTGCAAAGCTCCTCTAACCCCCACCCCGCAGCTGAAAGGCAAGGCCAGGCTGCGGCAAACACTTTCCTTGCAGATCCTTTTATATAAAAAAAGGATCAAGTGATGGGGAAGACCTGCTGCCAGTCAGAGCATGGAATACTAGCTAGGCAGACTTAGTGACCTGGCAGCGTAGGAGATGGTGTCTCCCTCTGTTCCAGCAGCCCCACAACCCCACCTTCCAAACACCGCTTCGAGATTTTGAAAAGATTGAGCGGTTTGTGCTTTTAAATCAAGGCACGGGCACAGATCAAGAATGTGGCACAGAGCTCCTGAACTGGCAGGTGGCGCCACTGCTCGCTCAAGAGCAGTGGCTTTTGCTAAACACGAAGCCAACTTTCCCCCACCCCGAAGCCTTTTTCAGTCTGCAAGTCCGCAGAGAGCACTCTATACCTTTAAAGCACACCTGAGGCGCATTCTTTCCCTCAAAGGATTCTGGGAACTGTAGTCTAGCCCTCACAGAGTTACAGTTCCCAGCAACCCTTCCCAAACTACAGGGCCCATAATTCTTTGAGCGAGGAAATGTGTTTTGAATGTGCTTTAAAGACATAGCTGTATGCCCTCGCCTGCTCTACCTTCTTCATGACAGCCCTTCAGATATGTGGGGAGCTGCTATCATATCTCCTCTTAATCTTTTCGTCAGATTAAATTTAGCCAGTTCTTTATAGGACTTGGGCCACATATCCGAACCATACGTTTAAAGCACTCTTGAATTTAAAAATGCTTGAAATGGAATAATTTTTTAATTATTTTGTTTTAAATGGCAAACCTGGAGCATCTACCCAGAAGTAAATTTACTCACAGCTGGGCCCCATTTGCACTGCACATTTCAAACACTCTTGAACAGTCATGGCTTCCCCCAAAGATTTCTGGGAGCTGCAGTTTGTTAAGGGTGCTGAGAGTTGTTAGGAGACTCCCCTGGTACCCCTCACAGACTTACAATTCCCAGAATGGTTTAGCAATCAGTTCTCTTACTAGGGAACTCTGAGAATTGTAGCTCTGTGAGCGGAATTGGCACCTCCTAATGACTTTCAGCACATTAACAAACCACATTTCCCAGAATTCTCTGGGAGAAGCCATGACTTTATTATAATAGTGCTTTAAATGTATGGTGAAGATGTGGCCTGGGTATACAGACACAGTACTATCATACTTGCCTTTTTCCTTTTGACACATCCCTTCCTGTCAATGTCCATCTTAAAATGTGATGCCCAGAACTGGGCACAAGATGTTCTTGAACTACAACTCCCATCATCCTCTTCCACTGGGCATGCTAGCTAGGAATGATGGGAGTTGTAGTCCAGTGTCTTCTAGTCACCTTAGCTTGAGAGAGGCTTCCAGGAACAGCCTTTGTGATTCAGACGCATCGCCAGCAAGTGCAGTTATGGGGAAAAATACATGCAGAGCAAAATAGCTCTAAATGACTCAGGCAAGTAAGTCTAGGCCACACGCCGACAGGATTAATAAAATCCCACGGAGTCATTAGCCAGTTTGACCTGGGGGGGCCGGGAAATAATTGCCCTAGACGTGACAATTGGTCAGGCCACGAGCAGGGCAGTCGTTGAGTCACTCCCCAAAGAAAATGGTAGTGGAGAGTCAGTCCCAACAATCATCCCGCTGGAATGGAGGGATTACATAAGACTTGCTAGTAACTATAACCTTTATTGTTTGGATTAAATAGAGCAAAGTGGAGTTTGAGATGGTTGAATAAGAGCAAGCACAGCATCCACAATCCCTCACAGAGGGAGATGGCGGCAGCAGTTTGTGCACCAGATACTTCCAAGGTTAGATTACTGCAATGCGCTCTGCGTGGGGCTTCCCTTGCGCTCAACCCATCAGTTCCAACTGCCTGGACCAATGGTCGGGGATGAAGGGAGCTGTGGACCAAAGGCGCTGGCAGGTGCTAGGCTGTGGAAGGGCTGTGATCAGATTGTGCCGGGTGCCAGGGAGAGTTCAGGTTTCAGCAAGAGGCTGCTGGAACAAGGAAGCAAGAAGAGCAAGTGTAGCTTTTTCTGGGCAGCCTAAAAGCCAGCAGGCACCGGGATCTGCCTGCGAGGCTCAGCTGAGCACGGCGTGGGAAGATGGTGCTCGCGAGGTAGAGAGCAGGAGTGGAAAACAGGGCTGTTGGAGGCTTGTTATTAGCAGAACTGGAGATTTAATCTTAGGCAGCACGCTAGGAAAAGCAACAGGCCAGCATTGCGTTTCCTAGAAGCGACACCAGGGGTCTTCCTTCTGCATGAGCAAAGCAGTCTGGTTGGCCCTGGGAGGTAGTGGCGGCAATCGCGCACAACGCAAACTGCACGGCGCACCTCGTGATTGCACATGACAGGTCCAGAGCGGGCAGCTGTGGGTCACCCTGGGCGATGAGGCGCTTGGGAAGAGGCTAAGGCAGGCGGGCATGAAGCCTATCGCTGCCGGGAAAAGTTTACCTGAAGGCATCTGCAGGTGTGCTGCAAGTGTAGAGGTTCATGAAAGAACATGTCGTTCCCAGGGAGCTGTGTTTTGGAGGCAGTTCCCTTGGCAAATGGCCATGCTTTTTTAATTTCCTGAGATAGGAAAGGTTGTGCCTCGAATAGCTGGGTGGCAGGCAGAAATCACACAGGTGAAGCCCCCCGCCATCTTCATGCAGTCGTAGTATGTGGCCAGCCTGGCAAAAAAGTGGACTCATCTAGTATCTTATTATCTAATTTCTTTCCGCAGGGCCTGTAAGACAGAGTTGTTCCGCCTGGCCTTTGGCTTAGAATCAGTTTGACTCCCTCCCCCTCTTTCTTTTTTTTCCTTTCTCCTCCTGTGATGAGGCTGCATTTTAATGTTTTAATGTTGTATTTTAATCTTGTTTTTAAGTTATATTTCAATCAACTTGTTTTTATTATTGGTTGTTAGCCGCCCTGAGCCCGGTCTTGGCTGGAGAGGGCAGGGTATAAATAAAATCTATTATTATTATTATTATTATTATTATTATTATTATTTACACCGGTGGTTTTTTTAGCCGTGGGTCCTCGGGTGTTGCTGGATTACAAAACCCATCATCTGCAGCCAGCTTTGCCAATGGTGCGGGATGATGGGAGTTATAGTCCAACAACATTTGGGGCCCCAAGATTGAAGAACACTGGTCTACACCAGGTGGCAGGGGCTCTCCAGAATTTCAGATGGGGGACATTCCCAAAGCCATCTGGAGATGTTATTAGGGACTGAATTGTGCAAGCCGTACTTTTCTGAGGTTTTTAAGGGATGGGAAAATTCCTCATAGAATTGCCCCACTAATTCAGCTGTGTTAAAGGCACAACAGTGCCAGTGTGGCATAATGGTTAGAGTGTTGGACTAGGACCTGGGAGTGCCAGGTTCGAATCCCCACTCGGCTGTGAAGCCCACTGGGTGACCATCTCTTAGCCTACCTCACAGGGTTGTTGTGGGAAGGAAATGGGGAGGAGGAAAACCATATACACCACCTTGAGATCCTTGGAAGATAAAGGCCGTACACACAGAGAGAGAGAACGCTCTGAAGATCTGGGCCAGACAACTCTGTATTATCTGAGGTAGATCACAGAACTACAGTTCCCAGCCCCCTTACAGCACCCAGGATTCTTTGAGGGAAAGTCATTTGATTTAAAGGTTCATTGGATGTGCTTTAAATGTATAATAGTGTGCAGTGCTTGCTGCTGCTGCTTTTTTTTAAAAAAAATGTGCCGCTACTATGTGCCCTTGGGTATCACCCCGTAAAAAACCCCGCTGATGGTGTTGATCTGCCAGAAATTCTAGTTTAAAAGAGAGCTCCTCTGTGATATGATCGTATTGCTGTTCTGTTGCAAAGATAGTCTTGGCCAGAAGAGGGCGCCAGTGGCCTTTATGTATGGCTGCAGTGTTTGCAAATGTAAACACCTTGGCAAAGGAATCAAGGGTTGAGTTTCTGTTTATGCCACCTGCTGTTCCTGTTTTGGAGCTGGCTCCTTGGTGTTCTGACTGCAACACCTGCCTTCAGGGCTGGTTGATTCGCACCCAGTGCCCCATTTGATGTCATTTTAGTTTCCCACCTATGTGGTTGCATTTTTTGAATCTGTACACACACACACACAGCATTACTAATTCCTTTTAACAAAATTGCTTTGTTTTATTTATTAAGAATATTAGAATGAGTTAAAGGAAAAGGAAAGGAAAATATAGAGGAAAACAACAATAACAATAGGGCAGTGGAATATAATTAAGATTAAAGAACTATATAAAACATATGTCGATGGGTGAACTTATTGTTTCCCTCAAATATACACTGATTCATGGGTCACTATGGTTTCAGTAAAGGTGTTGCAAATATCATTAAATTTATCCACACATAACCTTTGTCTGAAAACGATCCATTCAAGGGTTGCAAGAGTTGCCAGGTCATCTATCCATTGATCAAAAGCGGTCGTATTTTTGTCCTTCCAATGTATCAATATCAATCTTTTGTAGGTGTAAGGGCACGTCAACCAATAATCAAGCCCCATATATTAGGTATATAATTAAAAATAATGTTATCTTCTGACATTCCCCCGTAATATGTGAATACAACAGCTCAAGTTCTTCAAAACACATTTCAAACCAGCATTAAAGCACAGTTTGTCCTGACAGCAGTGCAGTGGCCAACATCATCTGCACTTTAGTTTTCAAAAGCATGTCTCATGAAGGTCTTAGCCTGCCAGTGGAAGGATATTATTATTATTTATTGAATTTATATACCGCCCTACACCCGGAGGGCAAAAAGGGAGCCAGTCTAGCGTTTCTTGGGAGAGACTTTCATGATCTGGGGGCAGCCGCAGAAAAGGCTCTCTCATGTCACACCAACCATGCTTCTGGTGTTGATGGGACCGAGAGAAGGCGATCAGTATAAATGAAAACATGAGACTTACGGTTTTGTTACATATGATTTTATTTTGGAGTTGTCTGTTTATTTTGGAGTTGTTTGTTGTAAAGAAGGTATATTATGTGAATAAAATAATAAAGGATTGGGGGGGGGAGAGAGAAGGTGTTTACCTGAGGATCTTTATACCTAGGCAGGTTCATATAGGGAGAGACGCTCTTTCAGGAAACCTGGGCCCAACCCTGATAATAGTAGTGGGCCGTCCTTAGCTTAACGGCTGTCATCGTGTCCCCCTTTTTTTCTAGCCAATGCCACCAGCGCCGCCCCCAGTGCCCCATCCCGCAGGATGTCCCAGCTGTCTTCCACCTTGAAACGCTATGTCGACGCTCCCCGCTACTCAGACACCTCGTCGTACAGCAAGGCCTCCACCAGCTATGGGAACTATTCTTCCTACTCTTCCAACCTGTCCTCCTCCTACCCGGACAAGGAGAAGATCAGCCTCAAGCCCACCGCGCCCTCCAGCTACCTCCGGACATCGGGCACCACCACATCCTCCTCCTCCTTGACTTACGACAGGCGGCTGCTCCAACGCCCGGACTCCAGCACTAGGCTCAGCCCCAGCTATGGACGGATTCCAGTGAGAACCCCGGGCAGCGGGGGGCTGAGCGGAGGGGCCCCCAGCTACTCCTATGGCAACAGCCCATCCACCAGCTACGGCGCCACGCTGGGCCGCAAGAAATCCAGTAGCCACTCGGACCTGGCGCGGGACATCACCTCCATGCACCTGTCGGACTCGTACCGCGCCGACCCGCCCCCTGCCCGTGCCTCGTACATCGCCCGCAGCCGCCAGGACCTGTGCCCGCTGCAGGGGTACTACCAGTCGGATTACGTCAAGGACTACCTGGAGTCCAGCAGGCGCAAAGGGGGGCGGTCCCCAGGCTCCGGCCTCCACGGCTCCACCCCAGAGGTCATCACGCCCACCCTGCGCCCCACCAGCTGCTCCTCAACTCAACCATGGGAGCGGACAGACAGTCGGACGGACATCTTGGCCAAGGAGGCCCAGGTAGGGCTCTGCTCTGGCTTCGGGGATGGAAGTGGGGCAGGAGGCCTTGCATTGTGGTGCCAGGGAAAAGGGAGTTGGCGTTGTTGCTGCGTGTGTCGCAGGGCACAGCCCCAGCCTGAACAAGGCCTGTGCAAGGGGTTAGTTAGGAAGATAGGAAGCGGCCTCGTTCTTAGCCAGGCCATTGGTCCTTTTTAACTCAGTGCAGTTGTACCTTGATTCTCAAACGCAATCTTTTCCAGAAGTCCATTCGACTTCCGAAAACGTTCAAAAACCAAGGCACAGTTTCCAATTGGCTGCAGGAGCTTCCTGCACTCAATCGAAAGCCATGTCGGACGTTTGGCTTCTGAAAAACATTTGCAAACCGGAACACTCACTTCCGGGTTTGCGGCGTTCAGGAGCCAAAACGTTCAAGTCACGAGGCATTCGAGAACCAAGGTACAACTGTATTGTGTCTACATGGGGGCGGGGGCCACACTTCTGCTCACCCTGTGCCTAGAAAGCACGGGTCTGACCAGTTTTCCACTGTGCTTTCTAGGCACGGGTTTGAGCAATTTTGCCTTCCCCCCGCCTTTCTCCTCTGGCAAACCTGCTCTTTAGTGCTACATGAGAACTGCACGGGTTAATTCTGTGCCCAGAACAGCTGCCTACCAGCTCCATCTGGTATGCTGGCTGAGACCCTGCTTGCCTGCCCACTGTCTCACCAGGGTGGCAAACGCTCCGGTTATCTATCCCGCTTGGACTACTGCAGTGTGCTCTGCGTGGGGCTACCTTTGAAAGTGACTCAGAAACTTAATCCAGAATGTGGCTGCCAGACTAGTGACTGGGAGTGTCCGCCACGACCATATAACACCGGTCCTAAAGGATCTTCACTGGCTCCCAGTACATTTCCAAGCACAATGCAAAGTGCTGGTGCCGAGCTTTAAAACCTTAAACTGCTTTGGCCCAGATAACTGAAGGAGCATCTCCACCCCCATTGTTCAGCCCGGACAGTGAGATCCAGCTCCGAGGACCATCTGAAAGTTCACTCCCTGGGAGAAATTACAGGGAACCAGGCAGAGGTCCTTCTCAGTAGTAGTGCCCGCCTTGTGGAACACTCTCCCATCAGATGTCAAAGAGATAAACAATTATATGGCCTTCCGTAGATATCTAAAGGCAGCCCTATATCAGGAAGTTTTTAATGTCTGGTGTAGTGTGCGTTTTTTTGTATTCTGTTGGAAGCCGCACAGAGCGGTTGGGGCAACCCAGTCAGATGGGCCGTGTATAAGTAATAAATTATTATTATTATTATTATTATTACTATTATTATTATTATTATTATTACTATTATTAACAGCAATCCACTTAAAACCCAGCTGCTGTTTGTTCTGATTCTGCACTAGAGATTGGGTTCCCAGGGGAAAGCTTGCAGAGAAACGGATGTGTGGATTAGCCCTGTGTGGCTGCGGGTCTCTGGGATTTCAGGCAGGGGACATTTTCAGCTCTGCCTGGAGATACCAGAGACTGAAGTTGGGCCCCTCTTCCTGCACAGCAGATGCTCTATGACTGAGCTACAGCCTTTCTCCAATAGGGAAACCTCCAGTTTGAAAAAATACATGTACCACCAGGGTTTAAAGAGCACAAATAGCCATTTAATTGATCCACTGGTAAGATATTTCTTTAAAAACAAACTTAAAAACCTCCTTTTCAGTAGGCCAAAATGATGCCCTGATTCATCAAGCTGTGGGCTTTAAACTGATTACTGTTCTACAGTTCCTCTTAAAACGGCAAGCGGCTAGTGACATCTTAGAAGAAGCATTCCCTCGGGGGTGAGAATGCTGCTCGTGAGGCAAGTGTGTGGGAACCACAACTCCCATCAGCCCCTGCTGGCATGGCCAGCAGCCAGGGATGATGGGAGCTGTAGTTCACCAACCTCTGGAGGGCAGAAGGCTTCCCCACACCTGTTCTAAAGGCATCCTCTAGCCCTTAAGGTGTTGTTATTGGACTCCAGCTCTTGTTATTCCTGATTGTTGGCTGTGCTGACTGCGGCTGATGGGAGTTGAGAGCCCAACAACCTCCAGAGGGCACCGGGTTGGGGAAAGCTGCTTTTAACACTGGAACTTGCGGACATCCCCAAGGAGCTGAATGTTGGAAGGTTCAGGACGGGCAAAAGCAAGTCACTTCTTCACACAGCGCATAGCTAAACCTAGACGGCTTTAAAAGAGGATGAGACGAATTCATGGAGAAGAGGGCTATCGATGGCTAGTAGCCACGATGACTACACTCTGCCTTTGCAGTCGGAGGCAGTAATGTTTCTGAATGCCAGCTGTTGGAAACCACAGGAGAGGGAGAGGACTCTTGTGTTCAGGTTCTGTTTGAGGGCTTCGCAATGACGTCTCTGGCTGATCGCTGTGAAAAAAGGATGCTGCACTGGATCGGCCCCTGGCCTGATCCAGCAGGACTTTTCTTAAGTTCTTAGGTTCATAAGGTGATGGCGCTTTGCTGTGGCACAACAGATTCAATCGATCCCCTAAGGTTCCTTTAATCTGGTTCCCCATCCTTCAGTGCATCCCGTGTTGCTCTTCCAAATTCAGCACCAGTTTGCTCCATTTTGCAGGCTTAAGTTTGCTTTAACGGTTGCTGGATTTGCTTTGCTTTTCGGGCACAGAAGTTGCTCCTTGGCTTCAGCGAGTAAACACACCAAGCAGGAGTTTTTGTCAAGTGGAAGAGATCTGGTTCTTTTTGTTTGCTTTCCTTTCCAGGCTGTCTGTGTGTGGAATAACAGGTTTCACTGGCTTAGCATACTGTGTGATATTTTTCTGCAGGGAGCAGGGAAGGGATGGAGGTTAGTTCCAGGTACCCACAGCCCTGTTCCCCTACTTCAGAATTATTGCTGGGTAGGATGGGGGCATGCAAGTTTTGGTCATTTTGAAACTCACTCAGAGCTGAGCACTAGGTAAATCTTGGCTTATGTTCAGCTCTGGGTCCATGTTGGTCTCAACTTCCCATGCGCTTCTGGGTCTTTTCTGCACCTGGGGCCTCCAGGAAATGTGGTCATGTCACGGCGGCCTGGTTTTGTCATGCCAGGGTCAGGTCAAACGTGGCCAAACTTGAGTCACTTGTTCCCACAACCAGCTTTTGCCCCAGGCTCTCTGTGTTCCTGGATCAGAAACACCTGAGCAGCCGCAGTGCGAAATATTTCTGCAAAGAGCAGTGTCGGTCACCGACGTGCCCTCATGGATGCAGGGCCAAGGAGAAACCAACAACTGCCTGGAGCGAATGGAAAGTTCTGCCGGGCATGGATTTAACTCTCTCTGGTTTCTGTTCTCAGAACGGCAGGCTTAAGCAAAGCCTGTTCAGGTTTGGTTCTTGTAACGCGACATATTATTGAGAGCCATATTATTATATTGAGAGCCAGTGTGGTGTAGTGGTTAAGAGCAGTCAACTCGTAATCTGGGGAACCGGGTTCGCTTCCCCGCTCCTCCACATGCAGCTGCTGGGTGACCTTGGGCTAGTCACTCTTCTCTGAAGTCTCTCAGCCCCACTCACCTCACAGAGTGTTTGTTGTGGGGGAGGAAGGGAAAGGAGAATGTTAGCCACTTTGAGACTCCTTAAGGGGAGTGAAAGGCGGGGTATCAAGTCCAAAACACACACACACACACTCTCTCTCTCTCTCTCTCTCTCTCTCTCTCTCTCTCATATAATGTGCATTGGCCAGAATGTTCATTTGCATGACAAATGCCTTTACTTCACACTTCTTGTTCACCTTGACAGGCAGAAGTCACGGGAGGTGGGCTCCAAGCTGTGTTAGAAACTCAGATATATAAGCTAAGCTCCAAATCGCTCCTTAAAAAGAGGGTTATGGCCACCAGAACAGAATACCTAGTTGCTATTTTGGAGGCAGACGGCTCGAAAGTCGAATTTTTTCAATATGACTTTTTGGTTCCTGAAATTCATTCTGATTGTGCAGATAAAATGTAATGGGTAGAATTCTACAGGATGTGCTGCTGGTGCATGCAAAAAAAAAAAGAAGTCGAGATTGATCCAAGGATCCCCAGACATGCGCCTACGGATGGCAGAGAGGTCAGGCGCCATCCTGGCACCTGGGCATCTTCACTTGGTCGCAAGTGGCCGATAGCCAGGTGCAAAGTGCAGCTGACAAATTTCAGACACTGGTTCCAAGGTAAAACAAGCTTCCCGTGTCAGGATGGAGAACCTGTGGCTCTTGCTGGACTACAGCTGCCATCTTGCAAGTTGTGGCTGGTGGGAGCAAATGAAACATAGGAATCTGCCGCAAGATAATCTCGTTCAGCATGGTTTGGATTACTGTAACTTGGTAGGATTCTCCAGACTTTCAGACAAGCTGTCTTCCCTCTTAACTGGAGATACCATCGGGAATTGAACTAGCAGCCTGCACTGGCATTCCTGCCCAACACGCAGACTAATCTCTGTTGCAGGAATGTTAGTGCAGTTTTTATTTTATTTATTGGATTTATATACAGTGGTACCTCGGGTTAAGTACTTAATTCGTTCCGGAGGTCCATTCTTAACCTGAAACTGTTCTTAACCTGAAGCACCACTTTAGCTAATGGGGCCTCCTGCTGCAGCATGATTTCTGTTCTCATCCTGAAGCAAAGTTCTTAACCCGAGGTACTATTTCTGGGTTAGCGGAGTCTGTAACCTGAAGCGTATGTAACCTGAAGTGTATGTAACCCGAGGTACCACTGTACTGACCTATACCCGGAGGTCTCAGGGCAGTTCACAGAAAAGATCACAATATATAAAATCAAAACAAGAACAATAACCCAATAATAACTCCTCCCCCCCCCCCCGCAAAAAGAGCCACATTTTAAAAGGGTATAGGATGTCCATCAGGTCAACCAAAGGCCTGGATAAAAAGGAACGTTTTTGCCTGACACCTAAAGGTGTATAATGAAGGCGCCAGGCGAACTTCCCTGGGGAGAGCATTCCAGAGACGGAGAGCCACTGCAGAGTATTATTTTGCTTCATTCCTCCTATCCTACAGTGACTTGCACCCTGAAAGCTAAATAAACGTATCTGTGTGCATCGCACGACGCACGCAAACATGACTTCTAGAGCACAATACTCCCAAGGTAGCTAAGTGCAACGAGATACTACAGCGCATGATGATATTGACATAGTTACCGTGGTTAGTTATTAACTATAAATGGATAATACACCTGTTACGCCTAGGAGGGCAGGTTCTGGGGGTCGCTCCATTATCCTATCTAATGTGCCGTGTGTGAGACCTTCCTAAAAGCGGAGAGAAAGGAGAAAGGTGAGGTGACCTGCCTAAGAAACACATCCTGGGGCACAAGCCCTAGGCATGGAGCCCTGCCTCAGATTAGGACCCCTCAATGCCAAGATTCTCAGGCCTTCTTGCCCTTGGGACTGAGTCTCCTAGGGAGGACCACTTCCTCCCAGTCCTGGCAGCGAACGGGTGATCTGGCAGCAGAGCTCAGAGCCTGTGTAATTAAGTCTCCCTGTCAATCTCTCCCTCCCTGCTTGGCACTAGTCCCCTGAGTTTATGTAACAGGTATAATTGTTTAATGCTCGCTTAAGAACACACACAAACTCTTGCTATGTCAATAGGCCGCCGTGGAGCATATTAGAGAAGGTCTGGGGTGGGGCCCGCCGAGAGGTGCTCCCCAGAGTGTGTCACGGACCGAGACAGCTGTCTCAGCACATGGAGGTGTGTGTGCACATGTGTATATGCACACAGGCACCTCAAGGGCGTGCTTCCCTGGTTCTTCCTCTGCGCATGATAGAGCAATGTGCTATTAGTTCGCCTTTAGGGATGCGACGCGCGTGGGATGTTTGGCGCATGAGCTCACACCCGCAGCACACCGTCAGAGCGCTTTTGTGTCGCATTTAAATATTCGTGGCTTCCCACTGAGTCCACAGCCAGCCCTCAGCAGAGGACCCCAAATAGTGACACTGTAAGGTTCCCAATTTATTTCCCTGTCCGTAAGTCTATAAAGTCATTGTCCTTAGATTGGTGTCAGGCAGGGACCCCTTTGAAGCAGCCTCTCACCAGTTTCAGGCCCACGTTTTCAGTTTTGAATGGCATACCCCAGTCGTGCGAGAGTGATGGCTAAGGGTGCTGCTGAGCATGCACAGAGTGAATTCCTTTCTTGCCTAAGTAACTGCAACTGGTCTCCACATGTTTAAGATTGGAGGGCAGGACTTCCACATCGTGCTTTCAAGAGACTGTCATATGCTCACCCCCTTTTCACAAATAAATATAATTGATAGGGAAGGACATTAGAGAAAAATGAGGGGGTCTAATAATAATAATAATTTTAAAAAAAATCAATGGGACACTCCAGCTAATCTAAGTACAGTGGTACCTCGGGTAATGAACTTAATTCGTTCCGTAGTTCCGTTCTTAACCTGAAACCGCTCTTAACCTGAGGTACCACTTTAGCTAATGGGGCCTGCTGCGCCACCGCCTTGCAATTTCTCTTCTCATCCTGGGGCAAAGTTCTTAACCCGAGGTACTGCTTCCAGGTTAGTGGAGTCTGTAAGCAAAACCTCCACAAAGAATGTTGTTTCTGTGGTTTGGAATCTCCAGGGAGAGATTTAAAAACATATTTCCTAAGCTTGCTTCCTGGTTACGTTCCCAAGTGAAGTAAGATGAGCAAAAGCATTTCGTCGAAGCCTTCATCCTTCTATTTGTGCAATGCAGTTTTGTGTGCGAAAACAAATCCCCTAAATAATGTTGCTTTCTATGGTTTGGAATCTCTGTGGACGGAGACAGTCTATCAGAGTAATACTTGCGGAGGGGAGTGGCAGCGCATGCCCTTTTTGTGAGCTTATCAGGGGCATCAGATGGGTCACTGTGGGAAGCAGGAGGTTGGGCAAAGATGGATCTTTGCTGCCAACCCTGGCAGATTCAGAGCTAAGGAGTCACAGCGGTGATGCCCAGATTGGCGTTGGAAGGAGTGCTTGGGGCAGTGTTGTTTTTCTAGAAAAAAACAGGTCCTGGAACTCACCCTTGTTCTCTTATAATGGCAATGGCGCCCGCCTGAGAGGGGCCAGAACTGAGTTCTGGTGAGTTCCAGCTGAAAAAAACACACCATGGCTTGGGAACAGAAAGAGGTTTCTGCTCCTCCTCCTCCTCCATCACCACTCCTTTTGTGATTCAGGGTTCAGCTGTGTTTGACTAGCACCCAGAGCTGGCAGCTTAGAGGAAGAAGGAGGGTCCTGGCTGGGTGGAAGCAGGAAGAGTCGGCTGCAAGAGCTCGCTTGCCACGGCTGGCACGCTGGTACATTCAGTGCTCCGCCGCCACCAACTGTTTGTGAACACAGCAGAGATGATGACATAACCAGGGATGGGCAATGCCAAGGATGGCAGATCCAGCTGGCGTGCCACTTGCTGGGAGCAACAGAGGTGCCCTTGCAGCACTTGCTTTTGTCCCTCCTCCATGGCCCAGCCCCTTGTTCCTGTCTCCACAGAGTGACTGAAGGTTGCCATTCTAAAAGGCAGCATAGACACTCATGGGGGTGAGGGGATGCCTGCTTCATCATAAGACAAACCAGAGTTTGTCCTCCGAAACCTGTTTTCTCCAGTGTTGAGGTTATCATACGAGTCAGTGGGTGTATTTCTGAGCACGTGCGGAGTGCCACTCCCTCGCCGCTGGGCAGCAACCAGCTGCCACTTAATTGAGGCGAAGGGTATGTAAGTGAAAGGGCATAACCAGGACCCGAGTGTGTGCTGTGGTTCTGCGCAGACACAGAAACTGGCATCAAATAATCGAGAAAACTTCAGTGTTGTAAAAAGCAACTTTCTGGTCCTCAAGATGGAAAATGCACGCTTGGAACGGTGTGGGTCAGGCTAGGTGAAATCTCAGAAGCTCTTCAGTGCCGCCAGTTTTGGTGGGGAAAGCCACTCAGGACATGCTCAGGGGCTCGCTCCGTTGCAATGCAGGTGGATGCAAGGTATACAGAAATGTCTTGAGAGCTAAGCCCTGGAGAACTATTTGTTCAGATTAAGCCCTTCAGTAGACAGCGTTGCAAGGAGGGCTTGTTTGTTTGCTTGGCTGTCGCCGGTCACTTCCATAACTCAGGGAAGTTTTCCATGTTTGCAGTAAACTCAGCTAGACTAGAAACGGGTGGCAGAGAGCACTTAACATTCTGGGAGACGCCTGCTTTGCAAAGGTTCACGTGCCCTTGCATGCATGCATGGCCTTCTTGAACTCTCTCACACCACGGCCGGTAACTTTCCACTCCAGCCTGAGCAAAGCAGGTGGGCAGGTGGGCTGCATGGCGATTTACTGCTGGTTAGACCCAGTGCTTCACAGCTGGGCACACTGAGTTGGTGGAATCCAGAGGTAGGATGGCAGAGTGGACTGTACCACTTCATGGTAGAGGTGTCAGGCCAGCGGAGGGTACCATTTTCTCAATCCTCCCTCATTTAAAACAAACATAGGTTCCTGCCAACAGAAAACTAGCAGAACAGGGAATGAACTAGACTAGAACCTCACCCCCCTAATACATTAGTGTGAGTAGTAGTTGTTTTCTAACTTGCAATCACTTTGTTTTTAAGTGAGAAAGGAACTTCCTCCTCTGCCCCCATTCCATGCACACAGTCTGAAGTGGTACAGTTCTTTCCCCCCCCATTTTAGGGCTCCACTACTTTGGTGCACAGATTGGGTAAAATGAATGAGGTAGAATAACATTGTTTATGCTAATTAATCACGTAAACGTTTATGCTAATTAATCACGTAAACGTTTATGCTAATTAATCACGTTTCGCCACAGCAGACCGTGAGATGAATAACGTAGCTTTTGTTTGGTAGGTGAACTCGTGTTGCATGCGACAAAGGCAGGGCAGAACAGGGAGCGATACTTAGAATTATAGAATCGTGAAGGTGGAAGGGGAACCCCAAGAGACAATGTAGTCCAACCCCCTGCAATGCAGGAATCTTCTTCCATTGTTAGTACTGCATGGGCAGAGATTGCAGCGCTTCTCAAGCAATGTGTAGCTGAAGCCTAGAGCTTGTAGCCTCTAGTCCAGAAGCAACCATTGCTCCTGGTTCGGGTGGCCCCTCTAGTTCTGCCAACTTAACGCCTCCCTGCCCACATCCCAATCTGTAGCCATGCCCCTCCCCACCACTGAAGATGCAGGTATGAAGTAATAGCAAAGGTGAAAGTACCTCTGAGCATGTGCAGAGTGCCTTTCCTCTCACTACTGGGGGGAAATGCAACCTGGCCCCCATCACATAAAATTAAGGAGCAGGTGGTCTTTCCAGGGACTGGTGGCAGGACTCTAAGCTAAACCTGAACCCTAGCAAAATCTCTGTCGCTAACCACCCACCAAATGCCAGCGCTGTTCCTCTTCTTCACACCCCATGCTAGCACTCTGAGAACAACCCAAAATTATTATTATTTAATTTGGGGGGGGTGTAGGATTTTGAAGCTCACCGCTTATTCCAGCCTTCCTAAACCTAGAGTTTTGGACCACAGCTCACACCAGCCCCAGCCAGCACTGTAACAGTTGGTGGTATGAAATGTCATGGAATATCAGCTGGGAGCTGCAGGAGATGGACCAATTGCAAGCAAAGCAGGATGCCTGCCCTGGAACTTTTGCAGCTGCAAGCAGTACTGAAAGCACAAATAATCACAAAAAGGACCCAGAATGTCCTGGGAAGGTGAAACGTTCCCTCCATTGGCTTTTGAATATTACCGTTTCAATAAATGCCAGTTTGGGGTCTAATCCTCCAAATCAGTCAGTTTCTGCAGACATATCTTCTTTAAGGAGGCAGCTATTCTTTAGGAGGGCAGGGAGCTCCTCTCCCCTCTCCCATCCCTAAATCCCCCCTCTCTCCTTCACTCAGAAATTCTTGCCTCTTCCTCCCTCTCTACTCCTCCTTCCGCTGGCCTGGTGTCAGCTGGCCCTGACCAAACACTGGGCTTGGCTGCTGGGTGGAAGGGGCTGTCGGCCTCCCGGCTGGCATTGCACACGCCTCCTTCACATGGGCACGCGGCGCACCATCTGGCTCCGTCTGGGACAGACACCGAGAAGGCCAGCAAAGCAGCTGGGGTGCTCCTGAGGGCAAGCGGTTATTTCTTTCACCCGTGCACAGCCTTGAGACGGGAGCAGGCGCAAGAGTATGAGGCAGCGTGGATAACGGGGGATTTTGTCTGCCCCGATATCCCACTGACTTGGTACGCCTATTCACTAGGATTGGAGGCAATCTGTTACATGTCGTTTGAGAACTGAAAGCGACCCAAGCTAGCAGCGAATATTAGTCATGTTCTCCGGGTTGATTTCCATTGTGGACACGGGATGAATAAGCAAACATCGGCCGTTTCCACTCAACATTTCTGTTCTTGTTGGAATTCTCTGTCATCCCTTCCTACCTATATGCGTGCCTGGCATGCAACGTAAGAATCAGCAGAGCAGAGTCCCAGATAGGAGGAAAACCCAATGCATTCTTCCCTAGCACGATGGGCCTACCAGAACCTTCATGCAAATATAGCCACTGATTTAGAGGCGGATAAGTTGGAGGACGACATGCATTGTCTTGAAGAAGCCTGGTTTTTGAAACATGCTGGGATACATGGGCATTGCAGTCAACCTTCCCTTTTTTTGCGGGAAATCCCCTTATTCCAGCACCGTTTCCCGCTGCTATCCCGGATTGTTAGATATCCCGTAGACTGTCCCCAGGACAGGTGAGGCTGCTGATCCCTTATTTTCAAATCTGAAAGTTGACAGCTATGTACATGGGGGACGTGCGGCCCTGCAGATGTTGCTCTGACCACTGGCCATGCTGGCTGGGGGAGTTGGAGTCCAGCTTCCAACAAGTAGAGGGCCACATGTTCCTTCCCCCTGCCCTAATAGATACAGGTGTGTTCAGGGGTAGGATGTCCCATTTTGCCACCTGAGGCAAAACAGGAAATTGCTGCCTTGTGTGTGTACCACCCCTTGCTGCTTCCACCGAAACCACTTCCTAGGGTCGCATGGCTGCAGCTTCTGGGTTCTGGTGAGATTTCGCAAGGCCTCTGTGCGATCTCGCAGGGCTCTCACAAGATCTCACTGGAACCCGGAAGCCGACACAGCCACATCTCCTCGCTTCCTTGGCGGCAGCAGCAGCCGGGTACCAGCAGAGATGATCCTAGGATTCCACCACATGAGGCAGCTGCCTCAGTCTGCCTCACGAACAGACCCGGCCCTGGGTTTGTGCCTTTGTGGGACATGAGGTTCAAGAACAGAGGAGCCTTTGGAGGATGCTGTTGTTATAAAAAGGACCCTCTTCCTTCACTTTTCACCCCAGAAGCAGTCACACCCATCTCTACACACATCCTGTAAATTCCTTCTTCATATGGTGCAGACAGTCTTCCTCACCCTGCTGTCCTGCAGGTTTTATTGGACTACAACTCCCATCATCCCCTAACCATTGACCATACTACCTGGGTCTTTGTGGGAGATGGAAGTCAGAGCCAGATAGTGTTCTTCTTAAGCTCTTGCATCATCTCTTTCAAGTATCTTTGGGGGGAAAGGAATAATTTTTAGCCAGTCATGTGCCACATCCGGTGGTTGTAGTAACCTGGCAGTGTGAACGCACTGCAAATCCCATGTGACTGGTGTGACCCCACAGCGCTGTCAGTTTAATGGCACGGAACACAGTCCCAGCCACACACTCCCATAAAACACACTCTTCGGGAATTTGCATTGCAACTTAACCAATCCATTTCTATAACGGTTCTTATTTTGCTGCCTGACTCTGAAAACCCAAGACCAGCAAATAGCAGCAGGGATCATTAAGCTCCCCTCTCTGTAACCCCAGGGCATGCCTGTATTCAGTTACCAAATAGCTCAACCAAGAAGCATGCAGAGGGCATTTGGACTGGGCTGCCATAACCCCAAGTGACCCAGAAGAATTGCCTTGCAGAGCTGCTCCTATATTAAGCCACCCCAGGGAAGGAGGGAGGCTGGGACTTTGCCATCTTGGGGTGGGGCAGAATGAGAGGCACTTGTCGGCATGAGACTCCGCAGCTGAAAACAGGACCACTTTTGAAGAGGAGCAAACTTTTCCAGTGTCAGCCTAGGCTTGTTTCTTGCATCTGATCTGAGCTAGGAGGGAATGTTGCCATTTTGCTCTCCCAGCCCAGCACACATGGGTTGCCACTGTTCTCGTAAGGCAGGGGCAGGCAGCCTCAGACCCAGGGGCAAGTGGCCCCTGAAAGGTTGCTCAGAAGAGAATGTGGCCCTCGGGTTGGAAAAAGTTCCCCACCCCTGTCAAAAAGAGAGCTGGGTTTAACCATATGGCAAGGTCCTTTCTTCATTTGACAAGGTCACCGAGCCCACTGACAGGTCAGGTATTCCAATAATACCACTCTGTAGATCAGGCTTCTCCAGATTTTTTTAGACAACAGTTCCCATCAGCTTCGGGGCTGGGGCTGATGGGAATTGTAGTCCAAAGCATCCAGGGGGCATCTAGTGAGGGAAGGCTGGTGTACAGTAGGTAATTGAAACAACAAAATAGATAAAACCACTGGAAAAGTTAAAACTGACAGCACAAGCAGAAGACTAAAATCAGTAAGCCTGCTGACCATAAAAACGGATAGATCCAAATGGGGCCCAAATTGAGTTTAAAGGCCTTGGTAAATAAGTAGGGCTTAGCTTGCCACACAGTCTTGTCTCCAAAGCTTTCCTTCAACCCACTAGTGCTCTGCTGCACCTCCAAGACCTCAGCTCCTCTTATCCCTGCCCTCTTTATTCTCTGCACCACTGCCACCAAGTACACACACCGCTCAGCCAGTCGGGGCTGATGTGTGCAGGGTGTGTTCATCACTTTGGTGATGGGCAAATTTGCCAATTTCACGTTCCAGACTTAAGTTCCAACCTTAAGTTCCGTTCTCCCTGTTTCCACATCAGTTTGCAATTTTATTAATTTTTTTAATCCCCATGAAAACTTGCTAGCAGTGCCCATTTCTCCTAACGTACACATGCTGGTGCACAGTTTTCGCCTTTTGCACACATCTGTGCAAAGCAGTGTCTTCCGATAAGAGTGCATTTTTGTACGCCGTTTTCACTAACATAAGCACATTTTATCCTAACATACACATATTTTATTTTATTTTTGTTTTTGTTTTTTTAAATGATATTTATTAAAGTTTCCAATAAAAACAGAACACATCAGTAAAAGAAAATTAAAAGTAAAAAGAAAAATACACAATACAAAAATACACAATACAAAATACCAAAAAAAACAAAAGAAAAAACAATTAAAAACAATACCACCTTTTCATCACCACTTTTGAATTTACTTATTTTCTGGACCTCCTCATACCTCCTCTTTTTGTATTCCAGTTCAATTTGTTTGTCCAGCAATTTCTTTCCCTCTTTTTAATCCCAATCCTTAATCTTAATATGGTATAACATTAAATTCTTATCTATTAATAGCCAATTTTCCGTTCTTTTAACCTTTTATGCCTAATCCTTAATCTTAGTCTATATATAACTTTAACGCCTGTACAGCTAGAAACCACTTAATTTCAATCCATCATCACTCTAACATTCTTTGATTTTGCAATGTTTCTGTAGATAATCTTTAAATTTCTTCCAATCTTCTTCCACCGACTCTTCTCCCTGGTCACGGATTCTACCAGTCATTTCCGCCAGTTCCATATAGTCCATCAGTTTCATCTGCCATTCCTCCAGTGTGGGTAGCTCTTGTGTCTTCCAATACTTTGCAATGAGTATTCTTGCTGCTGTTGTATTTTATTTTTGTATACGTTACTTGGCTGGAGAGCAAGCACTGCGAAATTCAGGAAAGTGTGAATTTCTAAGGATGGCTCTGTGTCACTTCACGTATGATGTCGGAAAGTATGAATTAGATACTCCGCCCTGACTTGCAACATCAAGTGATGACCTGCATATGGGAACAAGATCTATCACAGGTCCTACACCACCGTTTCTACCTCATTTTTGTTCAGGACCAAACTAGATGTTTGCTGAAGTTGTAGCATGCAGCTACATAACTTGTAGTGTTTTTTCCTTCCTTCCTTCCTTCCTTCCTTTCTTCCTATTTATTTATTTCGTTTAATTTCTGGACTGCCTATGGACCAAAGTCCTCTGGGCAGCTTAGAAAAAACAATGAAAATAGATGCTGTCAGAGGAATCATGGCTCTGAATGCCAATATCTGGGAATGACAAGTTGGGAAAGAACTCAGTTCTCACTTGCAGGATTCCAAGAGGCAAGAGGGTATTGTGGGAGCACAGTGCTGGAGTAGGTGGGTCTATACAATATATAATACCATACAAACCGTTAAATAATCTTGATGCAAATAACATTAGAATAGCATTCCTAAGTGAGAGGGGAGGAGATCCTTGTTTCTTTGCTAACATTTGTCAATCTTGGGAGACGATGGAGGTGTGCGCCTTTGGGGGTGAGGTCAAGCTGTTGGACGGTTGCAGCGCCTGCTGTGGCTGTAGAGACCGATATAGGAAAGACATGCTTTTTTGCAGCTGGGGCAGATGAAGGCGTCCGGCTGTTCCACTGCAGATGCACCATGGCATTTCTTCTCTCTGTCCTCCTCCCAGTGGCCATTTCTCCTCCGGTCACTGCTTGTTGTTTGTTGTTGTTTAGTCATGTCCGACTCTTCGTGACCCCATGGACCAGAGCACGCCAGGCACTCCTGTCGTCCGCTGCCTCCCGCAGTTTGGTCAGACTCATGCTGGTAGCTTCGAGAACACTGTCCAACCATCTCGTCCTCTGTTGTCTCCTTCTCCTTGTGCCCTCCATCTTTCCCAACATCAGGGTCTTTTCCAGGGAGTCTTCTCCTCTCATGAGGTGGCCAACATATTGGAGCCTCAGCTTCACGATCTGTCCTTCCAGTGAGCGCTCAGGGCTGATTTCCTTCAGAATGGATAGTTTTGATCTTTTTGCAGTCCATGGGACTCTCAAGAGTCTCCTCCAGCACCATAATTCAAAAGCATCAATTCTTCTGCGATCAGCCTTCTTTATGGTCCAGCTCTCACTTCAGATGCACGACTTGACTGCCTGCCTCCAGGCACTGCAGTTGCCTGTAACGGATTCCCACAAGGCAGGGTTGACGGCGCCATCCTTCGTGCCACGTTTGCAAACATCTTTGTAACGCAGAGTTGCTCCACCAACGGGCCCGGTGCTGGACGCCAGCTCTCCACAGAGCGCCTCCTTGGGGTATCCTTCCCTCTTGCATCCTGTGGGCACAACCAAGCCTGCGTAGAAGTCGCTGAGACAGGAGTACGAACATGCTGGGAATGTGGGAACAGAGAGCACACAGAAAGGAGACATGTAACTTAGGAAGAAAAAACGGGTTAAGCAAAGCAGCCTTCAGGTTTCTCTTGCCTTTGGATGGCTTCTCAGCCCCATTGCAGGGTAGCTCTCTGATGTTTCCCTGGGGTCTCTCTCTCAGTCTGGCCTTTGAGCCAAGCCCCCATTTGGATCCACCAATAGCTCTTCACCTCACCCCCCATGCTTGCAATTCTCCACACGTTGCTTCCTGACATCTGGAATTTCCCGAAATTTCTCGCCCCATTAATCACCCATCTGCATCATCCCAGGCTGGTGAACCCGGTGGCCGTTGCCAAGTAGGAAGATCACAGCCTGTTCTTTGGGCAACCTGAGGCCACCTGGTCACTGCTGCATCCGCCCCACCACCACTGCAAGAGGGGTGTGTGCCACTACGAAGCCCCCCGCTTTGAGAGTTTCCGCACTGGGGCTGCCCAGGAGTTGTATGGCAGCCAGCTTGCCTTGATTAATCATTTACTTTTAATTCTAACATTTTCCACCCTCTCGTTCTAGAAAATGACCAAGGCCGCTTCAAAACATAAAATAAAATAATTGGCAGTCGGGATCGAATTTTCTGAAAACCTCAATGTTGAGCTTGACTGCACTGCCTTTTTTCTAATTCCCATCTTGAGCTCGACAAGAATCAAGGCTGGGTGGTTTTGGTGTTTGGTTTTGGTTTTGGCATGTTCTGCTGAAAATGCAAATAATTCTCGCATGATTGTATGCATTATAATATTCTGCTCTAGTTGGAACAGAGATAGTTTTTGTATCTGTATATTATATTGTTGTACTCTGTCCTAAGACAGGTGAAGGACAGTTAAGAAATCATATACAGTGGTACCTCAGGGTAAGTACTTAATTCGTTCCGGAGGTCCATTCTTAACCTGAAACTGTTCTTAACCTGAAGCTCCACTTTAGCTAATGGGGCCTTCTGCTGCTGCTGCGCCGCCGGAGCACGATTTCTGTTCTCATCCTGAAGCAAAGTTCTTAACCTGAAGCACTATTTCTGGGTTAGCGGGGTCTGTAACCTGAAGCGTATGTAACTTGAGTTACCACTGTATGTAAATAAATGTATAACGCTATGTACATTATTGTACGTACATGCACTCCAGGTTTCCTGATGTAGTCAGCACATAAAGAGATACATAGAACCATGCATGTAATTGTATGAAAATGCATATTCAGTTATGCTGTAGAAATGCAAAACTGCACAGGGCTTGATTCTTTTTTGCGCATAATATAAGGGATTTTTGTTCCGTTTGATTTTGCACGTAAATAATTGGGCTTAAATCGAGAGTGCACAGGTGGCTCGGATATAAGCAGGTGCTTGATGCAAGAGGAGATTTGATACAGACAAGGCTTGGTTGGGTCAGAGTTGCTAAATTCCATATATAAATTTGTTTCGAATGGATTTCCATCCCTATCCTTACCAACAAATAACAAGAGAAGTCATCCAGCAAACAGCAAGAAAATTACAACAGTGCTTATGAGGGCAGCTGCAACAGCATATTTAAAATGGTTGCCACACACACACACCCCACCATGGGGGAGCTTCATGCTCCGGCACTGGGGGGTGGAGAGTAGGTGGGGCAGGGCTGGCATGCGTCCCGGGGGCGTGGCACGCCACCTGCGGGGGCATGGTGCCCAGCGTGGGCGGGGGGCAGCCGCGATGGCACCCCACCGGGATGGCGCTGCCGGGGGCGGTACGCTCCCCCCGCACTCCTCTTCCTTCGCCAGTCCCCCACCCTCCAAAAAAAATGCATTGCTGAAATAAAGTCGTCTTCTCATTGTAGCAGTGCAGCTGGGCAGGCCCTCTCTTGGGAGACCACACCAAATTCTGGGAGCCACCACCAAGGAGGCTCTGTATGTGTCGTGCTCGCCTGCAGCTGTGTATCAGCCTGGGGCTTGCTCAGAGCCTGGATAGGTGACCTTTTGGGAACCATGGTAGAAGAAAGGCAGAAAATAATTAAACAAACAAGCCAGAAGAGCCAATGCTATTATACAGCCACAGACCTGGTAATAAGAAAATAGATAAGAAGTGCACACTGTGCTGATATAGGAGAATGTGATTATTATTATTATTATTATTATTATTATTATTAAATTGAAGCATAATGACCATTACTAACAACCCAAAAGAACAGTAGCATCCATCATACTGAGGAGGAGGAGGAGGAGGAGGAATGGTAACACATCAATATAACTCAAAACATCTATATTTCCTGTTCTGGCATGGACAGTGAATGCTGGTCAACTGAGTCGAAAGCATGAGAAATAAAATCCCACTAGATGACCTAGGAGTGTTCTTGATCCTCTTTCCCCCTGGAGACCATCAGTTTAGGTGTTATTTTTCCCGCAGCAAGTTCTTATACGACAAAGACAAATGTAGATTTTTCAAGGTTTTCCATTGTTTGGGCTATTGAAATCCTAGCTGCAACTAGCATCCATGTCAAAAGTTCTTGAGAGCTTTCATGTTGTCCGTCCACATATCCGAGTAACGACAGTTGTCCAGAAGCCTGAAATTTGATTATTTTAGATATTCTCTTGATAACCTTGGGACCGGAATGATGAGACTGAGAGGGCATTCCCTCCAGAGATGGAAAAACGTGCTTGGATCCCAAAGGGATGTGTGATTCTTGAGATACTACATTACTAGGCTGTTAGACTTTTAAGGTTAAGACCAGCACCTTGAATTTGGCCTGAAACAAATGGGCAACCAGTGTGGCCCATCTAGCTTATTATTTGCTGCTCTGACTGGCAGTGACCCTCCTGGATGTCAGACAGGAGTCTCTCCCAGCTCTACCTGGAAATAATAATAATGATAATGATAATAATTAATTTATACCCCGCCCATCTGGCTGAGTCTCCCCAGCCACTCTGGGCGGCTCCCAATCAAGTGTTAAAAACAATACAGCATTAAATATTAAAAACTTCCCTAAACAGGGCTGCCTTCAGATGTCTTTTAAAAATAAGATAGCTGCTTATTTCCTTGACATCTGAAGGGAGGGTGTTCCACAGGGCAGGCGCCACTACCGAGAAGGCCCTCCGTCTGGTTCCCTGTAACCTCACTTCTCTCAATGATGGAACCGCCAGAAGGCCCTCGGCGCTGGATCTCCGTGTCCGGGCTGAACGATGCCAGAAACTGAACCTGGGACCTTCTGCTTGCATAGCAGATGCTCTGCCGCTGAGCTACAACCCAGCTCAAGTTCAGGACAATGTGATCTGCACTGCTGGCTCCACTCGGTCGCCCTGGCCACTGCATTCCGAACCCATTGCAGTTTCCAAATTACCACCAAGGGCACCTCCACACCGAGCATATTGCAGCAATCTAACCTCGGAACTGTCATTTGAGAGCAGCTGAAACTTTTCTCCCTGCTGAAACTCCCTCTTCTGCACAACTGGGGCTGCAGCTTTGGCATACAACGTGCCACGCAGGCTCTCCGGGGCCATTTGAGGTCTGCCCTAACCCTCACTTGCCTTGGCAGCTGCTGCCCGCAGGAAGGCATTCAGCTGTCCTCGTGCTCCATCCACAAACTGGCTTCTAGGAATTCTTGGCTATCCGACACTTGGAGGAGGCCTCCTCCTCCTTCCCTGGTGGTCAGAGAGCCATCCCAGCAGCTGCTTAAAGAAGCCACAAACCCAGTAAAGTAAATATCTCCCTCTCCCCTTCCCCCATTGCTCCAACTGTGGCAGCTTTCATATCACACAGGAATCTTCAGTGCCCTTTTAAAAAGAAAAGAAAAATCAGACAAACGGATAGAGAAGAGTCTTTTGACACTGGGTTTTTTCCAGTGCTTGTCAGCCTCACTGAAATTAATAGACATGGCTAACTTGGGTCTCGTAATTTCAGTGGGTATACTCTTAGTGGGCATTAATGCAATGATTGATTGATTGATTGATTGATTGAATGATTGATTGATTGATTGATTGATTGGATAGGTTTCCCATGAGGCTTCCTGGAAGCAATTTACAGTACAGAAGAAACACACACAAAATAATTGTGTTTGTTTTAAAAATGATAATGAAATATTTACATATATATAAGCAATGGGTTGCATTAAACTGAGTTCTGCACAGAGTAGACCCTTTGAAATGAATGTACCTAAGTTAGTCGTGCCTATTGACTTCCATGGGTCTGTTCTGATTTGTGTAGGGTTTACTCCTTAGCCTTTTCTTCTCCCGAAGATGTTCCTGCAAGGCAGCCGGTGTGAATTTTACCTTGTGATTTACACCCAAAGCCTTTCTCACGAATGAGTATAGCTGCAACAGTGGAACATTTATAAAATCAGTTCAGGCCGCATCTGCACTGTACATTTAAAGCGGTATCATACCACTTTAAACAGTCATGGATTCTTCTCCCCCCCCCCCCAAAAAAAAGAATCCTGGAAACTGTAGTTTGTAAAGGGTGCTGAGAGTTGTTTGAAGGGGCCTATTCCCCTCTAAAGTTCCCAGCATGATTTAACAAGCAGCCCCTCTTCCTAGGGAACTCATTCTGATGAGAGGGAGATGAGATGAGATGATGTTGGCTATTTAATGAACATTCTTTCTTGATTTGTCAATAGTGAGAAATTAGATGATGTTGCGTCAAAGCAAGTGTTACCTGCGCTTTCCGGTATATTCCCACGTCACTTCCCTTATTGCAAAAAGCCCAATCTCCCGGGGAAAGCGAGTTTGTTGCGCAAAACCTCCCAGGCATCTAAAATTTCAGAAGTAGGGTTTGCCCAATATAGGACTGAGGGCTTATCCACACCTCCATCTGCCTCACCTCTTTCCCCCACCCTGGGAAAACCCACAGTTTGGGCCGAATCAGAACAAAACAACAATCTGATTTTCTGCAGATTGCCACTGTTAGTTCTCATGGAGCGCTAAGGAGTGGGTTTTCCAGGGAGCAAAGGCAAAACCACTCAGAGCCATGTCCAGAAAGGAGGGGGAGAACAAAATACACTGGGATCTGCGCTCTCTAGGGCCCAGGACAAGAGGAATTGTGGAAGAGCTCAGAATCCCATCTGGAAACAGCAACAACCTGGAAACCTCCTGTTGGAAGTTTGGGTGCAACTCAGCTTGCGGAAGAGGGGTTTGCATAGGGTTAAAGCAGGTCCCCAGACTCTCTCTGTACCTTTAACCTAGTGCCTTACTTCTCCATCACCTTGTTGATTGGACTGATAAGTCTTAGGCTGCATCCTGCTTGCCATTTCCTCCTCCTCCTCCTCACTCTTCTCTCTCAGACCTCAAGGTGAGAGGTCATCTGTAGCTAACCTCTGAGAAAGGAAAGGAGCAAGCATGGCTGCCATGCACTCCTCTAGACTAGTTGATCAGACTAGAGAGAGAAACGGTTCTATTCACGTTAGACACAGTGGCATCGTGCCAGTTGCTGGAGCCAAGGGCGGGTCGGTGCCAGGCAGGGGTGCCAGCCCAGCCCCTGCCGCTGGAGCAACACCACCCCTGCTGGAGCAAAGTAGGGCCAAGCTGAACTGCCTGCCTGCTCAGGCAGGGGGGAGCCTGGCCAGCTAATACAGCCCTTGGCAAGTGGAGACGAGCCCCAGCCCACTGGGGGTGCCTGGTTTGCACCTCCTGCCACCCCAGTTAGGCATTTCCTATAGTAAACAGCTTTCTTATTTTCTTCCCTACAAGTGTCTTCTCTATGTCTGTGATTGCGAGAGGTAAAGTCAACTCTCTAACCAACGTGCCCTAGCTGAACGCTGCTCACTCTTGCATATGAAAAAAGCTTCCGTAGGTGATTGGACCCTGTTATTTCAACGCCGCCGCCTCTGTCTGTCTTCCTGCGCAGTCTCCTGATATCTGAATGCTGGGTTGGCACTGTGTACTTCTGGACTCTCATCTCTGTGTGGGTGTGCAGCCTGCCTGCGTTCCAACTGTGTTCATGATTGCAAAAACACGCTGAGCGTAGAGCAATTTGGGTACAGTTATAGAACCGTAATTACGTTTTCTGCTGTCGCCTGGGTCTGTGTGCGGTGTAACAATGCGCCGTTCCTATCACCTCTGTCCCGGGCACGCATGGGAGCATTTGCCCATCCTCGTGCGTCAGCAATTCCAATTCCTTACTATTCCCGTGTGCTTTTATCTCTGCATTTGCAGATTGCGTTCCCTGGAGTGACAGTGTCATGCTGATGAAAGGCTTACAAATCTTGTAGATAAATAATGCTGCAATATATGTATGTATGTATGTCTCTCTGGGTTTATTTTTAACGCTACCAAAAATAGCCCTACCTCATCCAAGCTAAAGTTAGTTCCCTTGCAGCGTCTGCACAAAGAGATCTGGTTGGAGGGTGGAAAAAGGTTGGAAACAGTGCAAAAAGGAACAAGCGGTGCTTGATTTATTAAAGAGGAAAGGAAAGCTGTTCATTCTTTTCTTTTCTTCACGGTTGGAGGCAGCAGCACTTCTGAATACCAGTTGCTGGAAACCTCAGGAGAGGAGAGTCCTTTTGTGCTCAGATCCTGCTTGCAGGTTTCGCACAAGCATCTGGTCGGCCACTGTGAGAACAGGATGCTAGACTGGGCAGGCCACTGGCCTCATCCAGCAGACTCTTCTTATGGCCGTATGCGTTGGTTTTATGGCTGCATAGATACATGGCAATTAACAACCTCAAGTGCAACTTTCCAAAACTTCATCCTAACTCTTGAAAGCATCTGACGTAAACAATGGAAAGTTACCACGGGACAATCTGACCATTGGCCAGGGGATTTATAGATTTCTCTCAGGCGCTTGGTCAGTCCCGTCTGGAAATTTTAAGAGTTCACCAGACAATGGGTCTGTTGCGATGGCTGTGAGGAATATGTGGTTTTGCAGGAGAGTCTGGGATCCTGGGCAACTTAGTTGCTGCGACTGCACAGAGCTTTCCCTTTTATTTCTGTGCCTCAGTTTCTCTCTGTGTGTAAAGAAGGATGCTTGTCAGGCAGTGGATACTCCGTTAAGGGTGCTTCAAGCAGAGGAAATACTTGTCATTGAAATCCAAGCCAGTGCTGGATTTGGCATCAGACCTCAAGCCCCTTGCAGAGTGCTGACACCAGCAAATTATCTGGAGGTCAGCCAGTGTTACACAAAGTAGGTAAAATGCCACCCAATGGCCATACATAGCTTGCCTTGGGATACCCTGCGTTCCTTCTTGTCCTTTTGTACTTCAGTGGCTATCACTCCTTTCCTTTTAATTTCGATGTTGATGTTTTTTTGAAAAATTTCAATGATAAAAGACAGAAAAATGAGGTGCGTTGGTTGCTGTGCATTCAAATAGGTCTGAGAGGCTGGTGGGGATTGGCATGCCGGCTGCCAGTGTCACAAAGGTGCTCGTAGCTCCCTCTAGCTTGAAGGGCTCTTTCCTTCCAATTTCCCCACATACAACCTTTTACTTTCTTCCCCTTAGTTTTCTGCTCCCCCTTTTCCCACCCACACCAGTAAAATGGTTTGGGGGTAGTGGGTGGGGAACACAGGTTTGGACAAACTAGCCACCGAAGAGTCTCAAAGCAGCCGCCTCTGCGCTCTTGTCTGCAGTATTCACACTGTGGTGTGGACAGTTAATCTGTGGCGGACTTGGTGAATGAACGCCTTTGGGTGCAAGATGGGTTGGACTGGGTGGTCTCTTGAGTCCTCCTTTGCAATGCCACTGTTCTGCCCTTCAAAGACTAGACACCTTGGCAAGATTGGAGTTCGGCTACCAACAGAATGCACAACCAGATTGCACCAAGAGAGCTCACTTCTTTCTCTGCCCCGCTACTGGGATGTGGGTAGTTTCATGTGCTGGCTGGGAAAGAGGGGGCCACTGAGAGAAGCTACGCCACCTGCGGGCATTACTTTGGGGAAGAGGCACTGTGTGGTTTCAGTTGGCTTACTTTGGCAGGAACTCTGTGCAGGGCAACCAACTTTCCTTCTGAGCTTCACCATTGCCTCACCTTGTGGACTCAGAGAAGTCACTTCGCCTCGCTGTGGGACGTGTGAAAAAAGTGGGTTTAAATGTGGGGCTCTTCCGACATCCTTCCCCTGCCAGCTGTCAACTTTTCCCTTTTCTTGCGAGGAATTCTATTTGGAATAAGGGAATTTCCCTTAAAAAATGGAAAACCTTGACAGCTATGGCCCTGACTCCAATAAAAAGACAGACAGAGAGATCACGGATAGCACTGAGTACAGTATTTCTGTCTGGCTGAGATGAGAGTCATAGTTCCACCCGGAAGAAAAGTTCATCGGCTTCTACACGCCCCCGGTGCCTGCTCTGAGTATGTGTGTGCCTTAAATTGCTGGGCCTGCGGAGCCGGGTTGCTACGACGCTCGAGCGCCCAGCAGGACCAGGCAGAGCCACCCGTCACACTTCCCCTTGGCTTCCCCACCCGGCGCAGAAAGTTGCCTGCAGCCTTGGCCGTCGCTACCTCCCTGGAGGGAGCCCTCTTCTGTGCAGCCTTGCCTGGGCGTCTGTTCCACCTCCCCTGCTTGATGTCAGAGTGATTCAGGTGCCGTCAGCAGCAGCGGGGAAGGCGAAAGCAGCAGCAGCGGCTTTGCCTGGAGTGACAGCTTTGAGGCGGACCCTGGATTTTAAAGACGCGAGCCGGAGCCGCAGTGTGGAGGGTCGCCCGCGCTCTGCCACACTTCCATGTCCAGCCAGAAGAACCTGCCAAACTTTTCCTCCCTGCTGGAGAAGAAGCACTTGTGGTTCCGCTTGGGGCAGAAGGCACGCCAAACTCAGCAGCTCCGCTCCCTCTTTGATTCCACCGGGTCCATCTCTGCTTTGGAGGAACGCTGCCTTGCTGTCTGAGCAGGCGGAGCAAGGGGTTGAGAGGAGCAGACCCGTCTGAGTCTCACCTTTCTCCACACCTGGATCTCCTACCGAAGGAAGCCTGTGGGGGGAGAGAGGCGAGGGGTGCCTCCTCGCAGCATGCGGAATTCCTACACGGTCACCCTCCCCGAAGAGCCCCCCGTCTCGCCTTTCTCTGGCATGCCAAAGGAGCTGCGGACCAAGACACCCATGCCAGGATCGCTGCTGGTCTCTGCCTTTGTGGGTCTGGTGCTCAATAAAACCAAGGTACAGCTCGGCTTCACCACACACACACACACACACACACACACACATCATCCTCATGGCATTTTCTAAGCTGGGTTTGGCTAGGGGTTTCCCCTGCCTTGCCGGGTGGTCCGGCCACAAATTGCAGGGTGGGTAGGTGGGCCTTGCACCGCATGTGTTAGGTGGGCATGAGTTTAGCAATCTTAGCAGTCTGCTCTGTTGCTGCCTAGCAGGAGCCCTGGGTCCTTGTCTCTGCTCTGATCCTGATATCACTGTGTGGACTTGATGTGGAGGCTGAACCCTGCTTTCAGCCTGGGAGGGGGTTAAAGTGTGGGTGCTGCCCACCCCATAGCAAAGCCAGAAATCGCCTCGTTCCTGTTCTTATCGCACCTTTAAAGATGGGTGGGTGGGAGAAGCTAAAAGTAGGGAGGTAGTTAACTATCTGCTAGAGCAGAAGACGGTTGTGTGGGTGCAGACGCCCGCTGTCAAAAAGCAAGAGTTCTGCAAGAACTAGAGGCGACAAGGAGACCCTCCCTGCTTTCCTACAGAAGATGGAGTTTGCAAGAGCAGCCTGCGATACTAAGCAATAAGCTGTTAACTCCTGGTACTTAGGTCCCAAGAGTTTTCTGCTGCGAGACCAACCTTTTGGGTGTTGCTCACCGGGTCTCCATTTCTAAGAAGGGGCACAGTTGGGGAGGAGACTGGAAATCGCTGTGTTCTGGTTTTTTGCCCCCCATCTCACCCCCGGGCAGAGAGCCCCAGTAAATTAAAGGGCATGCTCTCAAGATAACTAAGCAGTTAACCTTTCACCTTTTGACCTTTCCTCCCATGCTCAAACCCTTTCAGTGCTTATTTATGGTTGAAAGTGTGTGCGAGAGAAAAGGAGCGAATCTGCATTCTGAAAGCTGAGAGAGTGTTGGTAGTTATTCAGAGTGCATAAAAGCAGAGCATGCAGGAAGGATCTCAGGGGATGTTTGGGGGGGAGGGACGGACAGGCGCCAGGACACCTGGGTCTTCCCCCCCTCTCCACGTGGCTGTTCGGGGTGTCCTTTCCTCCCTCCGCGAAGCCGGGACCGTTTTGACCTCGTTGGGCCAGTGCCCTTCGGGGAGCGCTTTTGTTCCATGCCATTACGTAACAGACTCCCTTCCGCCGCGGCACCTGTGGCTCAGGGCAGGTCAGCCCCTTTGTTCGGTCGATGAATGGAGCTGGGCATGTTATGTAAGAGTTGTCCGTGCCTCTCTCCCCACAGGCAGCTTGAAACCTCCTTGGCTCTGCTTGCTGAGCTCCAGCAGCTGAGGCCAGCTAGGGAGCTGTGATCCAAGCTGGCCGGGGAAGGGAAAGGAGAGTTCAGTTGTCAGGACAGGGGAGGGAGAGAGAGGCTGAGCCATTTGTAACCAGGTGGCTGCTCCTGGCGGCATGTTTGGAGAGAGAGATTTTCTCTCCTCGCTGCTGCCATAGTGGGTTTCGTTTTGCTAGGGAATGTCTATTATTATTATTATTATTATTACTATTATTATTATTATTATTCAGTGTTTGGTTTTTAAACCACGAGTTGCAGAGCTGCCCCATAGTCATAGAATCATAGAACAGTAGAATCAGAAGGGGGACACAAGCCGTCATCTTGTCCAGCCCCTGGCAATGAAACTCAAGCTGGTTTTACATTATGCCCTGCATCCTAAAGGTAAAGGGGTAAAGGGACCCCTGACCATTAGGTCCAGTTGTGACCAACTCTGGGGTTGTGGCGCTCATTCCGATTTATTGGCCGAGGGAGCCGGCGTACAGCTTCCGGGTCATGTGGCCAGCATGCCTAAGGCGAACCAGAGCACACGGAAACACTGTTTACCTTCCCACCGGAGCAGTACCTATTTATCTACTTGCACTTTGACGTGCTTTTGAACTGCTAGGTTGGCAGGAGCAGGGACCGAGCAATGGGAGCTCACCCCGTCGTAGGGATTCGAACCGCCAACCTTCTGATCGACAAGTCCTAGGCTCTGTGGTTTAACCCACAGCGCCACCCGCGTCCCTTGCCCTGAATCCTACAGTTGGATAAATCTTGATTATGGCGTCCGCAGACTGCGTCAAAACCATTCCCAATACAAGGAACTGCCTACATACTTGGGCAGGGAGTTGGGGCATCACGAGTCCTTTCCTAGCCCAGTGGTGCTGCAGGAAGGGTGGCTGCAGGGTTTAATTTGTCCAAGCTTTGTTCGCTTCCAAACCGTTTTCAATGCCCCGGCACATCCTGGGACCTTTGAAACGAGAGTTCCGCTTGATGAACATGTACAGAGCGCCTTTCCCAGAAGAACTGCCATGTAGACACCGCTGACCTAGATGGACCCAGTGGCCTAACTCTGTAAAAGCATATTCTGCCTGTGCTCCTATGGAGACCTGGGTTTCTGGGTCAGAATGGGAGGCATCCGGATAGGTCCCAGATAATGCACACCTGTTCCTTCTGTGCCTGTGTCAGACTGGGAGCGCTGCTTGTGAGGAATTTCCTGGAACAAGGTTCTGGTGCTCAAGGGCAAGCAGTGGCTTTCCCCATCTCTCTCTCTTTCTCTCTTTCCCTCTCTCTCCTCCTTCCTCTGGATTCGCGTGGGCTGGCTGTTCATCTGGGGCCGGCCTCTTCCTCTCCATAGCGGAGGAATGCCGGCTGGCTGGTCCCGCATGCTTTGGCGATGCGCCATTCCCCAGCACACTCTCGGTTCCTTGTTCTCTCCTCCGAGATTTTTCTGTCTACTCCCTTGGGCTGGGAAATGTTTCGGGAAGGATGTACGTAGATTAAGCTGGGCTGGGCCACCCCCAGAGACCTCAGAGCATCAGGTCACCTCCGTCACAGCCTCTCCAAACCTCCTTGCCCTTTGACACACATCGTAGGCACCTCTCGTGTCTTGTCGCTGCTCAGAAGAGAACACGGTTCTTCTGGACCTTCTGTGATGGCCAGATCCAGGTAAATTTGTTAAGGTTGCCACCAAACACACTTCCAAGGAAATGCCTTTAGGGTGCAAATCCTAAGGTGATGCTATCAGGATCCTTAACTCAGTGCTTGCTTTCAGTGTCATAATTGAGTGGCGCTTAGTGGCTTGGTTGCCATTCAAGATCTATACGTGGTCATTGAAAAACTGTGCTTATGGTGCCAGGATGCATCCCATTGTATCAGCACAAAAAAATGCAAGGTTTTGATGCAAGGATGGGTGAGCAGGAACCTCTCAGTTCTCAAAACTAGTATTCTTTCTCTGGCCACCTGTCAGCTAGCATATGCCTCCAGGTTTAGTTATTCAACCAAGGCAGAGGTGGCTAACCATTATTCAGCTTCTGCCAACCCTCTGGCTACATGCTTGCAGTGGGTCTCACCAGTGATATAGTGATCCAAGGTAGCAGGGTGGGTGGGCTGGTGTCAAAGACCCATTACTCTTTCTGCAGCAAGGTCCCTGTCTCCAGCGACCTAAAACCACCCAGTCAGCAAGAAAGGGAAGGTTTTTTTAGCCACTATCTGCTCCAAAGCTAAACATTTAGGAGCACTGAAAACTCAAGGTGCTTCAGCTTCAAGGGAATGGTGCACAAGTTCTGTTGTGTACAATGAAATGTCAGGGAAATGTGCATATTAAGCCACTCCAGAATAAGATACTGGAGCATTCCAAATCATTTGCCAATGTACGTGCACAGAAAATAGATCTAGCTCAAGTGGAACACATGGAGATCTTCACTGAGCGATGCAATGCATCCCTAATTATTATTGTTGCATAATTATAAGATTACTGTATAAACGTGGAAAGCTGCACAATCTTATAAAGGGTGTGGCTGGATCACGAAGGGACACTACACTTTTGCGTGTGGCTGTTCAACACATGCCACAACCTCAGGTGATCCAGGCAGACCAGATCAGGAGGGACGGTTACTGCCTGCTCTCAGTTCTTCAGATGTTTTATCTCAAGAGATATTTTGGACTACAGATCCCATCATGCCTGACCACAGGCCATGCTGCCTGTGGCTGATGGGAACTGGAGTCCAGCAACATTCCGGAGGACAACATCGCTCTCACATTGATCTGACAAGTAGAGAGGAGGGAGATGTTCTCCTCCACCAGGGTGCTAGACTAGATGGAGGGGTTAAATTTGAGGCTGTTCTGTTCCTAGCATCACTTCTAGTCTTCGCCTGTCTCACAGGTAAGCATCACAGCTGAAGAAGGATAGTGGGGTGGCTACTTTTCCACCACAGAAACCCAAAATCCTCTGCATCAAAGCAAATGTAGTGACTGTAATTACTATCTTAATTTCTCTTTATTCCACCTTGTCCTCAAAGTGGAAAGGCTGGGTTATTGGGTATGTGTGAGTGTGGTTTTTTCCTTACAACAACCGTGGGTTCCCAGATGTTGTTGAACTACAACTCCCATCACCCTTACCTAGCAAGGCCAGAGCTCAGGGATGATGGGAGTTGTAGTCCAACAACATCTGGGGACCCACAGGTTGAGAACTGCTGAGTTAGGCTAAGAGAAATACATACTGGCCTTTGATCACCCAGAATGTTTCAAGGGGAGGAGTTTGAACCTAGGTTTCTCCCAGCTGAGTCAAACGCTCCAACTACAGCACCCAAACTGGCTGTGTCAGTGATTTTTAATAGCATGGTTAATAATAAAAATGTTGTTGATAATAATAATAAGAGCGTAGGTGGGTGGGATTCAGCTAATATTTGTGAAATTAGGTAATCATGGTAGGGATGTAGGCATCTGTCTATTTCAATTTCTCTTTTTTAAAAAAAATAATCCCAATTTTAAGCTCAGTTTTCCATGCTTTTTCATCAGTTTTTGATTTTTTAAGTCCTCGTGAAAATTCAGCAGCAATATAGTGCACATTACTCCTACGTATTTTTTTTACAATTTTATGTATTACTATTATTATTATTATTATTATTATTATTATTATTATTATTACATCTATATCCCACGTTTTCTCCAAGGAGCTCAAGGTGGTGTACGTGATTCTCCCCCTCCCCATTTTGTTCTCACAACAACCCTGTGAGGTAGGTAGGCTAAGAGACTGTCACTGCCCAAGGCCACCCAATGAGCTTTACAGCTAAGTGGGAATTTGAACCCAACACCTTAACCACTGCTCCACAACACATCAGCTCCCATCCCATTCTATGTAAATATATTTTGCGTAATAACACATTTTAGCAATGTATACTTTTCCTAATATAATGAAACCTTGGTTCTCGAACGCCTTAGTACTCGAACATTTCAGCTTCCAAACGCCGAAAACCCAGAAGTAAGTGTTCCAGTTTTTGAACATTTTTCGGAAGCCCAACATCCGATGCGGCTGTCAGCTATTGTTTCCAGGACTCCTGCGCGAATTGGAAGCTGTGCCTTGGTTTTCAAACGTTTTGGAAGTCAAACAGACTTCCAGAATGGATTACGTTTGAGAACCAATATACCACTGTATTTGTATTTTCCCTGAGATAATGAGTTTTTCCCTGTTATTTTCACCAGTGTATGCATTTTTTTTAATGCACTGTTTATCTTAGCTCATGCATTTTTGTACACATTACTTGCCCAGAGGACTGCACTGCGAAATTGAGAGAAGTGCAGATTTCAAAAGGATGGATGTGTGTTTCGGTTCTCATGCACGAATTGGGCTGAATCGCCTTTCAATGCAAACCGAATTGAATTTTCCCACCATCCTTAATCAGGGCTTGTTATTTCATTAAGGAACCCCTAACCCCTTCCTTCTCTCTCCCCTCCTCTGCCATTCTGTCTACCCTCAGAGACGGAGAATAGGGGTCCACTTGTCCCCATCCCTGTCCCCATCCCACCCCCCGATGTGACATGAGGCTGTGCTGCCAGAGCAGAAACGTGTGCTGTTTGAGCCGGTCTATTTTGGGCTGTTGTCAGGAACAGGAGAGGAGGCTGCTTTCCCTCCTACAAACACATGCCAAGCGCTGCTATTTTGGAGCTGGCAAAGCAGCAGGGACCTCCTCCTCCCCACTCCTCCTCCTCCTCTTCAGTTTCTGGGGTGCCAGAAATGTAAGGAGGTAAGAAGAAGGGTTGACGCTTTAACCCGCTGAACCCCAAACCCAGTCTAGCCTGGGGGGTGGGGTGGGGAACTGGGGCATCCCTCCATTCAGCCTGCAGCCCTAAACCATTTTATGAATTTATATACAGTCATATCTCTTGTTACGTTCGGTTCAGGTCATGTCTTTTCAGATGGCGACCCAGAAGTACCGGAAAGGGTCACTTCTGGGTTTCGCCGCATGCGCAGATGCGCAAGATGACGTCATGCACATGCGAAGAAGCGGTGAGTCGCGACCCGCGCATGCGCAGACGCGGGTTGCGTTCCTCTCAGGTTACAAACGGGGCTCCGGAACGGATCCCGTTCGCAACCAGAGGTACCACTGTAGTGCATTATAACACACACACACACACACACACACACACACACACCCCAACCCTTTGCCCCAAAACGGCTCCCAGAACAGCTTGCAATACAATCAGTTGAAGCAAGGCAGTCTCTGCCCCCTCTCACGCTTATGTTGTAAAAGACAAGGGACAAAAGGAAAGTAGGAAGCGGAGGGCAGAGGGGAAAAGGCAAGATCAGGCACCAGCTCTTTAAGCTCTTTCAAGTCCAACGCTCTCTGTCTGCAGCAGAGATGCCCCGCAGGGGCACCGATCTGATCGGGGAGGTTTGCGGTAGAACCAGAAGGAAGAAGCCCTCATCGCCCTGCTTCCTTTGCCTTAATTTCTGTTACCCATGGAGACTCTATTCTGCCATCACGGTCAATAGCAATTAATAGGCGACAGCCTCCAAGACTTTGTCCAATCCAAGACAACCAAAACTGACACAGACATTGCTGGGCAGTTTCAAACAGCTCCCTCTGGTGAGGATTCTAGTCAGCTATATGAGAATAGACCTAGATATACAATTCTGGGTCCTTCTGGCCTCACCCCACTCTCCTCTATGCCTGATCTGGTATGGGGAGAGGGGTTTTCTGGAGCAGAGTTGCTTTTCAAGACAGGCATAATCTACAGTCATACCTCATGTTACGGACATTTCAGGTTACGTGTTTTCAGGTTGCAGGCCGCGGGAAACCCAGAAGAATGGGTTACTTCTGGGTTTCGCCACTCACACATGCACAGAAGCACAAAATCGTGCCGGTGCCTGTGCAGACGCGGTGCTTCAGGATGCGAACGCTGCGGGTTGTAGACATGCCTCCATCACGGATTACGTCCGCAACTCGAGGTTCCACTGTACGCCAATAGAACTATAGTAAAGGTAAAGGGACCCCTGACCATTAGGTCCAGTCATGACCTACTCGGGGGTTGCGGTGCTCATCTTGCTTTATTGGCCGAAGAAGCCGGCGAACAGCTTCCGGGTCATGTGGCCAGCTTGACTTAGCCGCTTCTGGCAAACCAGAGCAGAGCACAGAAACGCCGTTTACCTTCCCGCCGGAGCGGTACCTATTTATCTACTTGCACTTTGACTTGCTTTCGAACTGCTAGGTTGGCAGGAGCAGGGACCGAGCAACGGGAGCTCACCCCATCGCGGGGATTTGAACCGCCGACCTTCTGATCGGCAAGTCCTAGGCTCTGTGGTTTAACCCACAGCGCCACCCGCGTCCCAGTAGAACTATATAGCTGCATTATTAGACCTGTAACTTTAAGAACTGTCGCCCGACCTTGATCTTCCCCTCCTCCCTCCCCATCCCTCTTTCCTCATGTGTTGTGCCCACTCTGAGAGCCTTCTTGGCTAGAGAGCAGGCTATAAATGCTTCAGATGCTATGTCCTGATCCTTGAGATTGAACCCGGGACCTTCTGCACCCACAGCACATGCTCTACCAGGAGCGCGGAATGAAGGCTGTCATCAAGCGCAATGCTTCCAAGCCACCTTTTCTCCCTGTGTCTCGCTTCCTTACAGGCAGGTCTCTGAAGCCACACAGCAAGCAGAGAGCTCTTAGTGGCTGTCTGCAGTTTCAGTAGGCAGCCTTTATCCAGAACAATGAAGTTCTGCTTTTCCCAAGTTGGGAGCCTTATACTGAGTCTGACCACTGTTCTGTTTAGCTCAATATTGCCTGCACTGATGGACAGTGGCTCTCCTAGAGTTTCAGCTGGGGGGTGGCATGTATTCCCTGCCCACCTGGAGATTGAAGAGCAGATACTCCTTGCATTACGTATGTCAGAGGTGCAAAATGCAGAGATGAAGTTTGTCCTCCCTGCTTTTCCATTCTCTTTCCCCACCCCCTGAGCAATGCCCACATGACCTCTGTCCCTCTGCTGGGTGCCAGCTGGATCCCTTCCAGGCCCTCTGGGCAGGATTCTGTGTTCCAGGCCCAACAGACTGCCAAGGTGCTGCTGCTGCTGCTGCTGCTGCTGGGGACTTGCCAAGCTTGGTTACTCCCCTGGCTGCTACATTGCCATGTGTGGGGCACCACATGTACAGGAAATGGGACTTTGGCTTCCCAGGATTTTGCCCTCCTGAACACAAGGTCAACTGAGTGCTTTGCAGACACCTCCATGGGAGGGAAAGGAGTTGATGCAACACTTTGGGTGGCTCTCTCTGCTGTATGTTCCTCTCTTGTTTTTCTTCTGCCAAAGGCCTCCCTTTGCCTTCCCTGTCTTAATGTTTGCTTAAAGCGGTTTTTGCAAATCGGTTCTCCAGCCAACAAATGTGTACAAAAACCCACCTGTTAAGGTAAAATGCGCACGAGGATGCATATATTCATAAAAAATGCTTTATATTAGGGGAAATTGCTTTGAAAAAATATGTATACAGTACATGTATTAGACAAAGTTTCATGCCGAAATGTGTGTGTGTGTGTGTGTGTGTGTGTGTGTGTGTGTATTCGAGTAAATTGGTGACAGAGTTTTATTCATTCGTTCGTTCGTTCCCTTTTTCTCTCCTTGGCCTTTCCCCCTTGTGTGCTATTGTTGTTTTTTAAGATTGTACATAAGCCATTCTGGGAGCCTTTTTTTGGCTGAATAGCGGGATGCAAATGCTCAGAAAAAAATGTAATTAACAAATCTGCACTAAAACGCCTCATGGGTTTTTATGAGGATTTTTTGCAAACTACTGTGGAGAACTGAATTTAAGACAAGAGAAGTGAGAAACTGCGACTGACAGATTCTCTCATCCGTACTTCTTACAAACGACATTATGATCATACATGCACCATCAGAGAGTCCTGAATTTATTTGTTTGTTTGCCTGCTTATTTAATATTTAATTTGTCTGCCGCACCTTTCTCCCAAGTAGGAGAGCCAGTGTAGTATAATGGTTAGAGTGTCAGACTAGGACTTGGGAGACCAGGACTCCAATCCCACACTCAGCCATGAAGCTCACTGGGTGACTTTGGGCCAGTCACTGTCTCTCAGCCTGACCTACCTCACAGGGTTGCTGTGAGGATAAAATGTGGGTGTGGGAGAGAAACATATTATGCCACTTTAAGATCCTTGGAGAAAAGTTGGGGTACATACGCAGTAATAAGCAGTGCTTTTTTCTGGGGGTACGTAGGGGTACACATACCCCTAAACATTTTGTGAATCTTTGTACTTTTGTCCATTTACTGTATTTATTTTTCCCGATTTGAACTATAAAATGGTGATTTTATCTAGTCAAAATGAGAGTACCCCTAAACTTTTTTTTTAGAAAAAAAGCACTGGTAATAAATAAATACAGTAAGTTTGCATTCATTCATTCAGCCTTTTAGATTCATTTAATAGGTATGGGGAAACTCAGGGCCATGCTGGAAGTCCAAGGGCCCTCAGTTCTAGATGAGACAGAGTCTGATTGCCTTAACTTACTTTTGGAAAGTGAAAGCTCTTTGCACATGCACAGAAGCACCTTCTCTGTCTCTTCCCCACTCCCTTCGCCATGACTTCCACATTCTAGGACTGAGCCTGAACGCTTGAGATCTCTTGGCGGAGCCCAAGATATTAATACCCACATCTACTACAGAGCCTTTGATTCTGTGATAGCAGAAATTTCCCACAGGCTTTGTCAGCTGCTGCTAGAGTTGGCACTCATTCGTTTCTGGCGCTGAGAGTAGGGGAAAGCAGGGCACTGGCTTTGCTTTGTAGGCTCTGTTTCTTGACCCCCACCACCTCCACTATCCCCCCAGTAGGGAACCTTCCCCTTAAGCCTTGATCCTGCTCAGCAAGTATTGACAAGGGATGTGTCAGGGGTTTGAGGTTCCCTGCAAGCTGTGGGTTTAATGGCCTGAAATCTTTATGCCCGTTATCCCAACTCTTTGGGAGGATGAACCCCCTTTCTCTTTTGCCTTTGTTTGTATCCCACCACCACCCTTGGATTTGGCTGTGTTTGCATATCCACCCGACCCGGAGTTACCGCATTCTCACAACCAATGCATGTTCTTCTCTCTTGACAGAATTCCAAAACTGTGCAGGGGCTGACCGGCCTCCGGAACCTCGGCAACACTGTGAGTCCACTCCTCTTTCCATCCCTTTCCCCCCTCCACTTGGGTATATCTGCACTGGGGCGGGAGAACTGAGCCCACATTCACACTGTGAATGGTACCAGTTTAAACAGTCCCATGGCGTTCCCCCCAAAGAATTATGGGAGATGTAGTTTATTAAGGGCCCTGAGATTCCCATCACAGGGGAGCTACAATTCCCTGAGTTCTCTGGGAAGAGGAACTGATTGTTAAACCACACTAGTAATTGTAGCTCTGTCGAGGAGAGGACGGGAAAGGGAGGTCTCCTAACAATTCACAACACCCGTAACAAACTGCGGCTCCCAATAATTATTTGGGAAAAGCCATGGACCTGTTTAAAGTGGTATGATTCTGCTCTAAGGGTATGGTATGATTGCAGTCTGAGATCTGCTGACAGGCCTCTGCGTGATTTGAGTAGACCAGAAAGGGGCTTCTGACGCCTGGTGTCTAAGAACAGCAAGATCCTGAAAGCTTAAACGGCAAATTGCTGGGGGGGGGAGGGGGGCGACAGACACTTGGGATGGGGTGAACCTGAAGTGGATTTTCACATGAAAGGATTTGTGAGTTTTGATAGTGGTGCCGATCACACACTCCTGGGCTGAGTCTGCGGCACACCCTGTTCCTTAATTCTTAGTTTATGTATACCCAGTTAGGTCACTCGATATATATGGATTGTTTGCATTGCACTTGCAGTGATAGATCCAGACAACCCCTTCAGTTAGCCCACACTTTCTTACCCCTACCTGGGAAAACTGCTATTTAATGCTCAGTTGGAGCAGATGACAATCTGGGTCTTCCCCAGATTGCCATTTGTTCTGATCTATCACTAAAGAGTGGGACATGGGTGGCGCAGTGGGTTAAAGCACAGAGCTTAGGACTTGCCGATCAGAAGGTCGGCGGTTCGAATCCCCACGATGGGGTGAGCTCCTGTTGCTCGGTCCCTGCTCCTGCCAACCTAGCAGTTTGAAAGCACGTCAAAGTGCAAGTAGATAAATAGATACCGCTCCGGTGGGAAGGTAAACGGCATTTCTGTGTGCTGCTCTGGTTCTGTGTGCTGCTCTGGTTCGCCAGAAGCGGCTTAGTCTTGCTGGCCACATGACCCAGAACCTGTACGCCGGCTCCCTCGGCCAATAAAGCGAGATGAGCACCGCAACCTCAGAGTCGGTCACCCTAATGGCCAGGAGTCCCTTTACCTTTTATCACTAAAGAGCGGGTTTATGCTGGAAAAGGAGCAGGGCAAAGGGAAAACTTTGTTTTTCCTCCTCCTCCTCTACCACCACCTCATCTTCCTCCTCACTTTATTTCAGCTATTGCCCCATAATGCAGATGGCAGGACTGAGGCAGAGCTAGAGTGGCTTGTTGAAGCCCACCTCGTAGTGAGATCACGGCGGAAGCAAGATTCAAAGGGAGAGCTCTCCGATTCATATAGCTGAGCCTCTGAATCGCAAGTCCGAACCAAAGCTCTCTGAAATGAACAATTTAAAAAGCAGCACAAGGTTAAACCTAGTCTCTGGGCAGGTCAAGCACAGAGATCACCCTGGTCTCATTGCCGGGCACTGCTGCTGCCTCCTTGCCAAATTCACACTGCTTGGCTCACCTTGCAGAGAGACCGTGGCATGACCGCACCACCATGCAGCTACCTCTCAGATCCTCGCACATCAGGCTCCTGGAGCCCCAGGGGGATAGCATGCATGCGCTAGTTTGTATGGCATAATTACAGCCATTGTGATTTGCATGCCTCTTCCTTGTGTATAGAATCATAGAATTGTAGAGCTGGAAAGGGACTGTGAGAATCATCTAAGCCAACCCGCTGCAATGCAGGAATATGGAGCTGTCCCCACATGGGGATATAACCTGCAGCAACCTTGGTATTATCAGTGCCACCCTCTAACCAACTGAGCTATCTAGGCACTGCATACACACACGCACACACAAATGTAAGAAGAGCCTGCTAGACCAGGCCAGTGGCCCATCTAATCCAGAATCCTGTTCTCACAATGGCCAGCCATCTGCTCTAAGGGAAAGCCTGCAAGGTGCCATAAGAAACTGCAGAGATAGTGCAAGATAGTGCGCACCCTGGAAATGATCTCTTTCAGCTTCTGCCTTCTGGAAGAAGGTACAGGGTTATAAAGTCTAGGACCAACCGCCTGAGAAACAGTTTCTATCCAAATGCAATTTTGGTTTTAAACGCAGTGTAAGGTAGTCTCTATGGAAGTATATTGTACAGTGGTACCTCAGGTTACATACGCTTCAGGTTACAGACTCCGCGAACCCAGAAATAGTGCTTCAGGTTAAGAACTTTGCTTCAGGATGAGAACAGAAATCGTGCGGCAGCAGGAGGCCCCATTAGCTAAAGTGGTGCTTCCAGTTAAGAACAGTTTCAGGTTAAGTACAGACCTCTGGAACGAATTAAGTACTTAACCTGAGGTACCACTGTATTTAATTATGGGGTATCAGAGTTTTTAGGGGGCTAACCAGGCTGGGATAGCTGGGATAGCAGGCTTGTTGGTTTTTGAATGTCTGATGTAGATTTTTTCAATTTCGTTGTTCTGTATGGGACAATGACAATAAAGATTATCATATCGTAAGCAGGGCCTGAGCGCAACAGCGCTGTTCCCAACACGTGAGCCCCAGCAACGGGCGTTCAGAGGCCACATTGCCTCTGGCACTGTAATGGGAACATAGTATGTGGGAAAGTCGTGCACACACAACGCCAGCTGAGCCAGTGCAGCCCGGTGGTCACGGCTGGATTAGTGGTGTGGCACTTCTCCGTGCCCGGTGGGTGGGTACCCCGCCAACGCAGGAAATTTCGACAGCTCTTTCCACCGCTGTTTGTCCCTCAGTTCCCCTTTGCTGTGGTGGGAATCCCCTGCCCTTCTGAAGGGCCTTTTTGCAACAGCCTCAGGAAGTGTGTCACCCTCCCACCCCACCAAGCCTCAACCGCTCAGGCCCAAACTCATGAAATTCAATGCTCTTTTAGGTTTAACATGCAATGCTTGTTTAGAGTTGTTTTTAAGTGCAGGCGCAAACACCTACATGTTGAATTTGGAGGAGCATTTAACCTCACAAGGCCTAGTCTGGGCCTGAGCAGCTGAGGTTTGCCCATCCGATAGGTTTCCACACCTGACCCTCTCAGGAAGAACATTCTTTTCTCAAGGCAGTTCACATGATGTATGAAAGTGCAACGTCAAATGGCAATCAATGCGTTTTTGAAAATGTTCCCCGTTGATAAAACTAGGAAGAAAACATTAAAAATGCAACCGCCTCACTATCAGATCCCTAGTCACAGGTAAAGTGATAACTGTTAAGGCCCATTTGGAAATATAAGGGCCTGTCTTACATGGATTTTTTTTATTCCACAGCCTCGCCATCTCAGACACCCACACCCTATGCACACAGAACATTTATGACACTTGAACAGAGAATCCTGGGATCTGTAGTTTACCCCTCTGAGGGTTATAGGAAACTATTGTTCCCAGGAGTGTTTGGGGGAGGCCATGTGCTTTTACTGTGCTTTTAATGTACAGTAGGGATGCTGTGGGTTAAACCACAGAGCCTAGGACTTGCCGATCAGAAGGTCGGCGGTTCGAATCCCCACAACGGGGTGAGCTCCCATTGCTCGGTCCCTGCTCCTGCCAACCTAGCAGTTCAAAAGCACGTCAAAGTGCAAGTAGATAAATAGGTACACTCCAGCGGGAAGGTAAACGGCGTTTCTGTCTGCTGCTCTGGTTCGCCAGAAGCAGCTTAGTCATGCTGGCCACTTGACCCAAAAGCTATAAGCCAGCTCCCTCGGCCAATAAAGCGAGATGAGCGCCGCAACCCCAGAGTCGGTCACGACTGGACCTAATGGTCAGGGGTTCCTTTACCTTTACTTTTATGGTATAGATGTCATCACAGTACAGGTGGACTTATACAGATTTTGGTGCTGGCCTCAAACTCAGGGAGGGTGGTGGTAATAGAGGATAGGGGTAGAGGGGCAAGGCTGACTGCTAACAGAATCACAGCAGACATGGAGGGGAGTTTTAACCCTTCCCCCCCGCTGCAGTCCTGGGGGTGGGGGGGGACACCTCATCTGAAACTGCTGTTTGCTACACTGGGAGCAGGAGACAGAATCCAACTACTAGGACAGATGATAGCTTTCTTTTCCATTCAAACAGCACCTGCAGAAGAGGGTTTTTATTAGCCAGGATCACAGCAAGTGGAGGGAGGAAGAATTAAGTTATCAGTCCGGTTAATGACCAGCTCAGCCTCAGCCACTATTTGCATTTAAAAGCAATGCAGATTTGTATCTCCTTACCACAGAAAGAGGAATCTTGGTTGAAAGACACACACATCGCAAAAAAAAGACTCCAGAGATTTATATGAAATTCTTCATAGTATACTTTTCAGCCATTAAAGGACCCTGGCCCCAAGGGAGCTTTAGCAATAATAAAACATACATTGTCTATGCTTGGGAACTCCCTCCTGAGAGAAGCAAGCTCATCGCTCCCACCATCTCTTTAATGGCCTTTTTGTGTGTGTGTGTGTGTATATATATATATATATATAAAGAACCCTTTCATTTTTGGGAAGGCATTTAGACTGCAAATGGCTAGGGTTCCTTTACTGACCTGATTCTAACATTCTCTTGTGTTTTCTTATGGTTCTTACTGCTTCTGGATTATGGCATTTCCTGCCTTCTGTTTTGGTTCTTTGGCTTGTAAAATTGCAAGCGATAAGTTAAAAAGGTTTAATTTATGGTTTCATTTCTGTTAGCCACCTAACAGAGCTCTTGGTGATGAACGGCAAGATGTATAAATGTTTTACATACCTAAATAAAGTTCTTAGTATGGAAAATCGCTTGCAGATATGTGTATAGTAGGCAAAATTGCATACCAGAATGTGCACATTAGGACGAATGGGCACTAAAACGCGGACAGATATTTATGATATTTTTTGGGGGGGTCACCATCTGATGCAGAAATGTGGCCAGCTGAATTTGAAATTAGAAAAAGGGGAAAGGAAAAGAAAGTTGAACTATTTGTCCTTACACTTCATGCATGTTCATTTGTTTGCCTCCTGTAGTGTTTTATGAACTCAATCCTGCAGTGTCTGAGCAACACCAAAGAGCTCCGAGATTACTGCTTGCAGAACCAGTACGTCCACGACCTGAACAACAAAAGCCGCATGCAGATGGCCCTCATGGCTGGTAAGGACTGTGACACTTCACACACAGGGCGAGCAGCCTTACACCAATTAGGCCCTTGGTCCGCTCGGCTCCATATTGTCAACACTGACTGGCAGCTGCTCTCTTCCTAGAGGTTTCAAACCAGGGTCTTTCACAGGGACAGATTTGACTTTAAGGGCCCCCCCGAGAAGGGTGGGTTGGTTCTTGAGGCAGAAGGAAATTCAGTGCTTCCTCCACAGCTGAGCAAAAGGAGAAGCAAGCCTCAAAACGATACAGAAATACAACAATAAGGAACTCTGATGAAACGCTAAATGGCTTTTCTGGGTTTCAGTTTTATCCTCTTCGTTTTTCTGTCTCCTCTGCAGCAGCAGATAAACTCCAATCATGTGTGGTGGACTTGATGAGTCTCCTGAATGCATTTCCTGCCTACCCAGGAGTGCCAAAATGGGGGTGGACAGCCAGGCATCTGACGGGAGGGGGGGGCATTTCTCGCTAATGTGAGATCTCCATCTGAGACCCAGGAGAGCTGTTTCCAGCCAGAGTAGACAATAGTGAGCTCAGTGGACCAATAGTTGGACCTCTATTTATCTATGGGCTCCTCCCAGATGACCTATTCACTGGCCAGTCATCTTGATTTGCTTGCACAAAGCTTACACAGAGGTTAGACTATATCCTGACGTATTACGCATTCGCTCTAATTTGTTTTCGGGATTACGGGCGGTATATTGCAATGAGCCTTTGTCCCACATTCTTCCTGATTTGTTTGTAGGGTTTTATGCATCTTCCCATGAGTCATTTGTTCATCTCGCGCTTTCCCCTCTCACCTTCCAAACAGCAGTCTGATCCCTTTTTTGCAAAGTGAATTCGTTAGACTTGAGCGAGAGAGAGGCCATTTTAATCCACTTTAATTGTGCAAACCTAAATTTCCAGCGTGCATGTGATTCTCTTCCACGAAATAGTCCGGAGGCAGCCTAAATATAATCATTTATAATATATTGCATTTATATCCCAACCTTTTTCTCCAATGAGCTCCCTCCCCCTCACTCTCCATTTAATCCCCACAACCATCCTGCGAGGTAGGCTGGGCTGAGAGAGGCAGCCCAAGGTCACCCAATCAAGTTCATGGTCAAGTGGGGATTTGAACCCTGCTCTCCCAGCCCTCTAACCACTACATCACACTGTCTCTCCATATCATTGCAACTATAGTACTGCACAACTTGGGAACCACTTATCCATATTATATGACCTCTTGGGTTTGTTTGTTTTCCAATTCACCACCTGCCTCTGTTTTCACTCTGCCAGCTGGAATTGTCCATCCAATTTTGGCATAGGGAAATTGTTGTTGGCATAGTTGTTCAGAATAGACTTTAGGATTTTGTGAAATAGATTCCATGGCAAAGCCATTGCCCTTCTCTGACAAGCCTAACCTTCAAGTATTTTCTCTCTTTCTGCCCCCTACCTCCCCAATCGCCCTCTCCCCTCCACTGTCCAGAGTTTGCCAAGCTCATCCAGGCATTGTGGACGTCATCCCCCAATGAATCCGTGAGTCCTTCTGAATTCAAGACACAGATTCAAAGATACGCGCCCCGCTTTGTGGGTTACAAGTAAGAAATGTTACCACCTGCGCATTTTCCAATGGGCAAAATTATTTGTTGGGTTGCAGGGGGTTGGCTAATTAGTGGTCTCCAGATGTAGCCCTCTGGTCCTTTTTATTGTGCATTCGTGATGCTTTGTGCACGCGATGGTATCAGGGTAGTTATACGTAATCCCACGTTCAATACTGTCTGCGCCTGCAAAAGTTTTTCGAGCGGCTATCCTGGTTCATTTTCAATTGGTGATTGTCCCATTACTTCTGGCTGAAATCCTGGGACCTACCACAAATGTTCCTACTTTTTATTGTGCTGTAGAGTAGGACCAGCCTTTCAAGTGGCAATAACGCACAAGCATTGGGGAAACCATTAAATAATAAAGCAGAATGATGTGCAGACGTTCCAGTATAAATTGACCGCTAATGCAGTATTAATGTGTCAATGGCATGTTGCAGAATACACCTGCAAAAAAACCAAACCTCAGATATGCTTTTAGTTTGCACCGAGCTTTGGGCTCCTTTATACCCACCCACCCAAAATAACCTGGTGCAGAGTCAGAGTAAGATTCATTTACCGTAGTAGGAATTGCTTCAATACAGACATAGCTAGTATCAGCTGATGTGAAAGGCAGCGGATGGGTGTTTGCAAGGTAGGATCACAACCTTAGGAACCATGGCATTTAACCCTGCCTGCACCATCCAGTTCTTCCTGCAAAAGTCCTCGGTTTCCCCTGAATTTGGTCTCAGAAGCTGGCTAGGAAGCTGACTAGCCAAGTGGGAGTTAGGTTTCCAGCTCTCATGATCCTGTCTGGAAGACCTTACCTGCATCTCTGATGGGGATTAGTTAACGCTTACCTTTCTCTTCTTTGCAGCCAGCAAGACGCACAGGAGTTCCTGCGGTTTCTCCTTGATGGGCTCCACAGCGAGGTGAATCGAGTGCTGGTGAGGCCCAAAGGCAACCAAGACAACCTAGACCATCTCACGTGAGTCGCAGTAGAGTGTGAAGGAACTGGGAAGAGCAGGCAGAGAAGGGGGGTGTCATTGGATTGTGGGTGGCACTGGCTCCTAAAATTAATTATATTATTAGGGAAAGTTGCTTGCAGAAATGTATACATTGATCAAAACTACCGTATATGCAAAAGGGCTTTTCAAAGAAAATAAAAGCTGCCAACTGATGTGGAAAATGTGGCTTCAGATTGGAAAAATGAGAAATTGTAACTAGGATATGGTGCCTGGCTTGGCTTTGCTTTTTCTCCATCGCAATCCCTTTTTTCATTTTGTGCCTATTGGATAGTAAGCTTGAAGGCAGGGAATGTCTTATTATGGACACTTGTAAAGTGCTCTGGGAGCAGTTAGCTGTTTGTTTGTTTTTGCCAAAGAGCAGGATAAAATTATACATAAAGATACAGTGGTACCTCGGGTTACAGACGCTTCAGGTTACAGACTCCGCTAACCCAGAAATAGCACCTCGGCTTAAGAACTTCAGGATGAGAACAGAAATCGCGCGGCGGCAGCAGGAGGCCCCATTAACTAAAGTGGTACCTCAGGTTAAGAACAGTTTCATGTTAAGAATGGACCTCCAGAATGAATTAAGTTCTTAAGCCGAGGTACCACTGTACACAGTTGCCCCCACACCTCCTAAATGTATATTTACACCAGTCCTGTAGGGTAGGGTAGGGTGAGAGTGACTTAGCCCAAGGTCGCCCCATGAGCTTTGGGCATTTAAGCTTCCCCAGTTGTAATCCAGAGCTCCACGCACCCCTGCAGTCTCTCATGTGACTTCCCTTTGACCCTGGAAGAGCCTTGGATAGCCTTTTTCTATCTCCTTTTTTGCAGCGACGATGAAAAGGGCAGGCAGATGTGGATGAAATACCTGGCAAGAGAAGACAGCCGGATTGGGGGTAAGTCTTTGCCAGGAGAGCAGGGCAGGGGGGAACCTGTGGCCCTCCAGCAGCCGCTCCCAGCATCTGAGGGGCCAAAAGGTTCACCACCTGTGATTTAGCTCTGGAGCCCATGAGACTCCAGAGCCACCACAGGATGAACTGGGAGTTAGGAGAAGGCATCAGGGTGCCAGGTACAGGTGATGGTGATTTCAGCTCAGAGTTCTGAATGAGACAGGAGCCTTGTCCTGGCATTCCATGACTCAGCACATTCCCCACAGTGTCAAGAATTGCACTAACTCTGATTTCAGTTAACATTTTTAATTATTTTTAGATCTTACGCCACATCTCTGCACCATGCATTCAAAGCAGAGCCCTACCACTTTAAGCAGTCTTGGCTTCCCCAGAGAATCCTGGGAACTGTAGTTTTTTGAGGGTTCTGAGCATTGTTAGGAGGCCGCTAATCCGCTCGCAGAGCTATAATTTCCAGAGTTGCCCAGGGGGAGAGGTCGATGGTTAAACAATTCTGGGAACTGTAGCTCTCTGGGGCAGAAATTGGTCTCCTGACAACTCTTGGCACCATTAACGAATGATGCTGCTTTAAATGTCTGGTGCAGATGTGGCCTTAGATAGCAGGCCACAGGAGGTGGCATGTAAGTAGCAGGGGGTTGGGAGTTAACCCTTCCACCTTCACTGCAGTCAATAAATTTACCTGCCCTTCTCGCATTCCAATGAAGCTGATCTTAGCCTAAGAGGAAAGCTTCATTTTGTGCCAATTTTTTAAAAAATGATCTCACAACCATCACCCTCACTCGCTTTCTCACACACACACATTTGCTATTTAAATGCTAAAAGTGAGATAGGTTAACTGTACTCAGCATCTAGTTTGTCCCTTAAGAGGCCCTTTCAAGTACAGTTTTGCGCAAAATTGAGCCTTGATGTGGTTATTTAAAATTTGCACACAGACAACAAAGGCTGGCTTACGGTTTCATCTTGATCCGTAGTGATTTGGCTTAGTGGGGCTGTTTTATCAGAGCAGCTTGAGAAGGCCTTGGATTTCAAAGCTTGCATAGAAAGATAAGGTGACCTGATTCAGGCCCAGGAGTTGAGAAGGCTTTGATGGTCCATCATAGAGCCCAGAAGGCTTTCTGAGTCATTAAAGCTAATTGGGGAGGCTGGATCAAAACCTCAGCCGTTAAGAGGCATGTGGGAGAAGCCTCTCCCCAGGATGGCATCTGAAGTGCAAAGTGGAACCCCATAAATTTGGATTCCACCTGGCTAGAAAACCGCAGATTAGCTGCCAGGTGGATCCAAGATATGTTTCTGCCTGAGGCAAAGGACTAGATAGTGCCTCTGCCAGGCTGGCAGTTAAATCTTACTTTGGAACTGGCAACAGGACGTGGACCTCTACCGCTCCCAGAAGGCAGCAGGATAGTTTGGCAGGCAGGTGGGCAGAACCAGCCCTGTGACACACACAGCTCTCCCTACCCCTTTGCATCTGCCACCTGAGGCAATGGCCTCACTCTGTCACATGACTAGCAAGATTCCACCCAGAGGCCAACACAGAATACCAGTCCTCTGCTGTGAGTAAGGCAGATGGGTTGGTAGAGATGCCAAGTGCCACGCAGAATGGGATTCTGGGACAGGTGTAGCATTCAGGCTACCAGTTGCCCAGTCTTATTTGGGAAAGAGGTTGAGTGTTTGGATAGCTTTCGCTGATTGGTCCAGCCAACAACGGTGAACCATCCCTCCCTTGCATGTCCCCGCCCTTCATTTTCCCCAACTTTTTGCCTCTTCAGATCTCTTTGTTGGGCAGCTCAAGAGTTCTCTGACGTGCAGTGAGTGTGGCTACTGCTCAACAGCCTTCGATCCCTTCTGGGACCTGTCACTACCCATTGCTAAGGTAACCATGTGCTGTCTATTACTTCCTGGCCACCTCGGTGCTGTTTTGTCTCCCGCACCCCCACCCTTCCCGATTCCCGGCATCCAGCTCTGGCAGAACGCTCTTAACTCCCACCTCTTTGGTGTGTCTTCCCTCTTTTCGCAGAAGAGCTACGGGGAGGTGAACTTGATTGACTGCATGTATCTCTTCACCAAGGAGGACATCCTAGACGGAGATGAGAAACCAGTAAGGGATATTCATGTGCCCTTTTCTTTTTTTGCATTTCTCCCAATATATGCATTTGCGCAAGCAGTTTACGTGGGTTTGTACATGATTTTCGCTAATATAAGCACCTTTGTACACAATTTTTGGTTGGACAACTGCATCCCAAAAATTCAGAGGAGTGAATTTTGAGCAGTAGCTGTGGGGGTTTTTTTGTGTTTTTAATTGACTGGCTAAGGAAGTGCAAATTTGGTAGGTTTTCTTTAAAAGGCAAACTGAATGAATCCTGCCACCCACTTACTACTCCAAGCAAATCCAGCCATTTGCTGCTCTTTATCTCTCCCTTTCTCCTTAGCTCTTGGTGGCTGTTGGTGCCCCCAAACGTTGATAATATTTCCTAGTGGTACTACTGCACTCCTGTGGACTGGAATGCAGGCAGCTGCCACCTCAAGGGGTAGGAGCCCTGGCCACCAGAAGGGAGAGGGAGAGGAGCTAGCCCAGCCTTATCTCTGTGACACAGCACTCTAATGATATCTTCCCACTAATCAGGATTCCCTTTATTTTCCAGACCTGCTGCCGCTGCAAAGCCAGAACAAAATGCATGAAAAAATTCAGCATCCAGAGGTTCCCAAAGATTTTAGTGTTGCGTATCCTTTGCCTTCCCTGTGGCTGTGCCCTTATTCTAGAGAGCATATAGACAGCAAGTGAATCACAGGTGGGGGTGGGGGCAACTGTTGTGCAATAACATCACCCCGAGGTTTTGTATTGGGCATAGAATTCAGCATCTCAAGATCTCAGCTTTTAATGTTTTGATTTTAAATGTGCAAGATTCTAGCCCTCATGCTAGCCACAAACTATGAGCAAAGGAGTTTGAGCTGGGGTGGTGAAAAGGGGATGGAGTTCCAGTGCTGCTTCCTGTATCTTGAAATCCAGTTTGTTGGATGTGTCAAATGAGGGCACCCGGGTTCGAATGCCCAGTTGGCTGGGAGGCTTCTTGTGTGACCTTTGCAAGTCTCTCTCCAGCCCCTTAACCTACCTCTCAGGGCTGTTGTGAGAGGAAGCGAACCTTGTACACCACCCTGAGCAACTTGGAACAAGGGCAGGATAAAAATGTGCCATTAAATTTTTAAGCATTCAGAATAACAGGACTGGAATAAATTCAAAAATAAGCAAATGCACTTGATTGGAATAGGCTGTGTAGGTCACAGAATCCAGCTTTGTTAGAACTTTGATTTAAAATACAGCAAGGCATACGCACAGCCCTGATTATGGATGATGGAGTAGCCCATTTTCTGTGAGTAGCGGGTTGCCTCAGCAGAGAGCTTCCAGAGAGCCCAGACCCTTCGCTCCAACAATGAGAAACAGGTCGGACATGTTGCCCAATAGCCTCCTTTCTTTCCCATAATATATCTGTCCTGTTAGTTCGTCTGCTCTTCTTCCTTAACTTCCTATCCCAGACCTGAAGCGTTTCTCTGAAGCAAGGATGCGATCCAGCAAGCTCACCACGTTCGTTAATTTCCCACTCAAGGACTTGGACCTGAGGGAATTTGCATCCCAAAACTGCAGTGAGTGGTTTTTTGTTTTTTCCTTGCAGGAACTAGAATGGGTGGGAGGAGCCTGAGAGGGGCAAGGTGGGCACTGCAGGTGGGAAGGTTGCGTCAACAATAGGACTTCACATGATCAAGTGCAGCTAAATGGAACCTCCATATACAAGAGCAGTCCATCCCCGGGTGCCAGATGCTGGAGACAAACAAGCAAGATAGCCATCACCACCATGCCGTGTGTGAAAGCATCCAAAGGCTTGGCAGCAGCTGTTCAAAGCAAAAGTGTGGACTAGATAGACTTTGGTCCATTCTAGCAAAGCAGTTCTTAGTCCTCTTGTATACACTATAAATCAAATCTTTATTGTTGTGCTCAATGAGTAGCATTTTCTGTGCACTATAAAATGAAGCTAGTTTGAAACTGGTTTAACAGTCTTGGCTCCCCACTAGCAGCAGATGAAATGGTGGGGCGACGGTGAATATTTAACTGCTGGGTCATTGTTGCTTATTGGGAGGATAAAGGGCACTATAACAGAAAGATCAGTGCGGTGCAAATGCATCGGAAGAGCCAGTCCAGTACTCCTGCCGGTGCATTTGCAATTCTCTGGCCTCCCTGCCCCCTGCCCCCTCTCCCTCCCAATAACAGCAGTAGCTCACCTGTCTGGAGGTCAGGTCATTGCCATCACCCCATAACACCATCCACTTCTGCTCCCTGCTGCCACGCAAAAGCATCTGGGCATTATAAATCCATGATGCTGTTGACTTTTTAAAATTTTGCTCAACTGCCCCAGTGCCACAACCCTGCCTAGAATCCCTTGAAGCCACGAGGATTGAACGGGTTTGCATCTGGTTTCAATAAGACTGGCAACATCTCATGCAAACACACAGAAACGCAAACACAGCTAGTTTGTCAAGCTATGCTACAGGCTTCCTGCAGCCACCTCTCATCCGTTCTGGATGTCCAGTTGAAAATGCAGAGGTGGCGAAGAGCTAACCCCCTACCAAACTTCTGCAAAAGTGAAATTTCGAGCCAGCACCAAAAGAATTTTGAGAGTAGCAAAAAAGAGGTGTTTGAATAAGACTATAGCAAAATTTCACCAGGGTTTGCCTATGTGATTCATGAAGTCCTGATGCCTGTGTTTCTTCCCCTTTTTACACATTGATAAGTAATGTGTAGAGCACAGAACATGAAAGTGACGCCGTGTGTGCCTGTTTTGTTCTCACCTTGCAGATCATGCTATTTACAACCTGTACGCCGTCTCCAATCACAGCGGGACCACAATGGGCGGTCACTACACAGCCTACTGCAAAAACCCTGTGTCCGGAGAGTGGCATGCCTTCAATGACTCACGGTATGTCTAGGACTTCTCTATTGGAAGGGGGCTGCAGCTTTCACATGGGGGCCCGCAGGAGATGAGCAGCGCCTGTATCTCAAATCTTAGGTTCTACAAATGCTAGAAACATTCTCTTTTTTAAAAAAATGAAAACTGGGAATCCAAGCATTATGGTTCTCCTTTGCCCCCAGTGGTAGAGCATCTGCTTCTTATGCATGCATGCGCATCGCCACAAACCCAGAAGTGGCAAGAAAAGGGGCATGAAAAGGAGCAAAAAAATGGCAAAAAAACGGTGCAAAAGTAGCATCTAGCAATCCTACAAACCTTTGCAAGTGAAATCCCAGGAGCCTTTGTGCCAACCTTTGAGGCCTCTGGGGAAGCGATTGTGGTGGAGTTTGGTGGGCAGATGTTTTTGTTTTTTAAAGGGTTTTCCAAGGGTTTCCAGAGGTTTAGGGGGCATTTGCAGGCTTTCTCAATGGTGTTCCCAATTTTTGCGATTTCACTTAAGCGTGTGGTGCCTCGGAACGTAATCCCCGCATAAACGGGGAGTTGCCCGTACTGGAAAACGGGATGTTAGACTCAATGTTCCTTGGTCTAGCAGATCCCTCCTTTACGTTCTATTATTATATACATTCCCTGGGGTCCCACCCCAGTGCCAGACCTCAGCCCCCTAACTGCTTTCTCCTCTTTCCCCCTGCAGCGTGACACCGCTCTCCTCAAGCCACGTCCGGAGCAGCGACGCCTACCTGCTTTTCTACGAGCTGGCCAGCCCGTCTTCGCGCATGTAGCTTCCACATGCCCTCCCCCCACCACAAACCCTTGAGGAAAAAAGGAAGAGAGCCAAGCACCAGCTCTCTGATGCAAAAAAAGAAAAGGAAAAAAGGAGGGAGGGACAGAACCCAGGACAATGGTGACTCCAGGGATTTTTTTAAGCCGGGGTGTTTTTTTTGTTTTTTTTCTTAAAAAAAAACCCAAAACCAAACAAAAAAGGGGGAGAAAGAAAGTCCTAATAAAGCATTGACTAAAGCTGCCGACTTTTACGGAAAGGCCTTTCTCCTGCTCCGGGGCTGTCATCGAAGAGTAGCGTGCCCTTCAGCCTCACGGACGCCGGGGAGAGAACGCCGGAAACGGAGGGCCAGGGGGCGACCCACAGCTCCATCACTCCCCTAGTGTTGTCAGGGGTGGTTTTTAACGTTTTCCTTTTCCCCCTCTCTTCCTGCCTCTCTATCTCCCTTTCCCGTGTGTGTGATTCTCTCTTTTATTTCCACCTTTCCCCGCTTTAATAATAAACCGTGAACAGCAGCTCTTGATGGGGCAGAAATCTGTCTGTCCCGTTTTATCCACACAACCCCCACGGCTTGCACCCCCTTCGCCGGGTTCAAAAGTGTGATGAGAAGGGATCTCGAGCGCTGGACGTGGGCAACGGAACGAGGCGCCCCTGTTTTCTCTCCTCCCCGTGAAACGGCGCCACCCGGAGACGGGCATTGCACCTCGGGGAACTGTTTAATTGCACTACGGTTATGGAACCCAGCCTTGGCGTTTCTGCACCCACCCGCCTCCCAGCACCGTATTGTCTACCCTGTTGGAGGTGTGAGGCAAAGGAGGCCGTTCTTCCAAAGCTGTGAACAAAATGACTGGTTAACCACTTGAGATGCCTGCTGCCTGGGACTGTGCGCTCATGCCACGCAAGCTCACCACACAGGGCAGCTCTGCAGCTCATCGCAAGCCCACACAGAGCACGGGAGTTGGTTTCCTGCTGCAACCAAGGACCTCGAGTGACTCTTCCTTCGCTCCTGGTTCTCGTTTGGAGAGACGCTTCTTGCTTCCGTTTTTGTTTTATTTTGAAACGAGCTTTCTTTTCTTCCTAATAAAACCCAGGGGCACTTCCGGCTGGATTTGACGGGCTCCAGCAAAGGGTGATGGGTGGTAGATTCCTGCCTATCTCTTCTCACAACAGTGCCTTAAAACCTTCCGGGTGAAACGTGAGGTGTTTTTATGTGGACAAAAGACAAACGCCCTTTCCGAAGGAGCGTGAGGTGTTATGCTTTCTTTGCAGTTCCCCTCCGCAAAACGCCCACATGCAAACACACACGCGTATCCCTCTCTCCTGTCCTGGGTCAGAGTGAGGCCTGTTCAGAAATGCTTTGGGAAGTTAGTGCTGAGTTTCCAGGAACGCGGTTGCTTAAGTTTTTTTGGTTTTCTGAGGTAACAAGCCCCCGGCACAGGCTGCGTGAGGGCAGCGGCTTCTCCTGCCAGCAATGTGTTTCTCACAAGGAGGCAAAGGACTGGATAACAGCCTTTGGTCAGCCAACAGATGTTAATAACCTTATTTAAACTTTTATTTATTATCTCCTCACACACTCTTTCTCTAACATGCACACACACATGCACAGGTGTTTCAACCCATATGATGTACATGAGAGGAACCCAAAGGGGCTCTTTTAACAGCTTCACGGCAGGCAGAAATCCAGTGGGGTGTGCTCTTCGTTGTGTCTGAGTGTTGGACCTGCACTTTATTTTTAGTTTCTCCTATCATGAAGCCTTTAAAGGCAACAAATCTTGGTCAGGAAAGTAAGGAGGCAACCTAACACCCCACCCCACAATACTGAATCAGGCAGAGTATTAGATGCCTAACCAGGCATACCGAATGAAATTATTGGCCATGCCAAACCACAAATGGCTTGTAGCATTGAAAATCCCTTTACCCTTCCTTTTTCCTGTGAAGTCCTCCCTCAGAATCGCACACAGTCACACCCCACATAACATTCAAAGGGAAGCTCCTTTTTAAATTTCTTTTTTAAAAAAAAACCTCGTAGCAATTTTCACTCCATTTCAAGATGGCTGACGCTAAGGCCCCAAAGTGGGGAGGGGGCTGGATGGGCAATGCAAGATGTAAATGGTTCGTGTGAGGAGGACTTTCTTGTTGTTTTGTGTGTGCTTTTCCCCCCCAGTTTGACTTAATGGCTTGTTTACTGTGTAAGCAATGATAGGGGAGGGACTTCCTGTGACTCATAAGGGAGACTTGTACAGAAATAAAAATTGTAGCTTGATGAACACTTCCGTGGATTCTTTATGTTTGTGTACGCGTGGGTGACTCGGGGTGGACGAATCTTGCATCCATGTTCTTCCTGCCTTAGCTTCAGTTCTCCACATTTCAGCAGATATTTTTATAAGAAATCCACATGTAACTCCATCAGCATTTAAGTGCACATTTCTCCATATACAGTGGTACCTCGGGTTAAGTACTTAATTCGTTCCGGAGGTCCGTTCTTAACCTGGAACTGTTCTTAACCTGAAGCACCACTTTAGCTAATGGGGCCTCTTGCTGCTGCCACGCAGCCAGAGCACGATTTCTGTTCTCATCCTGAAGCAAAGTTCTTAACCCGAGGTACTATTTCTGGGTTAGCAGAGTCTGTAACCTGAAGCGTATGTAACCTGAGGTACCACTGTATATATATTTTTAAATGCAGTTTGGAGTTCATACACAAGCAAATTTGACTCATTTTCCAAGTAAGGCTGGTAGAACGCATGGCTCAAAGACAATTTGTAGCCTGAGACAGAGAATCCAAATTACACCTCCCCCCCCCCCCCCAGTGTTGATAAAAAATATAGTAAGGTGACTGTAATACTATAATAGCTCTCTAAACATGTCACCTAACTGTAAGGTAAACACATGGGGGAGGCAGTGCGAGGGGAGCCTCTTGTGTAGCGAGATGTGGGTGCTACACTGGAGTGCAGAGCTAGCATAATCATCCACAGGGTCCTGGGATCACATGTTTATGGCACACAGAAAAGGCCAAAAATAAATAAATGAGGTCCAAGTTTAGCCTGAAATCTGACCTCCGACGTGGGCTGTCTTGCCTTTCCTTGGGCCAGACCTAGTGGCAGTGACCCAGCTGGAGGCTGTATTGAAGCGGCTGCCAACATTTTAAGGCCCATAGACGCAGTGCCCTAGGTGCCACCCTCGTCTGGTCACTTCTCCCTCCCCCTGGTCAGGTCCCTGTTCTCCTCCTAACAGACAAAAAGAGAAATTGTGCGTGTACACTTTTTGATTTTTCAGGGGATCTGGGTAAAACTTGGATCCAGCAAAATAAGTCTTGAGCCTCGAAGAGCACATAGATTGGCAAGCGGGAAAGAGCTTCTAACTTCCTCCTTTTTTAGTGGAGAAAAAGGTTAACTACCCTCAACACCTGAGAGGGCAGTGTGTGGGGGTGCCAAGGGAAGACTTTGAGGGTGCCACAGCTTCCACGGTCACCACATTGGTGACGCCCTATTGTATCGTCTTTGCTACATGTAGCTTGGCTCACTTCCACAAGCCACCATGAGCTGCTTCTCTTTCCTGCAGCTGATCTCTTTCAGTGGCGCACTTTGCCGCTTTCCATGTTATGAAAGATCCCCAAGGCTGCCTCTAAGGCCGCGGGGGGAATGTGCCACAAGGCTTCCGAGTAATCCCTCAAAAAACACACTTCTCTGGCTGCCGAAGCCTACGAGAGGCCCAAGTCCCTCCCTGCCTCCCCAGCAACCCGGTGCTCAAACAATGCCCCCTTTCTCCTCTGCTTTAGTAACAGGGTAAAGAGATTTTGCGCTAAGAGTGTCCTGGAATGTACACGACTTAGCAATGGGCCTAGAGACTCCACAAAAGCCGGCTGTAATGTTGCCGTTATTGGGGAGAGTATGGGAGAGACGCAAGAGATATCTGCAAGTCCACTCTTGCTTCCGATAGACAAATTTAGGTGGCAAAAATCAAGTTATCATTGCTGCTAAGGAACTGGAAGTCCATCTTCTACAAGTCACCCAGAGATCTTCCAGCAGATCCTGATCTTCCTTCTGTCTATTCCTGTGATAGAGGATAGACATCTCCGGGGGGGAGTGTGCTGGGAATGAGCACTGCATGCTCAGAGTGGTTGCTCTCTGGCTTTGCTGTTTTGGAAAGGACTTTGCAGAGGTCACTGCAGGGCAGGACGCCAAGGAGTAAGACAGTGGTGGAGGGAATAAAAGTGGAGACTTCTGAACAGCAAGAGAAAGAAGCCAGTGCTCAGTCCTTTCTGCTGGCACTCAGCAGACAGCTGCTTCAATAACTGTGCTTGTGTCTTACACCCATAATGTACATCGCAGGATGCAACTGCTTCTGAAACAGAGCACAACCACTGCCACTTTTAACACAGCTGCTGTTTTGGAAAGCGAGAGAGCCTGCTTTTAGGTAGTGACCCTTTCAGACTCTCGCTGTTCAGTTCCAGGCTGCCTTGGACAGAGAGAAAGAGTTTGGCAATCCTGTGCCTTTAAAACTGAAGTTGTCCATGCCAGGGCCTCTGACCTCGTCCTCCTCAGCTGAGTTGGATTAAGAAGTGGGGGGGGGAGGTTGGTGACTTTAATTCTTGTAAATTCTTTCACTTCCCAGGAGCTGGCAGGCCTCTTGTCCCATGAGCCTGCCTGCCAGGAAGCCAATGGTCTTTGCTGGTGGTGGAGGCTACGACAAGCGCCGTTGGTTCAAGTTCCCTGTCAGGCTCTCTGTGTTAGAAAAACCAAGCCTTCAGCACAGTCCCCACTGTGGTCCTGGAAGGGAGCCCTTGCCACTGTCCTCTCCTTGCCAATGTGGTGAATATCAGAAGGCCAAAATAAGGGGAACTGCTGTGCAGCCACGAACCGGATGCCGCAAGAGGTCGGGGGATGCAGCAGCCTAGGACGGGCAGGGATCCTGTCCACATTCCCCACGCCTTCTCCCACAACCATGAAGGACTACACAGAGGTCATCTTCCAGCCGGAAGCGCTGGATCAGAGCAAGGTATGTACAAAGGGAGGGCAGGGCATCACTGTTATGGGAACTGCCAATGACACCAATAGCTCTTATTTACCAAGGACATCACCCATATATATAGAATTTTTTGCCACCCATCCGACTAGGGTGCCCCAGCTACTCTGGGCAACAATATATTAAAACACACAAACTCTCAAACATTAAAAACCTCCCTGCCTTCAGAGGTCTTCTAAGAGTTGTATAGTTCTTTATCTCCTCGACATCTGATGCAAGGGCGTTCAACAGGGTGGGTGCCACTACCGAGAAGGCCCTCTACTTGGTTTCCTGTAACTTCACTTTTCGCAACATGGGGACTACCAGAAGGCCCTCGGAGCTGGATCTCAGTGTCCAGGCTGAATGATAGGGGCAGAGATGCTCCCTCAAGTATACAGAGTTGGTCTCTATGCCTAGTAAAAAAAACCCACTATATATTTCTGTGTTCTTGTTCTTGCAATTCATGAAGAACATGCTTTTGCTAGTGCGTGAGTTGTTGAAGCTGCCTTGATTCCCGCTTTCAGTTCCCCCTCCTCCCCACTACCTGGGTCTCTAAAAGAGTACACACATGAGCACGAAGGCATTGTGTAGTGCAAGAGGTGAAGTGCTGCACACTGGTGTTTGTGAGGTCCATTTTGAAAATGTAGATCATGGCTCCTGAATGGACTATGGAGTTGGAACAGATGACCTCCAGGATCTTTTCAAACTCTAAAATTCTATTTTTATTTTCTAGATGTTTCGATCAAAAGCAAATCCCCTTTGTGCTTTTGAATCTGTGCAAGATGTAGATGAATCAAGTGTATTTTTAATTATCAGTATCAGGCTTGGCAAACTCTTGCTTGTTAGAGGGTGTGTGTGTGTTTCTCTAACACAGGGATAACCAACACGATGGCTGCAGATATTGTTGCATGACATCTCCCATTACCCCAATCAATGGCCCTGCTGGCTGTACTGATGGAAATGGAGGTCCAACAATATCTGGAGGGCACCACATTGGCTAACCCTGCAGATGTGAAACATGAATGTGGGAAGTGGTGGGGAAAGATACATGTTAGATGTGTATTTCCCAGCTGAAGTAACACACCTGACCATCTAAAGCAGGGTTTCCCAAACCTGGTTCTCCAGCTGTTGCTGGACTACAACTCCTATCATCCCTAGCTAGCAGGACCAGTGGCCAGGGATGATGGGAATTGTAGTCCAAAAACAGCTGGAGACCCAAGTTTGGGGAACTCTGATCTAAAGAGTGAGGGGCATGAGACCAGTAAGTCCAGCGTACAAAATGGTCTAGCTGCAGGTGAATTGGGAAGTTAACAAGTACATCCCTATTTACGTCTGTGAAATATTAGAGGAAATAGGTTAAAGATATTTGAAAGACTGTGCACCAGTTGCTGGGAAATAATAGTAGGAAGTGGACTCTGCTTTCCCACTCAGTCTTCCCACACTGGGCTTCCCAGAAATATCTGGTTGGACACTCCAGAAAACAGGATTTTGGACTAGACAGGCCATTGGTCTAGTCCAACAGGGACTCCTATGCTCTTATGACTCACCTTAACAGCTTGGGATCAGTTTACTTGAACACTTCGATCTGCGTAACTGGTTCTGTTACAGGTGCCTTGTAATGCTCATTCTGCATTGGTTAAGAAATCAGTCTTCTATTGGGGCAGCGCCCACACTTTGGAACTCCCTGCCTATTGACATCAGGCACGAGCCTTCACTGTATGCCTTTGGGAACCTACTAAAACCATTTTTTGTCTAAGCAAGCCTGTCCAGATGCACAGAATGTTGGCACATGCTTTAATCTGGTTCGTAGCTCATAACTTGATTTTAATTATTGTTTGGATATTTTAAGTAGTTGTTTTTGACTTCTTTTTCTGATAATTTTAGTGTTTTTTTCGTAAACTGCTTTGAGGATTGGTTACAATCAAGCAGTATATAAATATTGTGAATTAATTAACAAATAAATTTCCTAATTATGCATTCTCAGGAGTTGGGGGTAGGCAATTTAAAGGGAGTTTAAAGTCTTTTGGAATTCAGTGGGATCATAACAATTTATTGGAGCGAGGACATTACTCATTGCATTACACCTAGGGATAGGGATTAATTTGATTCAGTTTGCATTTAAAGCAAACCTGCCTAATACACAACTGAAACACAGTCCGCCTTAGAAATTTGTACTTCTCCGAATTTTGCAGTGCAGTTCTCCAGCCAAGTAATGCGTACAAAAAGACATATATTGGAGTAAAGTGTGCATAGAAATGCATATATTTATGAAATTAAGATACAAAAATGCATTGTGTTAAGATTGTTCTGCATAAATTAAGCAAAACTGCATGCAAAAATTTGTATATTAGAAGAAATTTGCACTGAAATGCTGATTAACTTTCATAAGGACATATATATATATATATATATATATATATATATATATATATATATGGGACGCGGGTGGCGCTGTGGGTTAAACCACAGAGCCTAGGACTTGCCAATCAGAAGGTCGGCGGTTCGAATCCCCATGACAGGGTGAGCTCCTGTTGCTCGGTCCCTGCTCCTGCCAACCTAGCAGTTCGAAAGCACATCAAAGTACAAGTAGATAAATAGGTACCGATCTGGCAGGAAGGTAAATGGCATTTCCGTGCGCTGCCCTGGTTCACCAGAAGCGGCTTAGTCATGCTGGCCACATGACCCGGAAGCTGTATGCCGGCTCCCTTGGCCTATAGAGCGAGATGAGCGCCGTAACCCCAGAGTCGGTCACGACTGGACCTAATTGTCAGGGGTCCCTTTACCTTTTATAGATATATAAAATAATGGCAACTGATGTGGAAATGTGAAGAGCTGAATTTAAGATTGGATGAGAAACCAAAATAAGATTAAATTGACAGACTCACCCATTCGTATTATGCACACAAGTAGGCTGGTGCACACTCTAGCATATTCCAGACTAGCATAGCTCCTAAAGGTGGACTGGAAAGAGCCTAGTTTATATCTCAGTTCATGGTTTCCAGCCTCAGCCCCGCACCCCGACCTGTGACATGATTGTAGCAACACTGGCCCTCCTTGCAAAGCGGTTGTAAGGACCACTGAGATCATGGAGGTTTAGTTCTTTGAACAACTCAGAAATCTGACGTACAAGTGCTGTTACTGGTTGGAGGGGATTGTGCCTGTGGATATAGCTGATATAGCAATATTATTATTCCTTATGGGCTCGGCTTATGTAAAAGCGCTTGCTTGCTCTCATTCTGATTCCCCAAAATAAACCCAATTATCACATTGTGAAAGTATGCAGGAAGGGATCCAGTGCGTTCCTTCCCTGATGAAAGCCACAATCCCTCGGTTTGAAGAGAACATCTGCTAGCAAAGAAGAGCAAGTGAGATAGAGGTGTAGTTTAGCATCAACACACTCCAACTGTACAGTGGTACCTCGGGTTAAGTACTTAATTCGTTCCGGAGGGCCATTCTTAACCTGAAACTGTTATTAACCTGAAGCACCACTTTAGCTAATGGGGCCTCCTGCTGCTGCTGCTGCTGCTGCTGCTGCTGCTGCCGTGCCGCCAGAGCACGATTTCTGTTCTCATCCTGAAGCAAAGTTTTTAACCCGAGGTACTATTTCTGGGTTAGTGGAGTCTGTAACCTGAAGCATATGTAACCTGAAACGTATGTAACCCAAGGTACCACTGTATTCTATTCGCAAGGCCAGACTGGCTTGCTTTGTAACCAGAGATTCCAAACTTTGGGAGGGAAATTCTGAGCTATATTTTGGTTTTGCATCAGACACGGGAAAATGCTCAGAGCCACATTTTTGTTTAAGTATTTACAGCTGCTTTACTCTTAGTTACATTTATTAAAAAACAAAATTGCTCTGCCCTTCCTCCATAGAGATCCAGGGTGCCTGGTTTCTCCCTTTGCCCTGTTTTAGCAGCACAACAACCCTATGAAGTAGGAATAACCATCCCAAAGTCACCCAGGTTGCAATCCTAAGTACACTTTCCTAGGAGTAAGTCCCACTGAACTCAGTGGGGCTGAACCCCAAGGACACATAAACAAGGATATGCTGCCAGTATGATACATAGCGGAGTCAGAATTTGAACCCAGGTCTGCCCTGATCTGAGTTTGACATTCTGTCTACTACATCAGCTGAAGTCAGACAGTGGCCAATGGCTACCAGTGGCTAGTCGACCACCTAATGCCAGGATTCTCACCAAAGACCTTGGGCTAGCTGGGCTTTGGTGTGATCCAACCAGGGTCTTCTACTGCTGTCATTATCAATGTACGTGGAACTAATTAAGAGGATTAGAACAGCAGTCGGGGCGAGAAACTCGGTGAGACAGTGATTCAGCATTGAGCAGGAGGCTCAGAGCGAGTTTGGAATTAAAGAAAGCTTATTTAAATAAAGTTCTTTGTTTTATAATACTCCTGCCTGATCCTTAACAATAATCAACACCAACTGAAACATGATGGCAGTGGTTTAGAAATAGAACCCAGTTGAAGCAGCAAAGAAAATAAACAGAAAAAAGCAAGGATTTTTAGATCATGGAGAGAGGCCTGAAACCTCCAGCACCACTAAATTTCACTGCATTTAATCTAGCCCAGGCATGGAGGCGCTGAGAGAACAGTTTGAATTCGATCTGGATCTTGCCTTGGAGAGAGAGGAAGACAAGCATAGGTAAAGGGACCCCTGACCATTAGGTCTAGTCGTCGCCGACTCTGGGGTTGCGGCGCTCATCTCACTTTATTGGCCGAGGGAGCCGGCGTACAGCTTCCGGGTCATGTGACCAGCATGACTAAGCTGCTTCTGGCGAACCAGAGAACGCACGGAAACACCATTTACCTTCCCGCTGGAGCGGTACCTATTTATCTACTTGCACATAAGGACCACTTAATGACAGCTGGAGAGGAGCAGTGGCTGCAGTCCAGCACGGCCATGGCAGTGTCTGGTGGTCTTTTCTGACTTCAGCGTGGCCAGGAGAGGACGTCACTTCCTCCTCCACTGGCTGTGTTGGATGCTGGGGCTCGCCCCCAGTTGCAGCCAATCGTAGGTGAGTCCAGGGGCATGGTATGGTGGAGTGGACCAGAGGGAAAACCTATTCCCTCTAGTCCACTCCCTGGCTGTAAAAGCCAGCTGCACTCAGGACCCAGCCTCAGTAGACGCTGGCTTCCCCACCCACCCTAAGCTGTAAAGGTAAAGGGACCCCTGACCATTAGGTCCAGTCGTGACCGACTCTGGGGTTGCGGCGCTCATCTCACTTTATTGGCCGAGGGAGCCGGCGTACAGCTTCCGGGTCATGTGGTCAGCATGACTAAGCCACTTCTGGTGAACCAGAGCAGCGCACGGAAGCGCCGTTTACCTTCCCGCCGGAGCGGTACCTATTTATCTACTTGCACTTTGATGTGCTTTTGAACTGCTAGGTTGGCAGGAGCAGGGACCGAGCAACGGGAGCTCACCCCGTCGCGGGGATTCGAACTGCCAACCTTCTGATCGGCAAGTCCTAGGCTCTGTGGTTTAACCCACAGTGCCACCTGCATCCCTCACCCTAGGCCATAGCACTCCCCAAATGGTGACCTCAGAGGAGTAGCCCCAATTTGATGTACATAACGCATGGATCAGCAGCCTAGTTATTATCTGGAAACCCTCAAGAAAGCTGTGCATTTGTATCAATCCTAAACCTTTGAACAGAGCACTATATCACAGCCATTACCCACTACCAGCCATTGATTCTGCAGTATGTGACCTATCCCAAGCTAAGGTTTTATCGGTGTTTGATGTAAAAAATGGATTCTGGCGCGTAGAGCTTGACACAGAGTCAAGCTATCTGACCACTTTGGCAGCTCCTTTTGGCATACATCATTGGGTGTGAATGCCAATGGGCATCAACTTCGCCCCTGAACTATTTCTGTGTCGACTGAATCAGGAGCCTGAAAATAATTGCTGATGACATACTAATTGTGGGAGAAGGAGATAGTGGAAAGGCGGCGACAAAAAATCATGACAAAAAAGTTAAGCATGTTTTTTGGAGAGGTGCAGAGATAGAAATATGAAACCAAACCCTGATAAAGTCAGGTTAGGACTAAAGGAAGAGCCTTTTATTGGCCACCTGTTGGCAGCAGAGGGTCAGAAAATGGACCCAGCAAAAGTACTGTAGAAGAAATGTGGATGATGCCAAGACCTATGGATGTTGAGTCCAAAGATTTTTGGGAATGGACCACAGTTTGTCTTGGAACGTTTCAGGGCATTCCAAAAGCAGCGGGAATTTGATCATCTGACATCTTCACCTGCCTGTGCCCAGAGCAAGGTGAAAGCTGAATCAGCCATCAAAATAGCTAAGATAATTTTGACCAAAGCCAGAAAAGCAGGTGCTGATGCAAATCTAGCTATCCTGGACCACCGGAAATAACCTTCACAAGGTTTGGATGGAAGTCCAGCACCACAGAGACTGATGGGTCGAAGGACAAAGACTTTTATTAACAATGAGGGGCCACTTATAATGCAACCAGAGGGCTGCAGCAGAGGATCTGAACTGATTGAACAGAAATTAAGACAGGCATATTAATATGACAGTGGCAGAGCATATGCATCTGTCTGCCACCCAATAGCCTTAAAAACTGCTTTCCCCAAAATTCTTGGGAAAGGGGTAAGTGTGTGTTTTAAGTATGCAGACATTCTAGAGCCAAAGCAGTATAGAGGGCCTTCCAGACAGGTGTTTATTATGGGAAAGGTGCTCCCCCCACCTATGCCTATTTTAATTTTTGCAGTACCTTCACAGCACAGTTGGCATCAAAATGCCAGCCTCTATTCCCGCCCCCATTTAATCCAGATTTACCCTCTCCAGAGGAGATCAGATAAATGGAAAAACCTGTTTTCAACACCCTGTTTGTGATACCTGCATGAACTGTTTACAGTATTAAGCCCCACCCCAAACACAGCCTTGAAGCACCTGGATCACATAAGACTAAAGTCAGCTCACCCTTGGGCTATATGATGTTAAAGAAGCTGGCATAGTGAAGATGAGGGGGTCCCAATCCTCTGCGGCAGCTCAATGGTAGAGCATGCAAAAGGTCTCAGGTGACATCCTCTATGCCTCCAAGAAGGACTGGAGAAAACTCCTGCCTGAAACACCAGAGAATACCACAACACACACGTAACTGGCTATAACGTAACATAACATATATAATAAAACTGTAATCATCATATCAAAAAATTGCAAAGCACAGTTCCTGGTGGCAATACATATCATATTACTATTAACCTTCTGGCTGATCGCCGAAGAATGGATGCTTTTGAATTCTGGTGCTGGAGGAGACTCTTGAGAGTCCCATGGACTTCAAGAAGATCAAACCTCTCCATTCTTAAGGAAATCAGCCCTGAGTGCTCACTGGAAGGACAGATCGTGAAGCTGAGGCTCCAATACTTTGGCCACCTCATGAGAAAACTCCCTGGAAAAGACCCTGATGTTGGGAAAGATTGAGGGCACAAGGAGAAGGGGACGACAGAGGACTAAACGACTAAACAACAACAATGTTTTTATTGTCATAAAGTCCAAGGGTAGTCAAGTCCAAAGATTGTCAAGTCCAACGATTACAATGTACAGTTCCTGTTGGCAATGCCATTTCATACTGATATCTTCCTTCTGCATCATCCTGTGTCTTAAAAGTGAACAAACAAACTTGCCTTCTGCATAGTCCTATGTCTTGAGAGTATAACAAACAGAACTGCTTAGTAGCAATAAGGCAGCTGATGATAGACCAGTTCTCAGGATAAACCCTTGTTTCACCCATTGGGCTTCTTCAGTGACAAGGTATCCAGATTTTTCAGTAGGTTTTTTCAGCTGAAATAGTCCACAGGAAGGCAGAAGTTGCCAGTCAGAGACGCTCCGTATCAATGATCATTGAAACTAAGCTATATAGGAGCAATCCCTGCAATGGGGCAGGTGCAGGCAATTAGAATTAAATATTTTTAAAGAGACCTAATCGCAATGATACCCAACTGATGGAAATCTAATATGTTAAGTATTCCACAGCTACATTTATATACACTATTACAACTTTATCAAACTTATTCAGTGAGGCTTAATCATCAATGAATCCCATCTGGCAAATGGTCATTGCCGTCTCCACTTCCTAATATTGATCGTAAAAGTATAAATTAATCTTGTGATGTGTGCTGAAGCACCAGGGAGGCACTGCCACTCGCAGTAGACTGAATTCAATGGGCCAGTGGTCTGACTCAGTATTAAAGGCATCTTTCTATGTTCCTAAGTAAGGCGCTGTGTAATCGAGGCCTCACAAAATCATCTTATTGTTCTTCTTTGCTCTACTGCTCACTGCTAGAGGTGTCTTAGGTGAATGCAGGTAGAAGAAAAGCAATTGAGGGCCAAGTTGGAGATGATGTTAATAAATTTGTCTTTGCTCTTAACTGTGCAGGTGTTTGTTCGTTTGTTTGTTTTTAAAAAATGCAAATCGTATTAGATGGGGGCAGCTGATCATTACTGGGATCTTAGAAGAAGGCAAGAAGGAAGGACGTCATTCTTTTCTCTCCCTCCGCTTGCAGGTTGGGGTGGCTTGCAGCAATATATATGTACATCTCACTGGTGCTTGGTTTCCCCCAGGAAAATGCCAGCCCCCTGGCTCCACCTTTGCCGCGGTTCTTGCTAACAGAATTCTCCAACCCCGTGTTTGAGGAGGACGGCGAGGCACCAGCCCAGAGTCAGCCGGACGTTGAGAACAGAAACAGCACCAAACTCTCCGCCAATGGCTTTGGTATCATCAACTGGGAAAGGAAGGAGGGAGCGGGTGAAGACATTGGCAAGGCCCCTCTAGGCAGATCTATGTTTGAGGGTGTTAGCATGAGTGAAACAGAGCCAAGTGGTCCAGTGGGGGAATCCTTTCAAGGCAAAGGTGTTTGGGGAGCCTTTTGAGCCATAGGCCAGGGGTAGAGGAATTTTTTTCCCAGCGGGGTGGGGAGGCATATTCCCTTCTGGGTAAATTTTCAGGGGCTACATGCTAATAGCTGGAAGGGCTAGAGGCTCAGGCGTGAATTTTACCTTTGTGCTGTAGATTAGCACTCCTCTACATCCTCCAACATCAAAGCAAGCAAGAATTACCATCAGAGTTCAAGGACACATTCCAGCCAGGCAGAAACACTTGAGGAGGGTGCAAGGCAGAGACAATGAAGTATGTGGCCTGAGGACAAGGGGATGTGTCTGGGGAGATTCCCATGGGACAGTCGGTGATGGAGAAACTGCCAACCAAGAGTAGCAAGCAGTGCTGCTAAGCTACAGAAGAATGAATTTATTATTTTGGTCACAGGCCAGTTCCAGCCCACATACAATATCAAGGAAGTCATAAAACATGATAGGGATACATTTGAATTTGCAATTAGGTATAACAGGGACAATACAGATATAGCAACAGTTTAAAAAATATAAATTAAAACTTAGTCACTAAAATTATCATTTAAGGCCCTTAATCATTATGATAGCACAGCTTGTCCCCTAAGTTTTATGGCAATCGCACAGAATTTGGCTACCCTTAATGTGATCTCAGGATCCTTGTCCTCTACCAGGGATTTTAAACATTGAAGTTTGGATTCATTTGGAGATTTTTGCATAGCAGGGGTAATAAATACCGAGTGTATATCCCGTAGAAATGGCAGCGTAACAAGGCATGGAAGACAGTTTCTGCCTCCATAAAGCAGCAGGGGCAGACTCGTTGCGCATATGGTTTCGCCTCGAATCTGCCCTGCAAAAAGGCAGATGGCAGCACAAAGCTACAGAAGAAGTGTGTGCAGGATGCAGTCATAGATAACATCAGGGACTGCTCCAGTCAGAACTGTTGCCTGCTCCTCACCCACCACTTCCATTTAGCATCTTACCACTTTTTAAAACTGCAAACTGCCTTGGGTGCATTGCATTCATAGAAATGCAATCATTTTTTTTTAATGATATTTATTAGAATTTCAGAAAAAAAGAATTACACAAAAACAAGAAGTAAAAATACAAGAAAAATACAAAATACAGAATAAAAGAATAAAAAAACACTTAAAAAGAAAAAAAGAAAAATAGATCAATTTTTCCATAGCTTACATTCATATCCTTGTTTCCCTGACCTCCTCATACCTCCCTTTTTTGTATTCCAGTTCAATTAGTTAAGTCAGCAATTTCTTTCCCTCTTTATTTTCTCATGGTCCTTTAACTTAATATACTATGACTTTAAATTTTCACCTGTTATCAATCCTTTTTTACATACACCTTTATAGCATTACTGCTTAAACCACCTAACTTCATTCCAACATCATTCTAACATTCATTAATTTTGCAATATTTCTGTAAATAGTCTTTAAATTTCTTCCAATCTTCTTCCACTGACTCTTCTCCCTGGTCTCGGATTCTGCCAGTCATTTCCGCCAATTCCATGTAGTCCATCACCTTCATCTGCCATTCTTCCAGAGTGGGTAGGTCTTGTGTCTTCCAATACTTTGCAGTAAGTATTCTTGCTGCTGTTGTGGCATACATAAAGAAAGTTCTATCCTTCTTTAACACCAGTTGGCCGACTATGCCCAGGAGAAAGGCCTCTGGTTTCTTCAAGAAGGTATATTTAAATACCTTTTTCAATTCATTATAAATCATCTCCCAGAAAGCCTTAATCCTTGGGCACGTCCACCAAAGGTGAAAGAATGTACCTTCAGTTTCTTTACATTTCCAACATTTATTATCGGGCAAATGATAGATTTTTGCAAGCTTGACTGGTGTCATGTACCACCTGTATATCATTTTCATAATATTCTCTCTTAAGGCATTGCATGCCGTAAACTTCATACCTGTGGTCCATAACTGTTCCCAGCCACCTTGGGGTTTTATTTTCCAATAAGTCCTTATATCTTATCCAAACATTAAACAATGCTTTCCTGACAATATGGTTTTTGAATGCTTTATGTGCTTTGACCTTATCATACCACAGATATGCATGCCATCCAAATACATTGTTAAAACCTTCTAAATCCAAAATGTCTGTGTTTTCAAGAAGCAGCCATTCTTTCAACCAGCAAAAAGCTGCTGATTCATAGTAAAGTTTAAAGTCTGGCAGGGCAAATCCACCTCTTTCCTTTGCATCTGTTAGTATTTTAAATTTTATTCTAGGCTTCTTGCCCTGCCAGACAAATCTAGAAATATCTCTCTGCCACTTCTTGAAACAGTCCATTTTGTCCACAATTTGCAATGTTTGAAACAAAAACAACATTCTAGGCAATACATTCATTTTTATCGCAGCAATACGACCCAGCAGTGAAAGCTTCAAATTTGACCAAATTTCTAAATCTTTTTCACTTCGGCCCAGCATTTTTCATAGTTGTCTTTAAATAAATTCCCATTTTTTGCTGTCATGTTAATCCCCGGGTATTTCACTTTCTTAACCACTGTTAAGCCTGTCTCATTCTGAAACCTCTCTCTCTCAATTGGTGTTAAGTTTTTCTCTAAAACCTTGGTTTTTAACTTATTCAGTTTGAATCCTGCAACCTGACCAAATTCTTGAATCAGTTCTAAAACCCTTTTGGTACTAGATTCTGGCTCCTGTAACGTCAATACTAAGTCATCTGCAAATGCTCTCAATTTGTACTGTTTGGTTCCGACTTGTATACCTTTAACCAACTGGTCCCTTCTAATCATATTCAGCAAAACCTCCAGGACCGATATAAAAAGCAATGGGGAGATTGGGCAACCTTGTCGTGTCCCTTTTTCTATCTTAAATTCTTCCGTCACCACATTATTTACAATTAATTTAGCCTTTTTTTTCTGAATATATTGCACTTATACCGTTTTCAAAGCCTTGGCCTACCCCCATACCCTGTAAGTTCTTCTTCATAAAACTCCAAGAAATGTTGTCAAAAGCTTTCTCCGCGTCCACAAATATTAAAACTGCCTTAGTATTTATATTCACTTGTAATTTTTCTAAAATATTGATTATGTTTCTCACATTGTCAGATAGATGTCTACCCGGAGAAAGCCTGCTTGGTCTTTATGTATCTCTTCCACTAACACTCTTTTTAGTCTTTTAGCCAAGATGTCTGCAAAAATTTTGTAATCCACATTGAGCAGTGATATGGGGCGGTAGTTCTTAAGCTGCGTCTTTTCAGTCTCTGTTTTTGGTACAAGTGTGATATACGCTTCTTTCCACGACTCTGGTGCCCTTTTCCCATCCATTATTTCATTACAGACTTCTTTTAAAGGTTGTACTAACCATTCTTTTAAAGATCTGTAGTATCTAGAAGTCAGTCCATCCGGTCCTGGAGATTTACCTAATTGCATATTCTGAATGGCACCTTCTATCTCCTGTTCAGTTATTTTATAGTTCAACATTAATTTATTTTCTTGAGAGATTTTTTTGTAATCCATTTGTTTTCAAAAATCGGTCTACGTCAATTTCTTTCTGTGGCCCTTGTGTATATAGTTGTTTAAAGTACCTCTGGAAACAATTTCTAATCTCGGCTGGGTTCTGTATATTCCTTCCTTCCACTTCTAGATTTGTAACTGTATTTAATTTTTGTCTTTTTTTCATTTGCCAAGCCAACAATTTCCCACATTTATTAGCCGACTCAAATGTCTTTTGTCTCATTTGTTTAATTTTCCATTCTATCTCCTGATTCATCATTTTCATGTATTGTACTTGATGTAACTTTATTTCTCTCAAAATCTCTTGCGACTTTGGTTTTGCTCTCAATTTCTTTTCACTTTCCTTTATTTTCTCCAAAATTTTATCCTTCTTCTCATTTTGGATTCTCTTCTTTAATGCGTTCTGTTGTATCAAGAACCCTCTCATAACAGCTTTGCTTGCGTCCCAGATTACTCTTTTTTCCACATTGGTGTTCATATTTATCTCAAAATAATCTCTCAAGGTTTTTTTTGGGCCTTCTTAAACACTTCTTCATCTCTAAATAAGGTGTCATTCATCCTCCATCTGAAGGAACCAGTTGGTGTTAGTTTCATCTCCATCTTCACAGCATTATGGTCGGAGCAGGTTTTGGGCAGATTTCCACTTTTCTTGTCTTTGGTGCCATTCCTCTAGTTACCCATATTTGGTCAATTCTTGTCCATGTCAGTTTGGCTTCAGAGAAGAAGGTTCCCTCTCTGGCCAAGGGATTCTTTGTTCTCCAGATATCAACTAAGTCCAAGTTGTCTGTCATCTCAAAAAAAGTTTTCGGTAGTCTGCCGTCCTTAGTGACTACCTGTCTTTGTGCCTTGTCCATGTGTGTAGATACCACTCCATTCATGTCTCCCATCAAAATCACATTATAATCCAAATAGTCCATCAAGGTCTCATGCAACTTTTTAAAAAATTCAGATTTCCCCTCATTTGGTGCATAAACTCCCACTATCAAAAATTTCTCTCCTTGTGTTTGAATTTCAATTGCCACAAATCTTCCTTGGTCATCTTTGAAGATAAATTTCGGTAATAGTCTCTCCTTTGCGTAAATCACTACCCCTCTTTTTTTAACCTTGTCCAATGAAATAAACTCCTGACCCAGTCTTTTATTAATCAGTAGTTTCCTGTGTAGCCTTGTTACATGTGTTTCTTGTAGACAAATCAAGTCCAGTTGTTCCTTTTTTAATAAATGAAACACAGATTTCCTTTTCTGAGGGGAGTTCAAACCATTACAATTCCAGCTTAATAGTTGCAGAGCCATGATGTAGTTACTTTGCTTCTCCTCCAACTGCACCCAGTGCCTGTTCCTGATCCGTCGGTGGTATCACCTTCTCCAGGCGGTCTTTTAGGTCAGGAGGTAAACTTGGTATGTCTAAAGTTTCACTTACTAGTGCTCTTAACTCTTCTGCAGCTTCCTTCTGCAGGTCTTCTCTGTGGTCTCTCCAAAATCTATCTTTGTCGTCCTCTGATCTTATTTTTATCTTCTTCCCTTTGTAACTAAAGGATAGGCCTTGGGGGAATTCCCACCTAAAGATGATTCCGTTACTTCTCAACAGGGCAACCAAATCTCTATAATTGGACCTAAGGTCCAAAAGATGTTTCGGAATGTCCTTAAAAATCTCCACTTTTGACTGGTGTATTTCCAAAGTCTTCTGGAAGTGCAGACTCAAGATTTTGTCTCTCTCCTCTTTTGTTCGGAGGGTGATCAAACAGTCTCTCACCCTGTTCTTCTTCCCTCCTCTTCCAAGCCTGAAGGCACTCACTATCTTGAAGTTATCCTTTTCCAAATCTGGGTTCCAAAAGTCTACAAATTCCTGCAGTGAGAAAATCAGTCAAGTTGTCTTTCTCAAGTTTGGGTATGGCCCTGATCCTTAAATTCGTTTGCTCAATCATAGACAACTCAATCATAGACAATATTGACCTGTGGTCTTCAAGTTGTTTGTGTATCGGTGGTATCTTCTCTTCTACAACAGTGGCTGTAGCAGTTGCTATTTCCTTTGCCTCTTCAGCTGTCTTTCGTGTCGAGGTAGATTCCTGTAGTAATTTCTGAATAGTTTCTGTGTTGGTATTTACCTTCTGTCCCAAATTATTAATACTTGTAGTGTTTTGGTCAATTTTGCCCGATGCCTCGGCTACTTGTTTACTTATTCTTTCCAAAGATTCGTTGATTTTACCTAGTGCCTGAGCCAAAGCATCTTCAGCTGCCATTCCTTTGGGTTTAGGTTGTGCCGATGAGGCTACTGTTGGTAATCCAGAAGGGCCAGATGTCGATGCTCTTCGTTGCAGCCCACCGTCTGTGCGAAATAGTCTGCCAGACCTCGTTGTTTTTTCCTGTAACAAATCTATCTTCTCCTTTCCATCTGCCATAACCCTCAAGATAAAACCCAAGGTCAGTCTCACGATCAGAAATTGTTTTGAAGTGGAAAATTCCCCTGGCCCAGCTGTTATTGTAACAATTTCAAACTTCCTCTAGGGGGACACAGTAGCAATCAAAAATGTCTTAAAGTAATTAACTTTTTTTCCTTTAGCCCCCCAATTCACAGAAAGGACAACAGTTTCAATCTCCGTTATTTTCTGTTACTTTAAAACCAGGAGAAGCCAGTCAGAAATATTGTATCTTACTTGTATCTCAGATGCAGAGTTAACTGTCAAAGAGTACTTTCAGCAACAGCGCATTTCACAATACGGCATTCTTACTGTTCACTGGCAACCCGTTCCCGGGTTTTGAGCGGTGGGTTTTAGCTTCTTTTCCTCTCTTTTTGCAGGGAAATACAGTTCAGACCTTTCCCCCCTCCTCCCCTGCAATCAAGGGGGGGAAATTGCTTATTTGATGTTGGAATTATAATCCTTTTCCGACGTCTTTTAAGGTTTCCGCTTACAAGTTCATTGCTTTACTCCATTTACAAGAATGGAAGGCAGACGTCCTGTTTATGCCTCTCCGCTTCGGTGCCAGACCTTAAACTTTATTATGAATCAGCAGCTTTTTGCTGGCTGAAAGAATGGCTGCTTCTTGAAAACACAGACATTTAGGATTTAGAAGGCTTTAATAATGTATTTGGATGGCATGCATATTTGTGGTATGATAAGGTCAAAGCACATAAAGCATTTAAGAATCATATTGTCAGGAAAGAATTGTTTAATGTCTGGATAAGATATAAGGATTTATTGGAAAACAAAACCCCAAGGTGGCTGTCACCGATGGAAGCAAAAGCACAGAAAAAGCTCAATATGGAGGCCAAATGGCCGAAATATTGGGAAATTTTGGAACAAGAGGGAGATAGACTGAAATTGCAGAGTTTCGAGAAACTAAAAAACAAAGTGTGAGATTGGCTTCATTATTATCAGATAATGGAGACATATAATTTGGACAAGAAAATTGGCTTCCAGGTGGAAAAATCAAAATTAGAAACAGAACTGTTAGAACCCAAAACTAAGATTTTGTCAAAGATGTATAACTTGCTGTTGAAATGGAATACTCAGGATGAAACGGTGAAATCTGCTATGATTAAATGGGCACAAGATGTTGGACATAACATAATGATGGCTGACTGGGAACAGTTATGGACCACAGGTATGAAGTTTACGGCATGCAATGCCTTAAGAGAGAATATTATGAAAATGATATACAGGTGGTACATGACACCAGTCAAGCTTGCAAAAATCTATCATTTGCCCGATAATAAATGTTGGAAATGCAAAGAAACTGAAGGTACATTCTTTCACCTTTGGTGGACGTGCCCAAGGATTAAGGCTTTCTGGGAGATGATCTATAATGAATTGAAAAAGGTATTTAAATATACCTTCTTGAAGAAACCAGAGGCCTTTCTTCTGGGCATAGTCGGCCAATTGGTGCCAAAGAAGGACAGAATTTTCTTTATGTATGCCACAACAGCAGCAAGAATACTCATTGCAAAGTATTGGAAGACACAAGATCTACCCACTCTGGAAGAATGGCAGATGAAGGTGATGGACTGTATGGAACTGGCGGAAATGACTGGCAGAATCCGAGACCAGGGAGAAGAGTCGGTGGAAGAGGATTGGAAGAAATTTAAAGACTATTTACAGAAATATTGTAAAATTAATGAATGTTGGATAGAAAGTAGGTGGTTTCAAGCTGTAATACTATAAGGGAATATGAAAAATGGATTACCAACAGATAAAAATTTAACGTTATAATATTTTAAGATTAAAGACTAGGATAAACAAAGAGGGGAAGGATTTGCTGAACCAACAAACTGAACTGGAATACAAAAAAGGAGGCGTGAGGAGGTCCGGGAAACAAGGTAATGAAAAATAAGTAATGGAAAGATTGAGTTGTTTTTAACTATTTTTATTTTGTATTTTTCTTTTTTCTATTTTTCTTTTGTAATATTTTGAAAATTTCAATAAATATCTTATTAAAAAAAAAAAAATTGTCCCAGGAAAAAGGCAGCGCTCTCTGGTAACGGCTGTGCGGCTTCGCTCCACGGAAGAAACAGTTGGCTCACAGCACCGCGCCACTTCCCCGCTCCGCTCTGGAACCCGTAGTCGGGCTCCTTTGCCAGTTGGGGGGGCGCGAAAGGTGCCCACCGAGTCCCACGGTCACAGGCTTCACCCGCCTGTGATTTTTGAAGGGTCCCCGCTTCGCCGTAGCGGTGCAGACCCGATTTCCGCAGAGCCGGTTCCCTCCAAGTCAGAGGGAATCCGCCATTACCGATGGCGCCACCCCGGAAGTCTCCCATAGAAATGCAATCAATAGATAGATAGACAGATAGCCAAATAGCTTCACTTGTCTGAGGCAACTTCCTACGTTCCTGTTGCAGGGTAGTGTGGTGGTGGTGGTGGTACAGGGGAGGATGCTGGGAGGTGTCTGTGCCATGACTGTGACTCTCCGCTCCTGCTTCTGTGCCTGCAGCCCAACAGGTCCGGGACATGGCAAGCAGGAAGTTCAAGCCAGACTGCAAGTTCTCCTGGCTCTGTGTGGCCATTCTCAGCACGGTGCTTCTCCTCCTCCTGGCCTTATTAGTGGGCATCATCATTGCATCCCGTAAGTTCCAGGCACCAAGACCTGTCCGGAATTCTTCCAGAGAGGGTGGGCCCCTCCTGCTTTCCCCAGAAAGTACTTCTTTCTGCCCTCATCAACCAACCAACCCCCCTCCCCCCCCTTTAAGGCAGAGCTGGAAGATCTAATAGAAGCAGGGTAGTCAACATGGTGCCCTCCAGATGTTTTCTATATTTATTTAGTTGTTTACTGCATTTGTCTTGGCAATTTACATCCTGTTTAGTTGCGGTAGTTTCAAAGTCGTGTACAAGGACTCAGTGCAAGATGAAAATCAGTTAAAACTATGAAATTCAGTATCTGGCCTCCTTATTTACTTCTTATAAGCTGTTTCCTTTATAAATAATTATTAAGTTTTTACTAATTATAACTTAAATAGCCAGATACAGGATAAAGGAAGTATTTTATTTGGTTGTTTGTATTGTTGTATGTTATGCTTATTGTATGCTATGTTCACGTTTAATGAGGGTGGATTTCTGTATTGGGGGGTGAGGGGTTTATGTTATGTTGTAAGTAAAATTTCCAATAAAATTTTAAAATTAAAAAAAAACAACTATGAAATTCAGTTAAAATGCCTTCTGGGGTTTTAAGGAAGTCTACAGTAGGCACTGTAGATTCAACAAGGAGGGGGGTCTGTCTGAGCTCAGCTGGAAAGGAGGTTCATAAAAGTAGGCCCACAACATTGGATATAAGCTGTGTGTCTGAGCGATGTTGTGGGTCTCTGTCCAACTCTCAGCACCCATAACAAACCGCAGTTCCCAGGATTATGTAGGGGACGCCGTGGTTGTTCCAAGTGGTATAATACCTCTTTAAATTTATAGCACAGGCTGGGCCATGGTGGCTCTCCTGAAGTCCTCAGTGATTGGACAGGAATATAATGACTCACACTGCTCCCCCCCCCAGTGAAGTTTAGTTTCCCCCCTTACAGAGTTGCAGTTCTCAGCATCTTTAACTACGGTTCCTTGGGTTCTTTGGAGGGGAAGCAATGTGCTTCAAATGCATGTTGGATGTGCTTTGAATGTATATTTGGTCCACAGTAGATGGGCCAAAGGTCTGGTTCTGAATAAAGCAGCTTCCTAACTCTGCTTGAGGGTGGAGAGGCAAACCTCAGCCACTCTCATCCCTTGTAAATTCTCTTTCTATGGCAGCAGAGCTGAAGTCCCACCATCCCGTCAAACCCTCGCTCGGGGCTTCTCATGCCCACACCATCGCCGCTACCTCAACTCCCATCACCAGGACCTCGCCAAGCCCCCAGCCCACAGGGACGCTATCCCTGGGAGGAGAGTCGCCTGTTACCACAATGCCAGCACCTCGTGAGTAGACAGCTGAGGCCAGAGTTGTTTCCCCGCCTGCCTTTAGAAGCATGAGCCCTACCCATTGTGTGGGGGGTGCCTGCTTTCCATTTGGTACAATGAACAGCCACAGAGTTGAGACTCTGTTACCCACCCCTGACAGGTGGCCCCTGGAAAGTTGCCCAGAAGGGAATGTGGCCCTCAGCCTTCAAAGGATTACTCATTCCTACTGTAAATCCACTCGACGTGTCTGTTACATACTGAAGTTCTCACCCTGGGCCAGCAGGGGGATACTGTAGATAGTTTTCACTCAGGTCCACATATGCAAATAAGGAATTGAATATGATGTTCAGTGATTGGATAGTTACAGAAAGTTGTTACTGTTGCGTTGTGGTGGAGCTCTATATAAGCAGGCTGGCTGAACCCTTCAGTTCAGTTCTGTTCTGGGTCTGTGAATAAACAAGAGCTGTTTGAAGAATCGCTGTGTCGTCTGATATGTTCACCCACAACTTAACAGTGTCATCGTTGTTGTTGTTGTTTTCCCCATGTACAGTATGTGGAGGGATCCTGCTTGGCCCCAAGGGCACCTTCAGCTCCCCCAATTACCCAGCCCCCTACCCCCCAAACATCTTGTGCAAGTGGCACATCCGGGTGACGGCAGGGATGGCGATCCAGCTGAAGGTGGAGGAGCTAGACATTGAGAGTTCTGCCTCATGCCTGTATGACCGGCTGGAGATATTCAAGGAGCAGGATGCTTCTTCATTGTGGGATGGGAGTACCAGGTAAAGTGCCATCGTCCTATGGTTTATTTCAAATTGACTTTATTTTTAATTGCACTGTTTTGCTGCTCTGTCCTTTGGGAGGAAGGGCAGGATATATCCTCTGACCATTCCCACCCCTTTTCCCTCCCAGGGGGCCATGGGAAAGCGCTAGCTATTTTTCCCTTGGCTCCCTTTTTAAACAGGTGGCTTTTGCAGGTACTGTGGCTCTGTGGCACCGGCAACGATCAACACCAACTCCAGCCAGCTTCAGGTCATCTTTGTCTCAGATGACAACATTGCTCCCTCGGGCTTCACTGCCTGGTATCGGGCCGTTCTGCCCAGTGAAAGTAAGTGAATCCAGGTGGTGTGGAGGTGGCGGGGGCAGAGAGCAATTCTCTTAGGGGGTTGAAAGAGATCCTTCCAAGCGTTTTATTCCAAGTACTGGGTAGTGCTGGTGATTTGGGGAATGTATTATTACTTGGTTGCTAGACCCATTGACTTGCCGATCAGAAGGTCGGTGGTTCGAATCCCCACAACAGGGTGAGCTCCCGTTGCTCGGTCCCTGCTCCTGCCAACCTAGCAGTTTGAAAGCACGTCAAGTGCAAGTAGATAAATAGGTACCGCTCCTGCAGGAAGGTAAACAGTGTTTCCGTGCGTTGCTCTGGTTCGCCAGAAGTGGCTTAGTCATGCTGGCCACACGACCCGGAAGCTGTACGCCGGCTCCCTTGGCCGATAAAGCGAGATGAACGCCGCAACCCCAGAGTTGGCCATGACTGGACCTAATGGTCAGGGGTCCCTGACCCATTGAAGCTAGTGGAGAAGACTAAATTAGGTTTGTTCATTTCAGTGTGATGAACCTAACCTAAGTTAGGTTCATTCATTTCAAGGAGATGGGAGAAGCCATGGCGCTTTTGACCAGTTCCAAAACAAGTCTCAAGCCAGTTGGAATCCTTAGCTTCTTGTCCTCCAGGGGTGTTTGTCTGTTCCAGAGAACTGTTCCTGGGATGAGTTTCTCTGTGACCAGGGGCTCTGCCTCCACTCGGCCTACGTGTGTGACGGTTATCACGACTGCCATGACAAGAGAGATGAAGCCAACTGTAGCACAAAGCACAAAGGTACAGTGCAACAGCCAGCACAGCTGACCCCCAGTGTTGTTGTGGGGCAGACGAATTATTGGTAGGGAGGCATTGCAAAGGGGAGGCAAATGCCAATACTGGAGAAATGAGCTCCAAACCAAATTTGAGCTTCCCTTTCTATGGGTGGAGCAGTTAAGAACATCCAGAATTTCTCTTTATTCTGGTCCACGTTTTTACTGGAGCTGACCTAATTTGCACCTCTCAGGTAAATGCATGGGATTGTCCCCAGGGCTAATCTCCGACCAGAGCCGGCCCAACCATGACACAAGGTGAAGCAGCCGCCTCAGGCAGCGGAAGTACAAGAGGTGGTGCTGTATCTACCCCACTGTTTCCATTGCTGAGAGGGAGGCATTCCAACTAATTCTAACCCTCTCAGAGCTACCATTTCCAGAGTTCCTTCAGAAGAGTGATTGACTGTTAAACCACTCTGGAAATTGTAGCTCTGCGAGGGAAATAGGGGGTTGGTTAACTCTCAGCACTCTTACCATACTACAGTTCTCAGGATTCTCTTGGGGAAGGCATGACGGCTGTTTAAAGTGATATGATACTGCTCTAAAAGAATAGTTCAGACACAGGAGGGGGGTGGGCTTAGCACTGTCTGTTTCAAAATAGAACTGGGGAGGGGGCTTCTATGTGAAGTGGTTTGGCCAGGTTCCCAAATCTGTTACTGGAATCTGATTGGACATGCTGGAAATGAGGAGTTTAATAGTTCAGCAGTATCGCTCTGCGCAACTATTAAGAGTGTAGGACCGCTCTCCTGTTTTTCATCTGAAATAGCTATGAGAGTTGCAAAGAATTTGCCTCTCATTGTGAGAAGAAGCAAAGTACAACAGGAAAAGAGAGAGAGAGAGAGAGCAGAGGGAAAAATCACTTGGATATCCTTGGTGCCAATAATGCAAGCCCATCCATCACCACAATATGTGTGTTTCCTTACAGGTTGTGGAGGGACCCTCACCAGCATGGAAGGGCAATTATTCTCCCCAAATTACCCACAGCCATACCCACATCTGCAGGTGAGTGGCGACTTGAGATGTATTGTGGACCACACTACCTTGCATGCACCCAGCAGAGCTGGGCAGTGGTGCTTTTACCTTGCAGCAATGCAATGCCCTAATAAGTGGCAGAATCTGAAGCAGTCCAGTGTCAGTTCTTGGAAAGCCACTGCAACTGTGGGACTTTTGAGAAATTTTCAGTAGAGAACGCGTGGTAGTTCAGACCCTGCAATCCTCTAATAATAAATGTGGGCATGTGAGTGGGATGGATGTGTAAATGTGGCTTTATAATAATAATAGAATAATAATTTATTATTTATACCCCGCCCATCTGGCTGGGCTTCCCCAGCCACTCTGGGCGGCTTCCAACAAAATATCAAAACACCGTAATGCATCAAACATTAAAAGCTTTGGCTCACCCTAGTGGCAGAATGTAGCTCCTGGATGAATAGTTAGTTGCTTGGGAATGTTAAGATTCTCCACCTCTGTATTGTTAGAGGCTTATTGCATTGCTGAGAGGGGAAGAGTCACATGTAAAAGAATCTCTGCCCAGCCCTTGGGCTGGAACGACGTTTGCACACAAGTTCAAAATGTAGCAAAGTTCCAGAACCTAAATTTGTGCTTGGGGAAAGGACTGTAGCTCATTAGCAGAGCTTCAGCCTTGCATGTAGAAGTTCCCCGGTAGGTTCAGCCCCCAGCAATGGAGGTTTGTCCATTGGGGCAAATTGGACATTGTCATAACAACCTCAGCCTGCTCCTTATGAACCCCCATATATATGCCTGTCTTCTTACTTACTTCCAGCCCAGTGGACAGCATGGACTATCAGCTTCCTCCTATTTGGTCTCACTGTTTGTTTATTTTTTGTTTTATTTTATTTAGAGCATTTGTGCCCCATTCTTTAGCCAAAGGCACACCTAGAGTGGCTTACAAGCAACCTATTAAAGCAAGACAGTCCCTGCTTGCAAGCTTACAATCTTGAAACAAAACAAAACACGACACACAAGAGAAAGGAACAAGAAAAACTAAAACTCAAGCACTGGTTCTGGTTGCTCTGTAATGACCTGCTGGCACAGTTTAGCAGCAGGAGGTGCCTGATACTGCTGGTCATACAGCAAAGCTGATGGGATGAGCTCCCCATCTTTCTCACTGATGAATGGCTTCAGTTTTGAAAGTCAGCAGCGGGGAGGATGATGGCAGAACTAGAGACTAATTGTCTGTGCCTCTCACAGACTCTGCCACCTGCCCCACCAGAATCGATTAACCCCAGCCATTGGTGGTCTCCCCAGCATCCCCAGGAAGGTCTGGGAGAGAACTCCCTGCCTGAAACCCTGGACAGCAGCTTCCAATCATTGCAGACAACACTGAGCTTGGGATAAGGCAGTTTCCTGCATGTCTCTGAGAAGGCAGGAGATGTCCCAGGAGAGCTGCTGCCAGCCAGAGCAGACAATACTGAGCTAAATGGTCCAATGGTCCGACTCAGAATAAGATGGCTTCCTAGGAACCTGAGATCTGAGTAGAAAGAAACCCTCCATAGTCCAGCTCTTATACTGCCAGGCTGAGCCACGCTAGGAGCTCCCCTATCGTGTACAGTAGACCTCCCAGACCTGCCTTTCTCTTCCAGCTCTGCCTCTGGCATATCTCAGTGCCTGTGGGCCACGTGGTGGACTTGCATTTCCACAACTTCAGCCTCGAGTCCCAGGAGGAGTGCAACTATGACTTTGTGGAGGTGTACGATAGCGCTGGGATGGGAGCAACCAGCGTCATGGGCAGGTATGGTGGTCTTTCATCCCACCCACCCCCACCCTCCAGTAACGCTAGTGAATTCAAACTGTTACCATGGTCAGAACCCAACAATTCCCAGAAGTTTCATGAAAATATATGGAGAGCCTGACTGCAGAATCGGGACAAAGGGGGCCAGTCCAATCCAGTGTCCTACTTGCATGGTCAACCAGATGAGAAGTCCTCTTTTAAAGCCATCCAGATTGATGGCCATCACTACATCTTGTCACTGTGAATTCTGTGATTTAGCCCTGCACCATGTTAAGAAGTCCTTCCTTCTGCCTGTCCTGAGTCTTCCAACCTTTGACTTCATCAGATTTCCACAGGTTCTAATATTTTGACTGAGGGAGAAATGCTTTTTTCCTCTCTGCTTTCCCCACAATGCCTTTCCCTGTCCACTGTGAATAATGTATACACATTTCAATGGAAGTTTTTCACCAGAAGAGGGAGCCTCTGGCCTAGGTCTATGCTGCAATCCAGAAACCACTAGCACAGTAACCAGTGTGGCAGCTCTCAGGTGACACAAAGGGACCAATCAGGTCTTCCTTGCTCTATCCTATATGCAAATAGCAAACTCATTTACTGAATGTTGATCATTTTGTAGTCCCAATGGCACCGTCTGCTCTCAAGAGCGGGTGATTAGGTCTTTCGGGGGAAACCCCAAGGTGCACAGAATTGCCATATATATCCCTCCAGCATCTTGAGTCCCCAAACTGGGATGCACATCTTCCCATCTGTGCTTCCACACCAAGTCATGTATCCGTGCGAGATCACAGAGGCCAAAAGATGCCACATTGAGACCATAGCCCCAATAAAAGAATTTTTTGGGGGCAACATCTCTGCGTGAAATTGTGTGGTATCACAGCACCCAAAATGGCCACCAAGCTCTCATGGGAAAACCTAGGATGTCCCAGTTTTTCCAGGACACTTGCAGGGTGTGATGAATTTAAAGGGGTGAGAGGAAATTAAAGGAGAACCCCTCCAAAATAAAACACACTCAAGCCCGTAGAATACTGAGCATGCTCAGTGGGAACAGAATGCTGAGTATGGACAGGAATGGAAAACCAGGTGGAAGGGGAATGGAATAGAGTAGCCTAGAACGTGTTATGTTTGGAACCCTGAGCAGGAGCATTTCACGCAGCAACATTTTACTACAGACCCCAGTTGTAAAGCCTCTGATCCTGATCTGGTCCTTAATCGGAGTGACTTCTCTTTCTGGCTGGGCATCCCGTGTGTGTGTGTGTGTGTGTGTGTGTGTGTGTGTGTGTGTGTTAGAACTGGGTGCTTTGTTAAAAGTCACTTTCCCCTTCCTCTTTTTGCAGGTTCTGCAGCTCTAACTTGCCCCCTGTCCTGACCTCCTCACAGCACGTCATGACAGTCCTCTTTGTGGCGGACGAAGGAATAGCTGACAATGGGTTCTTTGCCACTTACCATGCCCACAACGCCACGGAAAGTAGGTGATGGTGGCTCCTGGCACCTTTGTCTACCGCCAGCTGAGGTAGAATGGGCCAGCCAGCTCTCTCTTCAACATTTGTTTACCACCAGCCCCTGCTTACACATTATCTCCTGGAGCTTCTCCCCTCCCCACGTGGGCCTCAGAAAGGGGCAGCACTCTGCCCATCCTCAGAGGCACCCTCCTCTTTTAAAATTGTTACCTCCCATTATAAAGAGAAGACACTTTTCCAGATCTCTGGGATTCCAGCCAAACTTTCTTAAATTGGGGGGGAGGTTGAAGTATAAAGACATTTTGGTTTTAAAACTAAGCCATGTTTTTTCCCCTACCTCACCACCAATCCCAAACACTTGCCTTGATATCCAGCCTGATGAAGCATTCTGGTGCACTCAGAAGCTTGCGCACTATTCTGTAACATTACGGTTGTTTGCAGTAAAGGGACTTTGGAATCTTTCGAATCAAGAATGGTAGCTTGACCCTTAGCTGTGCATGCTGGCCTAACCTCCCGCTCTTCCTCTCCTTATCAGCATGTTGGGTGGGCTTTTTCTCTGAGAAAATCCAATTGATTTGGCATGTGGAGGGTCGGGAAATGTTTTCCTTGCTGTTGAATAAGTGGGGGTGGGACGTCATCCCTGCTCCCCCGAATGACTGCTGGCCACATACCTTCCCTTCTGTCTCTGTTAACAGAAAGTGTTAGAAGTCACAGTGGCTGGTCCCCACTGTGACTGGTAGGGCAGCAATAAGGGAGGCCAACAGTTGGTGGCGCCAGAGCCAATGATGGATAAGAGACAGAGCAGATCCAGCTCATTCTACTCTTGTCTGTATCCTCCTCTCTGCTGAGTTCTACAAAGGCAGCACTGAGACTAAGGAGGAGGTTGACAGGACTGCTTGTAAGTAAGAAGGCAGGCAGGTAGAAGAAGAAGAGTTTGGATTTGATATCCCGCTTTATCACTACCCTAGGGAGTCTCAAAGCGGCTAACAATCTCCTTTCCCTTCCTCCCCCACAACAAACATTCTGTGAGGTGAGTGGGGCTGAGAGACTTCAGATAAGTGTGACTAGCCCAAGGTCACCCAGCAGCTGCATGTGGAGGAGCGGGGAATCGAACCCGGTTGACCAGATTACGAGTCCACCGCTCTGAACCACTACACCACGCTGGCTCACCAGCGTAGGGTAGGGGCTAGCTGAGGTCAGATTGAGGCCGATAGGGTCGTCTCCCATTTGCCCTAATGGGACCAGTCCGCACTGCACTGCTATCCACACATTTTCTCTTCTGCCTCTGCTAACGAAAAGGACCAAAAGCATGCTTTTTCTTAAAATGAAAACAAGGTGGGGGGTGTGGATGAAAGAAGGAAGATTCGGGCAGAGGGTTATGAAGGGGGGCAGCTGCCACTCATAACAGCTACTTCCCCAATAGCAGAAAAACTCCTGCTTTCTGCCACGTCATCCATGGAGCTTTGAGGAGGGGCCTCATTCATAAAAGCCTCGAGGTGGCACTGATGGTGCTGGATCTGGGGGCGGGGGCGGGGGGGGGGTCACCTCTTGGGAAGGACTACATTTGTTTGTTCTCAAACTCTAGTCCTCCTGGGATTACATACATTTTGGCAGTTCGGGTTTTTCTGTGTGTGTTTGTTGTTTTCCATAATTACTACTTAGCCTTACAGCAGGAAAATTCCGTCCAGGGGAGAGAGAAATCTCTAAGCGGGAATGCCACTGACCTCAAAGCTTTCGTTCTCATGTGATTAGAGGAAAACTCACATCTGACTCCAGGCCAAACTTATGAACTGCTAAACTGTAGAACTGCACACACTAGGCATGGATGAATCTGTCAATTTCACTTTCTCGTTCTTATAATCTTATGCAAAGGTCACCACATTTCTACAGCAATTTGCACTAAAAGAACAAAAAGCTTGTGAAAATTTATCAGTATTTTAGTGCGAATTTCCCCCAATAAATGCATTTTTGGATGCAGTTTTGACTAACGTGCACATTTTTGCAAGCAATTTTTCCTAATGCAATTAAATGTCTTCATAAAGGTGTGTCTTTTATGAACAATTTCCTTTAATATATTCATTTTTGGACACATTTTTGGTTGGGGAGCTGCATCGCAAGATTCGGAGAAGGGTGAATTTCACAGGATAGCTGTGTTTCATTTTGTGCATTGCTTCAGGAAGTGCAAATCAGGTAGTTTCTCATTAAGAGACAAACAAAATCTAATCCCTCCCAAAAAAGTTCCTTGCTTCCTCATCAAATGAGGAGTTCCAGGACAGAGTACCATCCAAGTGCTTCTCTTAAGCCAAATGATTCCCTTTACTCTTTGGAAGAATTTTCAAGTTTCCCTGAAAGAAGAAAAGCAACTGGGAATTCCAAGCTCCCCTACCCAGATTTAGTGGCCACTTCATGACAAAACTGTATAATGATGCTATCTGTGCTGACATGTAGATTAAGGGGAAAAGAGTGAGCCTTGCAGAGGTTAATTAAAATAAGTTTGTGTTAAAGCAGTCGCATTCTGCTTTAGAAGTTCCCCATCCCTTAAGGCTGACGCTGCCATTTAGCAGGGTGTTGTCTGCCTAATACTTCTGCTGTCCTCTCTCTCGCCTTTCTCAACCCCTCTCCAGAAACATGCAGCCCCCTGGATTTCTCCTGCAGAAATGGCGAGTGCCTGTCTCAGGCGTTGGTGTGCGATGGCTGGCACAACTGCCCAGATGGGAGCGACGAATTCAACTGCACCAGCCTCACCTATGCATCTTTTGGTGAGCGGCAATTCTTTCCTCATGAAACAAGATTCCCAAAGTTGAGGTCCTGCACCAGTTGTTGTAAAAGGGCTGCCCTCTCATGTCAGACTGAGTCATAAATAAGGATGGGCAAATTTGCCCATTGTGGTGCCCCAAAGTTTCTCATTTCCCCTAACCTAAAGTTCAGCACTTTAGATTTCTGCATTAGTTTGCAATTTTAAAACAAACACCCTTACATTAAATTGTTAGCATTTCCTTGCACATTTATCCCAATATACCTGTTTTTGTGTGCAATTTTGTCTAATATGTGCCTGAGCTGAATCTGAAACATTGCCACACAAACACGCATATACCTGCACCTTTTCCCTCTACCTGCAGAGCCGTCCTGTGAGCCGATTGAGGTGGAGATGTGTTTGGGTCTCAGTTACAATACCACCTCTTTCCCCAACATCTGGCTGACCATTATGGATCAGCAAGAAGCAGAAGAGCATCTCGAAGACTATATGGTGAGCCTGGGGAGGAAGGGGGAAAGGGGTGAGGGAGAGCGATGGGGGGGCACTGGACCATTGGCTTGGGAGGAAGGCAGGGAACATCAACAGAAAGCACCTTGCCATGGAGTGGGGAGCAGGAGAGAAAGATCTGGCCCAGCAGGACAACACCCCTCCCACCACTTTAGGAAAATTGATAGATTGGTTCCTGGGCATCTGGAGCCCTGAAAAATGCCCCCCACCAAGCCTGTTGGCCACTGCCTATCCTTGGTTCTAGGTCAGCTGGAGCCAGAACCAGGAAAATGACTCCCTTTCTGCCCTTGGATCATTCTTTAAAAAATTATTTATAAATCAATGACATCACAACATCATACAACAATTATAGAAAAGAAGTTTGACTTAACCATAATCCACACAGTGCACAGCCATTTTCTACGTGTTAAAAGAGAAAATTCGCAAATGCACTAAATGCATCCACTTAACAACGACCATCAGGAGTGCTTAGCCAAAGAGGTGCCTCAGTAATAAACCTAACTGAAATAATTTTTGGAGAAGCAGCGGTTGTATTGCAGCTCTCTGACAGGTCACGTGACAAGGGGTCCCACAGATCTTCAGATTTGTCCCTCCTGCTTTCGCCTGTCATTGGCATTTTTCTTTGCAGACGTTTTTCAGCTATGGCAAGTAGTCCCCAGACTTTCCCCACCCTATAAACTCATTCTCAGTGCTTCCTGCCCTATAACACATTGTTCAGAACAGCAGTTTGCACAATCCGCTAAGGAAGATAACACAATAAAAATTCAAAGCAGTAGCAATTAATTACACATTTATTCAAAACCCAATTAAAACTATTCAGTTTTCTTGATTCAGCAAAACTGATGCACTTAGAATCATAGAATCTTAGAGTTGGAAAAAGTCGTCTAGTCCAACCCCCTGCAATGCAGGAATCTCAGCTAAAGCATCCATTACAGATGGCCAGCCAGTGTGGTGTAGTGGTTAAGAGCAGTGGACTCATAATCTGGTGAACCGGGTTCGCTTCCCCGCTCCTCCACATGTAGCTGCTGGGTGACCTTGGGCTAGTCACACTTCTCTGACGTCTCTCAGCCCCACTCACCTCACAGAGTGTTTGTTGTGGGGGGGGGGAGGGAAAGGAGATTGTTAGCCGCTTTGAGACTCCTTAAGGGGAGTGAAAGGTGAGATATCAAGTCCAAACTCCTCCTCCTCTTCCTCCAACCTCTGTCTAAAAACCTCCAAGAAAGTCCACCACATCTCGTGGGAGTTGTTCCACTGCTGAACAGCTCTTACTGTCAGAAAGTTTTACCGAATGTTCAGTCGGAATCTCCTTTCTTGAAACATGAAGCCATTGCTCCCTCCTCCACGTGACAGCCCTTAAGATATTTAAAGGTGGCTATCAGATCTCATCTCAATCTTCTCTTTTCCAGGCTAAACATACCCAGCTCCTTTAGCCATTCCTCATAAGGCTTAGTTTCCACACCCTTGATCATCTTGGCCGCCCTCCTCTGCACACGTTCCAGCTTGCCAACATCCTTCTTAAATAGTGGTGCCCAGAACTGGACACAGTATTCCACTTGATCCTGTGATATTGAGATTCCTGCATTGCAGGGAGTTGGACAAGATGATACTTGGGACCGCTTCAAATTCCATAACTCTATGTTACCAGCTTCTCAAAGTCTGGTGCTCACTTACAGCTCCACTGCCCCACAGCGCCCCCTTTGGGAACCACTGAGCTAGGGCAAGAGACCACCATCTCTGCATGGGGTACTTCCAGGGATGGGCTATCAAATGCAGTATTAGGTACAGTAAACCAGGCTTCTTCAACCTCAGCCCTCCAGATGTTTCTGGCCTACAACTCCCATGATCCCTAGCTAGCAGGACCAGTGGTCAGGGATGATGGGAATTGTAGTCTCAAAACATCTGGAGGGCCGAGGTTGAGGAAGCCTGCAGTAAACCATTCACTTTTTCCAGGAGTAGTGAGAGAAGGGCTAATCTAACACCTGACAACTGCCTTTCCCTGCTGCCCCTTGCTCATTCTTTTTTTAGATGCTGAAGGACTTCTCTTGCTACCCATCTCTGCGTTTGCTCCTGTGCAGCCTCTTCGTACCCAAGTGCACCCCGGATGGGGGCATCCTGCAGCCGTGCCGCTCCGTGTGCCTGGCAGCCGAGCAGAGCTGCCAGCAATCCCTCAGCCTTCTGGGTCTCCCGTGGCCCCTGAACTGCAACGTCCTGCTAGATTCCAACAACCCTTTGGAGTGCTTCCTGCCATAAAGGGGCTGCCCCCACTACGTCCGCAACCTCTACTTCATGTGCCGTGTAGCTGAACGCTCCTCTCATTGCCCAGCTTGGTAGGAGACCCTTTGGAGGCCGCCAGTTCCCAAGCGGAAGTTCCCCATCAGAAGAAATTCTTCACCAGAAGACCTTGGGATCTGAGCTGCAATGCTTTGTAGGCCATCCACTGACGAATGTCTCTCCAAGGAATCGGTGGAATCTGAGCAACAGGAGGACAATTTGCAGTTTGGGGTTGAGTCTTTAGATTGTAAGCACCTTGGGTCAGAGGCTGTCCTCATACCCTTCGTAAAGTTCTATGCGCCTTGATGGTGCCCATATAAATAACTTGGATAATAATATATCAGAGGCTGCAGGGGGCTTCCATCATAATTAGAGCTGTAATATTTAGCTGATTTGTTTTTAAGTCTTTGTGGTTGGTTTTAAAAGGCATTTTTTAAAAAAAGAAAAGATTAATGTAAATGGCTTTTACTGTACATACTGACAAGTCCACGGCTTGTGAGCCCTTTCTTAGAAGGGGAGTTCTTTCTTCTCTCTTACGTGGGAGCAAAAGCCTCCTGTGAGATTATGCCTACAGCAGCACATGTGCTAGGAAGGAAGGAAGGAAGGAAGGAAGGAAGGAAGGAAGGAAGGAAGGAAGATTTGCCTACCAGGATTATGTTGTTAAAATGCAAATTCATTCAGATCATAGAACTTTAGGATTGGAAAGGATCCCAGGGGTCATGTAGTCCAACCCCCTGCAATGAAGTTGATTGATTTGCTGATTAAAAGTCATACAATTCATCCACAAAAAGTTCCTTTCTCTGAGTGACAACCCTAATAATTCTTGATTATATACCAGCAAAGAAGGACATCTTCTTGTTCCAGTTAACGCAGCATCAGATTGCACTATACATAGTAGTTTAATGGATTGTGATTTTACATTAATCTCCCATTTCAGCTCTGCCCTGCGCTCATGAGTTAACTGTGCATGCATTTAAAAAAAACAAAAAACACCCTTCAGAATTATTTGTTAAAGACAGCTGAATTTAGCATCCTCTATAAACCATGCAAATCAAGCAAGACTTTTCCTTATTTTGCAAAATGCATTCCGTCTGTGCTCATCATGAGCGGGTGTGGGCAGAGACATACAGAGCCCTGAATTCCTGTTCCTGGAACATTGCAAATCTTATTCAGCCACCCACGTGACTTATGAAATTTCAGTGGGCTTTTATACATCTTAAGGACTAGGCGCTTGTTGCTGTTGTTTAATGGAAGCTGAATCCTCCATCCCAGACCACATCCTGTGAGTTTTCTGTGCTTGCATGTAATTGTCAAATGCACCCAGCCCTTGCGGCAAAGCCCTGCTGAAAGTATTCCTTTCCAGAATACATCTGGTTTAATAATGCTTATGCAAAGATTATGAAGACTTCAGAGTTGCCTCATTTGGAGATCGAGCTATTACAGCAGCGTGCTGAGGAGTGATTGAAACAACACAGACAAAACTTCTGGGAGCTTCCAGTGTTCCTTGTAGCTGAAAGCAGATGCTTCAGACCTGCGGGTGATATGGAATTACCCTAGCTTGCCCCTCCAGCACCCACAACAATTGACAGGGCTGCACAATTTATTTGTTTGATCTTAGCGGAATGAAGTGTTAGTGTGGTAGAAAAGGCTGTCCTACTTCAGACTGCAGGCAGCGTCTGATCCCCTTAAAAAAATAATCCCTGAGCAAAAGAGGAGGGGAAAACAACCCACAAGAAAGCTAGTGTGTAAGGGAAAGAGCTTCATGTCTTCCTATGCTAGCTTTCCAGTTAAAAGGAGTTTATAATGCAAGGAATTCCTACATACATGTTATCCCTCCACCTGCACTCTGAAGTGGGATAATAATAATATTAATAATAATAATAATAATAATAATAATAATAATAATAATAATAATTTATTTATACCCCGCCCATCTGGCTGAGTTTCCCCAGCCACTCTTTAACCACTTGATTTCTCTTCCACCTCACTGCCAACAGTGTGGAGTAGAGGGGAGAATGCCAGACTAGGACCTGGGAGACCAGGGTTCAAATCCACACTCAGCCATGAAGCTCACTGAGCGACTTCAGGCCAGTTGCTGACTCTCAACCTAACCTACCTCACAGGGTCGTTGTGGTTATAAAAATGGAGAGGAGGAGGGAGAACCATGCATGCTCTTTCAGCCCTACCTGGAGTGCTGGGAGTTGAATTTAGGACCTTCTACATGCACAGCAGGTGCCCTTCCCTGCAGAAACCACTGTCCCTGGTACTGCAGCATTTCAGGCTTCAGTTGAGAGGATACACAGCTCTTGGATTCCTGTCATCAAGAATTCCCCACCCACAGAAAACTGGCACGTCAGCCAAAGAGATCTAGCCTCACTTTTCACACTTGTGTGGAATTGTTTTGAAAGAGCATTTGAACCTGTTAAAAAGTCAAACCTGCAACTAAATGGTCCTAGGAGCTCTGTACCACCCATGTGTGAATTACTTCACCTTCCATTCCATCCCTGCGCAGCAGCCTCTGAGATCATCGGAGTCAAGCTTAAATCTGGGAAGCATCACCCCAAGACAAGGGAGGAGTTTCTATGGAAGGGAGCTGGCGGCGGCAGCGTCTGCGAAACAAATCTGGGAGCAACGCCCATCCAGCTGCTGCTGCTGCTGCTGCTGTCAAAGCAGAAAAATGCTCAGGGACTTCTAAGCAGGATCGGGGTGCCAAGTCCCGTCCATCAAATTCTGCAAACAAGTTGTGGGTGGGATTCGTGCCTGTGTTTGTGGTACACTTGTGCATGTACCGGAGGGAGCAGAGAATCAGTTCCCACCCTTTCTCTTTCATAATACTAGAATGAAAGAGAGCTGAATAATGAAAGGTTCCAGATGGAAAAGAGGAAGGACTGGGTCACAGAGGAATCTGCTATCCCAAGAGGCAGCGATGGCCAGCCAAAGAAGATGAAGCAAATTCATGGAGGTTCAGGCTTAGCTGGGGGCTTATAGCCACAATGGCAACTTCTCAGGGTCAGAGGCAGTGATCCTCCAGGTACCTGTTTGCTAGGCATCACAAGGGTGGTGGTGAGATGCTGCTGTGCTCAGGTCCTGGCTTTTAGGTTTCCCATGAGCATCCTGCCAGAGCAGGATGCTGGACCAGACGGACCTTTGGTCGGATTCAGCAGGAGCATGGGGAGCCATGCTTGGTTTAATCTAGGTCAGTGTTGATCACGCAAATTGGCAGCAGCTCTCTGGAGTTTCAGGCAGAGAGCCTTTCCCAGCTGTGACTGGGGATTTCAGGGATTGAGCCATGCTGGTTTGCATGCAGCCGTGGGTAAGTAAGTTTGCACGGTGCCTCCTGCATCCCTTCTCTGGTAAGGTAAAGGTAAAGGGGACCCCTGACCATTAGGGCCAGTCATGGCCAACTCTGGGGTTGCGGCGCTCATCTCGCTTTATTGGCCGAGGGAGCCGGCATACAGCTTCCGGGTCATGTGGCCAGCATGACTAGGCCGCTTCTGGCGAACCAGAGCAGCGCACGGAAACGCCGTTTACCTTCCCGCCGGAGTGGTACGTATTTATCTACTTGCACTTTGAGTGCTTTTGAACTACTAGGTTGGCAGGAGCAGGGACCGAGCAACGGGAGCTCACCCTGTCACGGGGATTCAAACTGCCAACCTTCTGACCGGCAAGTCCTAGGCTCTGTGGCTTAACCCACAGTGCCACCCACATCCCCCTTCTCTAGTAAAAGGTACCCCTGTCCGTACGGGGCAGTCTTGCCAGACTCTATGGTTGTGCACTCATCTCACTCTATAGGCCGGGAGCCAGCGCTGTCCGCAGACACTTCCAGGTCACGTGGCCAGCGTGACAAGCTGCATCTGGCGAGCCAGCACAGCACACGGAACGCCGTTTACCTTCCCGCTGGTAAGCGGTCCCTATTTATCTACTTGCACCCGGGGGTGCTTTCGAACTGCTAGGTTGGCAGGCGCTGGGACCGAACGACGGGAGCGCACCCCGCCGCGGGGATTCGAACCGCCGACCATACGATCGGCAAGTCCTAGGTGCTGAGGTTTTACCCACAGCACCACCCACGTCCCTCCTTCTCTAGTAGACACGGATTATAAGATGTGCCCAGCATAAGCATTTCCCAAGGGGCTTGGTTTACCCAGACAGCAGTATAAAATGCATATTGATCAAGCGACATGCATTATCACCCAGCATCCTTATCCTATATTCTAATAGCAAACTCAAATGGAGGGGGAGCCTTTAGGTAGACAAAGCAACACCCACCCCCCCATGAAGGAAGTACTGCATGAGCAGGCTTAGGGAACCCTCAAAGTTTGCAGATATCCTGGCTGGGACTGATGGTAGTTGTAGTCCAAAACATCTGGTTGGCACCAGGTTGTGGGAGGCTACTGTACACTCACTCCTATGCTTCTGCCTGGTTGGAAAATATTCTGTAATGTTTTGTTGACTCCCAGCTTTTAATACACGTTACATATCCTGCCTGTTAGTGTTACTTTTTTTTTTCCCCAAGAGGAAAGTAAGCGGAGCTCAGCCTGGCCTCAAAATCACACCTGGACACTTCGCTCCTCTAATGTTAGATTCATATGGAGAAGAGAGTTATTGTTAAGTGATGAGCAGCAGGCACTCTGTACATGCTCAATGACACTTCTTTTCCTGTGGTGAGCTCTGGCACAAAATAAGCTCTAGTGCCTGCTCAAGGTAAAAAAAACCAAAATGATGGGCAGAGTGGAAATGGAACCACCAACCCACTTCTTTGATTGTGTACAGCATTTATGTCTCAACCTTTAGCCAAAAGGGATGTCAGAGCAGCTTACAAAAATCAGTTATAAGATGGTCCTGACCTTAGGTTCACAATCTAAAAAGATGTGACACAAGAGGAAAATGGGAATAGGAGGGAGGAGGCAAAAACCAAGCTCAGGCACAAGTTCTTAAAAGTGACAGCCCACGTCAGTGAAAGTCCTGGCTGTTCCACGTTTTATGAAATGGGTTTCTTTGCCTTTCATCCCGCCATTGCTTTTATGAGGGTGAAGGTGCTTCCTTGGAAATATAGAGAACATTTATTTACACCCCACCTTGCAGGCATGGCCAAACTTGGCCCTCCAGCTGTTTTGGGACTACAGTTCCCATCATCCCGGACCACTGGTCCTGTTAGCTAGGGATAATGGGAGTTGTAATCCCAAAACAGCAGGGGGCCCAAGTTTGGCCATGCCTGCAAGCAGCTCAAGGCGACGCACCTGCTTCTCCCTGCTCCTCATTCTCCCCGCACAACCACCCTGCGACGTAGGCCAGGCTAAGAGGCAACGTGGACTGACCCAAGCTCACCCAGTGAGCCTCCAGGGCTGAGTGGGGGATTTGAACCCGGATCCCCCGGTCCCAGCCCGCACTCTGACCCCTTCTCCGCCGCCCTGCCGGCTCCTGACTCTTCCTCCTCCCTCCCCTCCCGCCTTCCTCTCCCCTCTGCCCCATCCCAGAGATGCCCGTCCCTGGGAGCGCCTCTGCCTCCGACGCGCTTCCCCGCTTTGCCTGTAGCTCTTGGCTCCGCTCTGCAACTCTCCGGTTTCCATCGGAGTTGGGGAGGAGGGAAGAGAGGGGAGGGAGAGAGGAGGGTGGGGAGGGGGGAAAGAAGGCCGGCCGGCGGAGCTGGCTTGCGGCCTCCTTCGCCAGAGTAAGCGGTCCTCCTCATTCCCCAAGCATCCCGGAGCGCCAGCTTGCCAGCCCAGCCGCAGAGCGCCGCCGCCGCGTGAGTATCGCAGATCCACGCGGGGTGGTGGGCTAGGGAGGCTGGGCGACGGGTTCCCAACTTGCCTGCTTGGAGCAGCAGTTTCTCCCGACTTTGCTGACACCACCTTGCTTTTGTTTTGGGACCGACGCGATCCCTTTAGAAGATCACCCGGGAGTTGAGAAATGCCTAGCGGGAGGAGATTTTGCTTTCTTTGGGATTGATTTTAATCCGAGCCACCCAAAAAGCCTTGCCCAAAAAAATATACTGGAAGAAAGAGCTGCTCTCTTGGGGAAATTGAAATAAAAATGGCCAAAGTTTGTGGATTTTTAAAAAGAATGGCCTGATCTGGACCCCACTAAGGGGCGGTGGGCGGTGGTCTGGATTTCAATTTCGAGTTAGTCCGGTTTTTAATTGAGTATTCATTCTGATTTGTTCCGCAGTGGTGAGCCTAATTTGCTTGTGGATTGTTTATACATCTTCCCATGAATTAGCCATTCATCCCACACTTTTCCATGCATTTTCCCATCACTTTCTCAGCCACCAAAAGTCTGGGTTGGTTGTTTTTTTAAAAGTGGATTTGTTGCTCCAGGGGAAGAGAGTGCTGTAATCTACTTGAATTGTGCAAACCTAGATTTCCTGGGATGCTCTTGAAGCCTTCCTGCAAAATAACATACAGGATACGCCCAGAGGAGCATCTGTTGAACATTACAGAATTTGAACTCGGGTCTCCTGGTCCTAACCAAACATAGGTCACTCTGACTCTTGGGAAGGTGTGGGAATGAGGGGCTTTGATTGCTGCAAGTGCCCCACAAGTTGGAAAGAAAGTCAACCGTTCTGGACTGATATTCACCATTATATCTCACGCACAGACACCTCAGCCGCACAAAAGTAACATTCATATTATATGCAAAAGTCACTGCTACTTGCAATCCACAGGTAGGAGACTAATACTAAAAGTCAGTAATGAAACTTGGTTTTTGCTGAATGCTTAAAAGGGCCTTGTGCCCTTTATTCTCAGTAATCATTGCAACAGTCCTGCAAAACTGGACTGTTTTATTAACCCCATTTTGCAATCCATTGTAGATCAGACAGACCAGTAGAGATCCTAGAGCCGTGAAGATAGAACTATATGCCAATGGCTCATTTTTCTGCCTATATTAGTACTGTTGCATGTCACCCCAATCTGAGCTATGTGAGATTCCAGGGGCACCAGGGATTACCCAGGGTTTGGTTTCCTCAGAGTGAGGAACAACAGAGACATTTATCTTTTTGATATATTTACACATATATAAAACCTGAGCCTGGGTGTATGGGGTGTTAGGGGGTGGATAGTACCTTTGCTGGGGGGTACCCCACCCTGCACTCAGCTCTCACCTGTGGTTCCTAGAAGCTGTGAGCATGCGACAGCAGCCACACCCTGGGAATGGCTTTGGCTGGCTAGCTAAACCAAGTGAGGGTACCTGATGGGTTTCAAACCCTCGGTGAGTTAGGGACTTCCCCTGCATGCAAAGACAGGCTCTGGCAGATTGAGCAGACAAGACCAATAGTCTCTTGACCAATGGTCAAGAAAGTGGTTTCTCCACATGCTTTAGGGGGAAGGGGCAGATGGGGCTCGTCAACCTGGGAAGGTAGCACATCTAGCAGATGGAAAACTCTGATCCTCCACTGCCTTGCTGGATATATTTGGGAGAAGAACCCTACCCAAATCTGGAGACCCTAAGACAGTTGGATGCTGCCTTGTGCACCTCCTTAAGGCAACTCCTGCAGCCAAGCTGGTGCCAAACGTCTTGCTCCGCTTTCCTGTGGACCCTGCCAATGATGCCAAGAGTCTTGTTGTCTCGGCAGTTCAGGACCTCTGTACACACTGCCCAGGCTTGCACCCCAAGGAGGTCACTTCAGTGCTGATAATGCAGCAGTTTGACTTCACCCACACACCCTGGCTAGCCATAGCAGAGGTTAAGAAATATAGGGACCAGGCTCCCCAAAGAACATCCTTCTTTTTTCTCTTCTTTGGTGATCACTTGTAGCCGAGTAAAATTGTCTTCCATGAACACGGTCTTAACAGTGAGTCTGTAAGTGACTGTGGAGGCCAATTCTGGATGTCCTTCCACAGTGGGGACATACCGTATTTTTCGCTCTATAAGACGCACCAGACCACAAGACGCACAAAGTTTTTGGAGGAGGAAAACAAGAAAAAAAATATTCTGAATCTCAGAAGCCAGAACACAGCTTCTTGCTGTTCTGGCTTCTGGGATAGCTGCGCAGCCTGCATTCACTCCATAAGACTCACACACGTTTCCCCTTACTTTTTAGGAGGGAAAAAGTGAGTCTTATAGAGCAAAAAATACGGTAGGTTTCCGGATGGGAGTTGGCCATGGTGAGGGTTTGCCAAACGTGCCTTCCTCTTAGCATGTTTCTCCCTTTCATCCTGATTATGAGCGTGTTCAAAGTCCACAGCACCTTTGGTAAAGGCTGTTCTCCAATTGGAGCGCTCACAGGCCAGTGTTTCCTAATTGTCGGTGTTTATACTACATTTTTAAAGATTTGCCTTGAGAGAGCCTTTAAACCTCTTTTGTTGACCACCAGCATTACGCTTTCCATTTTTAAGTTCGGGATAGAGTAGTTGCTTTGGAAGACAATATTCAATATGACCAGTCTTCAGCCCGTTTATGTTGAAGAATCGTTGCTTCGGCACTCACCCCCCTACACCCCCAATCCTCACCAGGCTCAGGCAATGCCGAAAGAATGCAAAGCATCGAGATTTTGGATGGGCTCGCTGCATTCCAGTCCTGTTAGCTATAGCTAAATCCCAAAGCTGAAACTTATAGGAGCTCTTAAGACAACCTGGACTCTTGCAAAAAGTGGCAAAAGATGGCAGGGCCAGGAGGGAGAGGGGAAGAAAAGAGAAAGGAAAGGAGAAATAGATGAGCAAATTGTCAGAACAGGCTGGCTGGCAGGCAGAAGGAGGAGAAAACCAGGACAAAAGTTCACAGGCTGATTCTGTGGTTTGAAGGCTGTGTTGCGTGCCCAGCTGGCTCCTGGCATCAGTTGTGCCTCTAGAGGACTAGCCTCTTGGGAGGCTGTGGATTCTTTTCTCTGATTCCATGGGAGGCGAAAGGAGCGTGACATCCTAGGCGGTTGCTTAAAAGCCAGTTGACATTTCCTCCTCTCTCTCTCTCTCTTCCCGCTGCCCCCATCGCTCACCACAAAATACACAAAATGCAGCTCAGGAAAGCCAGAGAATTCTGAGCCATTTGAAGCTCCCAAGTGTTCCAAGGGAATCATATGCATTAATGGATTTAGGTTGCACAATTGCTAGTCTTACAGTTGGATTAGGGTGTGGAGGCTCCCTGGGAGATCAGCCATGGGGGTGGGTGTCTAAGAGGCAATACTCTGCTCTGGTTTTGCTGGAGTTCTTCTAACTTTTCACGCAACGGTTGCTGCGATTAATTTCTGCAGGGAGAGGTGGAATGCTAACCTGAATAAAAACCAGTTGGACCTGGAATCTTAGCTGCAGGTCTGTGGGATGAGGGGGGTGAGATAAAGGCACTCTGCACATGCTCAGTGGCACCATCTTTCAAATAAAACCAGCCGGAACGTTGTGTGGATTGAACCAAGATGGGGAGAACCATGTACACCACCTTGTGTTCCTTGGAGGTAGGATAGCAATATAATAAATGAATAATAATAAATACTCTGAATGACTAAAACTCTGGAAATCTAATGCACCAGGGAACAACATAAAATCATAGGGAGCTACCTTAGACTGAGTCGCACCCTTGATCCATCAAGCTCTGTACAATCTACACAGATTGGCTGTGGTTCTCCAGGGCTTCCCTACCTTGGAAATGCAAGGATTGAACCCCAGAGACGTTCCGCATGCAGAGCAGGTGCTCTCCCACTGAGCTGGAGCCCTTTCCCTGCTCAGTCTAGTCTAGGCCAAGCCTTCTAGCTTAGTTCTTTCCAGCTGCACTTCTTCCTATTTGCAGTGATTTTTTTTTTTGTTTTAACTGTGTGGGACAACATAAAAAGAGCCCAGCTACTGGGTCTGACCAAAGGCCCATCTACATAGCCCAGCATCCTCACAGAGACCAATCAGGAGCCGGTGGGGAACCCGCAAGCGGGACCCGAGGGCAACAGCACTCTCCCCCGCTTGTGATTTCCAGGAACTGCTATTCAGAGGCTACTGAATACCAAACCAGTCATACTGCAGACAGTACATAGGCATCACAACTAGTAGCTACTGGTAGTCTTGAATTTGTCTTTCAAAGCCATCCAGTTGGCAGCCATCACTGCCACTTCTGGAGAGGGGGAAAAATCAATAGTTTAACTATGTTAGCTGGCAAACTTCAGAAGGCTGGGGAAAGCAGAGATGGTCTCAGCTGATGGGCAGGTTTATATGGGGCAAAGCAGCCCTTAAGGCATCCCAGGGCCAGATTTAATAGACCTACAGGTGAAACTAGAAAAATTAGAATATTGTGGAAAAGTTCATTTATTTCAGTAATTCAACTTAAAAGGTGAAACTAATATATGAGATAGACTCATGACATGCAAAGCGAGATATGTCAAGCCTTTATTTGTTATAATTGTGATGATCACGCTGTACAGCTGATGAAAACCCCAAATTAACAATCTCAGAAAATTAGAATATTAAATGAAATCAGCAAAACAAGGACTGCAAATAGAGCAATATTGGACCTCTGAGAAGTAGAAGCATGCATATGTACTCAGTGCTTGGTTTGGGCCCCTTTTGCATCTATTACTGCCTCAATGCAGTGTGGCATGGATGCTATCAGCCTGTGGCACTGCTGAGGTGTCATGGAAGACCAGGTTGCTTCAAAAGGAGCCTTCAGCTCTTCTGCATTGCTCGGTCTCATGTCTCCCATCTTTCTCTTGGCAATGCCCCATAGATTCTCTATGGGGTTCAGGTCAGGTGAGTTTGCTGGCCAATCAAGCACAGTGATCCCATGGGCATTGAACCAGGTTTTGGTACTTTTGGCAGTGTGGGCAGGTGCCAAAGTCCTGCTGGAAAATGAAGTCAGCATCCCCATAAAGCTAGTCTGCGGAAGGAAGCGTGAAGTGCTCCAAAATCTCCTGGTAGACGGCTGCGTTGACCCTGGACTTAATGAAGCACAGTGGACCAACACCAGCTGATGACATGGCTCCCCAAATCAACACAGACTGTGGAAACTTCACACTGGACTTCAAGCATCTGGCATTGTGTGCCTCCCCATTCTTCCTCCAGACTCTGGGTCCTTGGTTACCAAATGAGATGCAAAAGCTGCTCTCATCAGAAAAGAGATTTGCATGCTTCTACTTCTCAGAGGTCCAATATTGCTCTATTGGCAGTCCTTGTTCTGCTGATTTCATTTAATATTCTAAATATTCACAATTATAACAAATAAAGGCTTGACATATCTCGCTATGCATGTCATGAGTCTATGTCATATATTAGTTTCGCCTTTTAAGTTGAATTACTGAAATAAATGAACTTTTCCACAATATTCTAATTTTTTGAGTTCCACCTGTAGTTACCTAGGTTGAGTAGGAATTTCATGCAGGTGACCATTCAAGGAAGGTTTACTAAACTTGGTCCTTTGGGGGCATAAACGCATCGGATTAGGTAAGCTATAAAAAATAAATAAATTTGTGGACCTGTTTGCAAAAAACCACTTCCCTGAGACCCTTTGGAGGTATCTGACAAACTCCTCTCTCTGTAGACCCCCCAGAAATGGAGCATGCCGTCTACCTCTTCCTCTTCCTGCTTACATTGACCACACACTCTGTCCAGATTGAGGACAATAAGATCCCCAGCCTTTGCGCTGGGCACCCTGGAATTCCAGGCACCCCCGGGATCCATGGGAACCAAGGCCTGCCAGGCAGAGATGGGCGTGACGGGCGTGACGGAGCAGCAGGGATGCCGGGAGAAAAGGGCGAAGTTGGTCAGCCAGGTAAGGTTGGGGGGGCTGGGAGAGCACTATTATTTCCAGGTCCATTTCTATCATGCTAAGCAAGCTAATTCTGCAGAAGCTCTGAAGTGGATAATTCCAGCATTATTGTCTCACAGCGTATTGGGGGAAGGAGTCCACTCTGTGTTATCAACTCCATAGAGCAGGGCCAGCCTGTCTGGTGACCCATTTTTGCCTGTGTGGACAGCCAGCTGGTTTTCAGAGCTATGCAAGCCCCAACCATCAGCAGCTGGGCACGGCTATAATGGCCTCACAAGCCAAATGGGGAGGCCTGGCAGAAGTAATAAGACCTGTGGGCTGGAAGTTCCTCAACCCTCTGAGGGAAACGAGGTCATTTAAATTAAGACCCAAACTTCTAACCATTGTAGTTGCCATAAGCAAGACGAGGGGATAGCTGGTGTTTTGCTTTCTACTGAGTTCTCTCTTTTCTGTCAATTAATTTTTATTGCTTTTCAAAAAAAAAAAATCATCAAATTAACATCAAATTAATTCAGATTTAATACAAATTTGAAAGTTGACTTTCCACCCCGCCATCTTGATGTTTCTCTCAATGTTACATAATTTCCTCATTCCATTTCAAGAGAAGAGTAAGATAAAAAAGAAAAAAAAGTTAGCAAAAGATGCAAACGAAGAACTTCCGATTTCCCATCTGCCAGTAACAGAAAATGTGTGTGTGTGTATGTATACACAAACAAAAAATACATACACACATACATACAGTGGTACCTCTGTTTTTGAACGTCTCCGTTGTCGAACATTTCAGTTTTCGAACGCTGTAAGCCCAGAAGTAAATGCTTCATTTTTCGAACGCACCTTGGAAGTCACACCAGAAACGCAGCTTCCGTATTGAATTTTCCGTTTTGAGTTTTCCATATTGAGTTTTCCGTTTTGAGGCTTCTGTGCTGACTTTTTGGTTTTCAAATATTTCAGAACTCAAACGGTCTTCTGGAATGGATTATGTTTGAAAACTGAGGTACCACTGTATGTAAAATCACCCTCCGTCCATGCAAAAAATAATAATATTTAAAACCTTCAGTCCATGCAAACATCCATCTTCTCCACTTTCTGTTAAGCAACTTCTTTAAAGTCAGGGTGCCTCAGAATCATTTGTTCTTTTTCCCTACGAAAAGTCCAAGACAGGTTCCATAATTATTAATAAATGTTAGCCCTAATTCCTGCCACCATTACTCCATAATGCATAGTACTAAATTCTTCCACCCATATCCGTGTTAAATCCTCTCCACGGCAAAAACACATTAGATCCATATTCCATTCTCAAACATATCCTAACACTGTCCTTGGTTGTTGTTGTTTTCATTCCGTAAAGGAGCAGTGGGCCCTACAGGGGAAAGAGGCAGCCCTGGCCTCAATGGGTTTCCCGGAGAGAAAGGGGCGCCTGGGGAGTGCGCAGTGGCCCCCCGCTCAGCTTTCAGCGCCAAGCGCTCCGAGTCTCGCAGCCCTCCCTTGGCCGACCAGCCAATCGTCTTCGACGTGGTTCTGGTCAACGAGCAGGGACATTACGACGGCAACACGGGGAAGTTCCTCTGCGAGATTCCGGGACTATACTACTTCGCCGTCCATGCCACCGTCTACCGCATGAGCCTCCAGTTCGACATTATGAAGAATGGCAAGTCGGTGGCCTCCTTCTTCCAGTTCTACGGCAACTGGCCCAAGCCTACATCGCTGTCCGGTGGCACCCTGGTGCGGCTGGAGCCGGAGGATGAAGTCTGGGTGCAGGTAGGGGTAGGGGACTACCTTGGCTTCTACTCCAGCATCAAGACAGATAGCACTTTCACAGGATTCCTGGTCTACTCCTACTGGCAAAACTCTCCCGTCTTTGCCTGAGAGATGCCACTCTCCGCCACGCGATTTGCGGAGGACTCCCTTTCTTGGCTCTGCCACAGCTGTCGTCCGTGGGGATACCTGTGGCCCTTCTTAACCCGAGGGGTGTTGCGCCCCTTTAGCTAATGCCTGTAAAAGGGTTGTAGGTTCTTCCCAGAAGGTGTCTGGCAACCCCTCAGGCCAGGGTCAGGATAGCTGTGCAGCAGAGAAGCTAAGTGACCTTTGTAGTGTACTAGCAAACAGTGTACTCCTTGCGGAGTAGATTTACTTTCTATATCTATACACATACATACTTAGGGCTGTGCCCCGCTTGCTTCGCTTGCCAGCCCCACCTAACCCTTTGGTAACCACCCTGCCCCACATCAGATGTCAAATGACAATATGACTTTTAGAAGACATCTGAAGGCAGCCCTGTAGAGGGAAGTTTTTAATGTCTGATGTTTTGTTGTGTTTTTATATTTTGCTGGAAGATGCCTAGAGTGGCAGGGGAAACCCAGTCAGATGGGTGGCATGTTAATACAGTTGTACCTCGGGTTAAGAACTTAATTCGTTCCGGAGGTCCATTCTTAACCTGAAACTGTTCTTAACCTGAAGCACCACTTTAGCTAATGAGGCCTCCTGCTGCCACCGTGCCACTGCTGCACGATTTCTGTTCTCATCCTGAAGCAAAGTTCTTAACCTGAGGTAATATTTTTGGGTTAGCGGAGTCTGTAACCTGAAGCGTATGTAACCTGAAGTGTATGTAACCCAAGGTACTACTGTAATAAAATTATTATTATTATTATTATCTAACCAGCCACCCTCCGTTTACACCCCCTTGTCCTCCCCTTGCAGCGCGCCTGAACCTCCACACATTTTTAAAGGAGGAGGGAGGCACAGTTGACTGAATGGCTCTATGAAGCGCCTCTCTTTCCTCTGTCAAACCTCACGGCAGGCATGTTTGACCGAGGTCAGCCAGGAGCCATTCAAGAGCTTGCCTGGGCTACCCTGTCATTTCTCGTGCTGCAGCTGACGTGGCCATCTGTCGGCAGTCCTGTGAACTGCAAAGCATGACATTCAGTCCTTTTGTTTGTTTATAGGGAGACAGGCCACACTTTCCCACAGTTCCTCAGAAGCAGTCCAACTGGAAGGGGCTGGTGTATTTCTGCAGCTCCTCCTCTCCTTGTCAAAGGGGAAGGAGGGTCCAGAGCAAGATCGCTAGGATCAAACCCCTATTAAACCATGAAATCAATCTTAACTCGTATATGGCATTTAGGGCCGGGCGGTATCTGGTTTTCAACATCATGATATATCACCAACTAAACCTCGTGATATACCAGTGGAGCTGGCAGAGTTAACAAGGGCTGCAGGATTCAAGAGAAGCATTGGCTGGCTTCATGATTTCCCCCACATTGTGATTTTTGCATAGCACACACACACACACACACACACACACACACACACACACATTTTGATTCCCAATATATTCCCAGGTCAAAAATGATGGAACCAATAACACAATGTGGACTTCAAATGGGTTTTGGATGATATATTGATATATTACCTAGCCCTAGTGGCATTGCAGAGAGAAATTAGAGTAATCGCCCAAATGAAAAATGCCACAGAAGGAATTATTTAAAAACAACAGTACAGTGGTCCCTCTGGTTAAGAGCGCTTCAGGTTATGAACACTTCAGGTTATGAGCTCCGTTAACCCGGAAGTAGCTGCTCCTGGTTGCGAACTTTGCCCCAGGATGTGAACGGAAATCGTGCGCCAGAGGGGCGCGCACAGCGGGAGGCCCCATTAGCTAAAGCGTGCCTCAGGATAAGAACGGTTTCAGCTTAAGAACGGACCTCCAGAACAAATTAAGTTTGTAACCAGAGGTACCACTGTAATAGTGTGAATGGGTCATTTCCCATGTTATCTTCTTAATAGGGTAGCACATGCACAGAAGCCTCCCTGCCCTCTCTTGCTATGGCAGCCTGTAGTGGCTGTTAGAAGGTTCCAACAGCCACTACAGGCAGCCACAGATCCAGAGTCTTCTCTTGCAACATTCCCAACTATGAAAGGGGCCCATCACTGCTCACTCATTTAATTTTAACCTAAAAAGGACTGGAAATCAAGGCTCTGGCTGTGTTGTTTTCCATCTGGTAGGAAAATAGCCTCTTTCCTATTAGGTAGCCTAGGGCAAGATAAAGGTTGCAAGCTGACTGCTCTGCTCACAGCCCAACTGCAGAGAATATATATCAGAAAGGGTGCACAAATTCTCATTCATGGAGCAAGCAGCAATAAGAAGTATAGCGTAGATGTTATAGACGTGTGGCATGAGTTATCCACTAGGGGGCTCCCTGAGCCCAAAGTTTAAAAAGTTTGCTGGCCAAGTTAATTAACCCTAGAATGGATTTTGTTTGTAAGATTGTTTCACGCATGACATTTCTTTTTTCCGACATGGAAATTTGAGTCTGTTAGTCTATTATTCCTGTATGCAAAGGATGTGTATATGTATATAGTCACTCTTTTGTTCTTAGTCTTCCAAAGTGTTTTAAATATAATGAAAGGATTTGAGTGCTGTTTTATATCTCTGTATTGGGGGGGGGTGAGTATCGGTGTTTGGAGAGATCTTTTTTACTGGTAGAAAGCATTTTGGAGGGAGGTGTTGCAATGTTTTTTCCGACTCCTGCTCCTCAACATTTTACAGCAGCCCAATAAAGAGAAAATAAGTGGGTGACATCCCGCCCCCCGCATTAAACAGAGTTAAAGAGAGCAAAACTTCATCTGTTTCAATTCTTGTATACTAGAAATTAAAGAACCTATTGATTCATTCCCTGTTTTTGAACTGATGAATTCATCAATTTAACCTCTAAGCCACATTGCATATAGTTATTCCTTCAACATGGACCTTTCTTTGGATGTTGGAGGCTGTATAAGGGATTTTAAAAGGTACCATAAAGACATAGTCAGGTATTTTAAACGATTTCCACTGTTGTGCTATAGTGATCCTGGCAGCATCCGTGTCAAAAGTTCATTTGGATGAAATATCTTCATAGTGCCTGTCCATGTATTTAGTAGGAATAACTGAGTAGATATTTGAATATGTGTTTTGATAATCTTTGAAATCTCCTAATAAATTTCATTCCAGAGTGACGCAACCTGTGGGCATTCCCACCAGAGATGGGGAAAGTTCATTTATTCCTTCAACCTGCCTGATGAATGGTTTATTGGAATTTGGGATAGTTGAATGGGTATGTGATACGGTATTGATGAATATACTAGCTCAATGCAAATAGGCCAATGCTCAAGAGGACCCGATATTCTGATGACCAACTTCCTGTAATGCTTCCTCTGAATCTGGGCTGGGGAAACTGCAGCCAATGGTATATGTGCAGCCCTCAGCCTAATTTCACGAGGTGCAGCCTACTGCAGAAGCCCTTGAGGGACTTGCTGCGTAGCTCGAGACTCTTAATCCCAGGGTTGTGGGTTCGAGTCCCACGTTGGGTGAAAGATTCCTGCATTGCGGGGGGTTGTGCTAGATGACCCTCATGGACCCCTCCAACTCTGCAGTTCTATGATTCTGTGTCTGGGGGGCAGGGAGCAAGGCAGCCTGAGTTCTGTGGTTATCTACAAGTGACCCCCAAACCGATTTATCCGTGCCAAGTGTTGTCCACAGAAAGCAATGTGTGCGGATAGCCACAGCTCAGCCTTTCCTACAGGGCTGTGACAGGGACTGGGGCCGGTCAGCTTGCTTTCTCTGGTCCCAGATTCTCCAGTGTGAGAACAGTGACCCAATTTGTAAGAAAGGTCCTTTATTTTTAGCACGGGGAAGGAAGCATGCTTTCTGCATTCTTGCCCAAAATAGGCCTTGTTGCACTCATTTTCCCTAATGTCTCTGGACTGCTCCCAGCTGCAGAACTTTCCCAGTGTCCAAGCAAGCTGCAAACGTCCTGGACTCACCTGGAGGCTCCAAGGACACTGGAAAGAAGGAATCTTGTCGGTTTCCGCCAGCATCTGTGTCCAGGTGGTACCAAAGCAATTTCTGTCAAGCTCTTTGCCAAGCTAAGCCAGGAGGTTTGATTTGATTGGACTTTGGGAGGGAGGCAGGGTTTTTCAAGGCCATTTACACAGGACTTGGTTTGAGGCTGAGGGATAGATATATAGGGGAACACAAATAATTCTACCAAAAGCAGATCTTAGAGAGGAATGGGAGATGTGGAGCTTCAGGCTGACCTGGAGCGATCTCAGTTTTTACCAGCGCTGACCCCGACCTCCCTCTCAGGGAAAGCATCGCCCGGGTCAGCGCTGACGACAGACATCTGTTGCAAATGACGCTTGGCCTGTAAAGCCAGAGCCTGGGGCTGTGTCAGCCATGTAACAAAGACACGCTGTGTCCTGCATCTTGCAGTGGGACTGCAGCGCCATCACGAGCCAATATTTTCCTGTTTTCCCCACTCAGCTGTGAAGAGGGCTGTGGGATCTGGAGCAAAAGGAGGATATCCAGTTTCATAGCTTCCCTGGATTTTGTTTATTTTTTATGGGAACAATTGCTGGGGGGACGGGGACAATGGCCCGCTTTAATTGTGCAAACCTACATTTCCTGACATGCACTTGAATGCCTCCTGCAAAATACTGGCAGCATCCTATGCTTTGCTTGGCAGCTGCCCAGGGTCTTAGTAATAAGAATCTTAAGAAGAGCTTGCTAGGCCAGGCCAATGACCCATCTAGTGCAGCATCCTCTTCTCAACCAATGGGAAACCCTCAATGTGACCTGAGGGCAACAGTAGCAGTGTCCCCACTTGAAATTCCCAGCAATTGGCATTCAGAGATATCCTGCCTCCAAGAGTGGAGGTAGAACCTAGCCATTGTGGCCAGTGAGATGGTCTGTCCATCTGGTGCAGGTGGCGCTGTGGTCTAAACCACTGAGTCTCTTGGGCTTGCCAATCAGAAGGTTGGCAGTTCGAATCTCCACAACGGGGTGAGCTTCCATTGCTCTGTCCCAGCTCCTGCCAACCTAGCAGTTTGAAAGCACGCCGGTGCAAGTAGATAAATAGGTACCGCTGCGGCGGGAAGGTATACAACATTTCCATCACAGTGTTCCATTGTGCCAGTAGCAGTTTAGTCATGCTGGCCACAGGACCTGGAAAGCTGTCTGTGGACAAACACCAGCTCCCTTGGCCTGAAAGCAAGATGAACACCGCAACCCCATAGTCACCTTTGACTGGACGTAACCGTCCAGGGATCCTTTATCTTTACCTTTTTACCTGTCCTCTCACCTGCTGCCTGGAGGTGCCAGGTAAGATCTCTCCACCCCACTGTCTCAAACTGATGGGGAGAGGGATAGCATTGAGTCTACAGATCATGCAGAATGAGGTTGAGAGAAACTCAGTCTCCCAAGCAAAAGTAAACTGCCTCTGTCCTTATCTCTGCTAGTAGCCATTGATAGTCCTCCACGCTCCATGTATATTTATCCTAACTTCTTGTGGAGCTGAATTTCGCAAGATAATGAAGCACTCAATAAAAGGCACTTCCTTTTCATCTTTCTCAGGCATGCCAACAATCCATTTCCTTTGATGATGGCGGGTTGTACTGCTCCTTTTATGTGAGAGAAAGAGAATAATCTCTTTCTGTTCTTTCCTCTTTGTCACTTGCAACGATTTTGGAAATGACTTCTCAAGCCCTCTGCCAAATGGAGAACATTCAGGGATGTTTGTTTCAGAACCCCCCCACCCCACCCCCACACCTCACCATGGTGCCCAGGCTTCTTTCCTGGAAGGAGATTAAATTATTGCTGACTGAATGTTTTGATTTGATCTGTTTTTCCTAAGCGGAGATGTTCGCCCAGCAACTAAGTGAATCCACCGATCAATGCCTGGCCTGGCTTTGCTCTGCGATTGGGAAGGACACTTTCCCTGTTGTTATTTTTTCTCACTTCACAATCATTTCTCTTGCGGTTGCGACTGGTATAGTCTTCTTTCCACCCGAGATTCACTTGCCTAACGCTGCTCACTCTGCATACAAAAGGGTTTCAAGTGCTAATTGACCCAGTTATTGCAACAGGGATTACATATATCTGCCCCAATACCATAATGAGCACAAATCACCATGAATGCACAATTGACAACCAAGATGGTGACGGGTATGGAAGCCAAGCCTGATGAGGAACAGTTGAAGGTGCTGGGTATGTTTAGCATGGAGATGGGAAGACTGAGAGATAATATGATAGCCATCTTCAAATATCTGAAGGGCTGTCACATGGAAGATATAGCAGTCTTGTTTTCTCCTGCTCTGGAGGGTAGGACTCAAACCAACAGAGTCAAGTTATAAGAAAGGAGATTCCGACTAAACCTCAGGAATAACTTTAGTATTATTATTTATCAAATTAGTATACTGCCCTATACCCGCAGGTCTCAGGGCAGTTCACAACACAAAAACACAGTATAAAAACACAAAACACATAATCAAAATATAAACAAGAATAACCCAATAACCCAATAACCCACCCACCCCAACACATTTTAAAAGGGCATTGGATGTCAATTAGCCAAAGGCTTAGTTATAAAGAGGAATGTTTTTGCCTGGTGCCTAAAGGTGCATAATGAAGGCACCAGCCAAACCTCCCTGGGGAGAGCAGGGGAGCCACTACAGAAAAGGCCACCCTCTGAACCTCGCATGGAGGAGTCACACAAAAGAAAGGCCTCAGAAGCTGATATCAGGGTTCAGAGGTTCATATGGAAAGAGGCTTTCTCACAGAAACAGCTATTCTATTCTTCTAAAAAAAAGGACACAGGGAGGTCCCTAAATAAAAATTTTCTTTTCCTGAAAATGTTCACCAACCTCTCAGTCTAGGTAAAGGACCCCTGGATGGTTAAGTCCAGTTGAATTCAACTATGTGGTGCAGCACTCATCTCTCTTTTCAGGCAGAGGGAGCCGGCGTTTGTTCACAGACAGCTTTCCAAGTCGTGGCCAGCATGACTAAACTGCTTCTGGCGCAACGGAACACCGTGAAGGAAACCAGAGCGCATGGAAAGGCCGTTTACCTTCCCTCCACAGCAGTACCTATTTATCTACTTGGACTGGTGTGCTTTCGAACTGCTAGGTTGGCAGGAGCTGGGACAGAGCAACGGGAGCTCACTCCGTCACGGGGATTCGAACCGCCAACCTTCCGATCGGCAAGCCCAAGAGGCTCCGTGGTTTAGACCACAACGCCACCCGCGTCAGTCTGATGATCCCTTGGACAGCCAAACAACATAAGAGAAAAATCAGCAGACTGCAGACGTTGGCTTTGAGTTGCAAATGGCTGCCCTAAGCCCCTGTCCTAGTCTCCTTTTTCCCAGCCTTGGAGGCCACTACAGCCTTAGCAGAGGCACAAGGAAGCTAAGCCGTATGTTTACACCCATGTGCTGCTTTGCAAATGACTTTGACTCCTTGCCTTAAGCCTAATGGCTCAGCTGCCTGATGTCTGGCTGCATACAGGCTCATTAACTCATTTCCTAGCTTGCGGTTGCACTGGGGGTCCGCTTAATTTATACATAAGAGGGACACCTGGGGGGAAGCCCCAGCCAGTCCACAGGGAATCCTTCTCTGCAGTCCATCTCCAACTGGCTAATGGGGGGGCGGGAATTAACAGGGGAAATCACCGTCCTCATTAAAGTTGTCGTCTGATCTTACCCCCCACAGCACTGGGCTCAGATTCGGCCAGACAAAGGCGGCAGATGTGGGGAGCAGAGGGGGAGAAGGAGACAGGCTTAGGGGGATAAATCAGTCTTTGGTTTAGCTCACATCAAAGGGAGCTTTTCCAATAACACGGGGAGGGAGGTTGAGATCAAGGAACGGGGAAAGATACCTCCAAGGCCACTGCTGGCATCCTTATTTCTGGACACACAATCATAGAATTGTAGAGTCCAACCTTCTGTGATGCGGGAAGATTTTGCCCAATGTGGGGATCCAACCCATGATCCTGTGTTTAAGAGTCTCACGCTCTGCCAACAGTCTCAGGTCTCCGAGGAGGAAGTTGCCTGTCTGCCAGCACATCACAACCAGGGAAGGATCCCAACCTCTCTAGAAGGGCCGTCCTCATATTTTTGATCCTGAAAAACAGCTAGCACGGAAACAGTCCACTTTAACAAAAGGTGAAATACCTGTGGTTATGTTATAATCATATCGTAATTGTATTTTCAACCTCTCTTGCATCCCCAAATCAGATTACAAGTCAGTTTAAATGTAGAAACAAATAAATGCAGAATTATGAAACAGTTCCAACAACAAAAAAACAAGGTAAGAAGCAAGCAGACTTATGCATCCTAAAATCACCTA